TCGAGATGACAAAGATCGATATTAATACTTTCTTTACTGTAGCAATCAATACGATTAATCTCTTAAAAGTAAACATACAAAGGCAATCGCTGTTTCTTGGTTAAAATCGTTGCTTAAAGTCATAAAATAACATATGCATTTTCTACTTCCATATAATTTTGAAAAGTGCTGTACGGCTAGCCAATACATTGTGTCCTTGCTAGTCGTACGTGACTCACATACGGATAGAACTTTTGGCTAGCCGTACGGGCCCGATTAAATATTACATTTTATTGAATAAAAGATTTATTATGCTAAAATTGATATTTGAAAGTACTGATAATTTCTCTTTCTGAATGTAAAATAAACATATTTAATACATACATGTAAGATATATTATCTGTACACACGATAACATTGTCTTTAAAATTTGAGGGGTGAAGTGTCTGGAGGGTTAAGTGTCTTGCTACCTTTTTTCCAGTTTACGGGTCCCTCGTTTTTCAGCTGTTTAAGATTAACTTATAATTGTTCAAGTAGCAGGAGAGTAAAAACTACTGATTAGTCGAACAGTAGCAACATATTGGCTTTGTCCGTCCGTCTGTCAGATTAGGAATAATCGGCGAGGTGTTCCAAAGTTAAAGAAGTAGCACAATTTCCATACACGGTTCACTAGGTCTTATAATAGTGCTTGGTGATATTGTTACGAAATTACTCTGTTTTCGCTAAAAATGTCTTTCATTGAACGCTATGCGTGTACGTAGATTAAGTCCAAGTGCAAGCATAATAATAAAAACAATTAGAATAAAATTATGCATCAAAATTATATACTAGCAAGAGTCTAAAAGCAAATTAAACACTTAAACTACAACAACTAAATTCAAAGAACCCCCAACAAAACAGTTCAGCTTATATACCCTTTTGTTTGCGTTATGTGCAAAAGTGGACTGGCGTGTGACTAGCTTAAGGTCTTCAGCGTACCCGTTTATATACTATGACATGACGTGGATGCTGAATCATACCTTGATAAAATTATATATAATCTGTTGATAAGTCAAGAATGGACAAATAAATATCTTATCAATTGTTTTACAACGAAATAATTAAAGAAGTGTTGGTCAGATATACCATCCCTAAAACAATACTTCTTTTTAATTTTCACAGTATTGTCGCTATTATATCATAGTTTGGGGACCTTTCTGTTGAAAATGTGTCAGAGTTAAATCGTATTTTTATACATGCACAGTGCGTTAACTGGAGTGCAGGACTTTTAGTTACCTGCACTCCAGAGCATGCCCATTGATTGGTTCATTTTGTCTTGGGTTTACATAGTGTGACGACAGAGAAAGGGATAGCGATTGAAATATCATATTCAGAAGTGAATTCTTTTATGAAGTATGATAGCTGCACAGTTTGAATATTTTCCTCAATCTTGGGTGTATTGCAAAATAAGCATTTAGATTATGTACCACTTAATTGATAAAATCTTATTTATTATCAAGGGTTTTGTCAGGTGATGACTGTTAAGTAGATTATCTGTAAGTGATACCAGCCTGCAGATGTTGACAAGTTCCCATATTTGGTAATTTTATAAAGTGGGAAAGATAAATTGGCTGTTTTGGTTGGCTGCATCTATGATTTTGCATCCCAAAAATGTACTAAGGGGTGGCGTGGCGCCTTCTTCTGCCTTTTTTGTACACATGAACTAAAGCCAAACCAATGCTTTGTACAATACATTATGTTATAACATTTAGTGTAAGTTTTTGAAAATCCTGAAAGCTAACAGACTGTTGTGAATTTTTCTACAGCTTTTAGCAGCTCTGGCATATCTTGAACAAAATAGTCTAGGGTGTTTAACCTGTTGTTTGAATTTAGGTTAAAATATTCCTTGGAATGGGCTTAGTGGGTCATATTGTATTTATAGATTTCTAAGCAAGATCAAGATAGGTTGAAAAATTCAAACCCTAAAATGATTAATGGTGATAGATGTGTTAATATGCAATACTAAATTTAAAGCATCATTTTCCCTACCATTTATTATTGGCTAAAAACTGCTTAACTGTTTGAATATTGGTTGTTCCGGGATATTTCATATCTTTTAAAAAAAAAAATGTTTATTCATTAATGTTACCAACGTTCTTTTCTACATGAGCTGACATATCGGGTTTGAATTTAAGCTCTTACGCTCGTCACAGGGGTGGGGCCGATAATGGTCAAATTATCATAAAATAATCTCCCATTGATCATCAAAAGCACCCATTTACTTCATAAAATATATACAAGGTATGTAACTCGCCATAGTGTATTTTCCCTGAAACGGTCAACATTTTGCTCTCCATATTTGTTTTTAAAAAATAAGACATATTTTCATTTTCATAGTTTTATGTGCAAACATAGCACAATAGATATATCTTTCTGCAACTGTTAAAAATATCGAGCCATCTATCTTTGTTTACGAAAATAAACTATCAAATGATAACTGCGAGGTTGACATGTTTTGTTCCAATCCACCATGAATAAATGCATACATTTAGCCGGTAGTTTTTTTTCTGTGGCTATATTTAGGCAGACTATTTTTAAAACGCAATTACAGTTGGTTAACGCGTCCAAGTGGTTTCATTGTGTGGAAATGGTTTTGTCAAACAACCGAACTTACTTTATAAAATGAAATAGGTTGTGGTTCTAGCAAAATTATTTTCTATAGTGTATATAGAAATTTATTGTACACTGAGCATGTCGATTATCGTTGGTATAAAAGAAATGGCCCCGGCGAACTTGATTTATGAATAGGTCCGAAAGTGGTATTGCGAAGTTGTAAGGGGGTATACTGGAATAAGCTTGTCCGTTCGGCTGTCCGTCTGTCCGGCCGGCCGTCGGTTTTTCCTTGTCCGCCAAATAATTAAGATTCCTTTGATCCACAGTCTTCATATTTGGCGTGGAGGTTAGTCATGACTAGTAAATGACCCCTATTGATTCTGAGCTCACTGGGTCAAATGTCAAGGTCACAGGGGCTTTGACTAAAAAGAGCTTGTCCGCCCAATAACTTAAGAAACTTTTGACCCACAGTCTTCATATTTAGCATGGAGGTTAGTTATGATTGGAAGATGACCCCTATTGATTTTGAGGTCAAACGTCCCAGGGACTTTGACTTCAAAAAGTGTGTCCGCCTAAACTTTAGAAACTTTTGACCCACAGTTTTCATATTTGGGGTGGAGGTTTATCATGACCATAAGGTAATGATCCCAATTGATTTAAAGGTCACTTGGTCAAAGGTCAAGGTCACAGGTCAGGGACTTTGACTTCAAAAAGCTTGTCCGCCCAATAACTTAAGATTCCTTTGACCCACAGTCTTTATATTTGAAATGGAGGTTAGTCATGATTAGTAGATGGCCCCTATTGATTTTGAGATCACTTGGTCAAAGGTCAAGGTCACAGGTCAGGGACTTTGACTTCAAAAAGTTTGTTCGCCCAATAACTTAAGAAACCTTTGACCCACAGTCTTCATATTCGGCATAAAGGTTAGTCATGATTAGTAGACGACCCTTATTGATTTTAAGGTCAAGGTCACAGGGACCTTGACTATAAAAAGCTTGTCCGCCCAATAACTTAAGATTCCTTTGACCCACAGTCTTCATCTTTGGCATGGAGGTTAGTCATGATTAGTAGGTGACCCTTATTGATTTTGAGGTCACTTGGTCAAAGGTCAAGGTCACAGGGGTTTTGACTTCAAACAGTTTGTCCACCCAATAACTTAAGAAACCTTTGACCCACAGTCTTCATATTTGGTATGGTGATTGATCATGACCATAAGGTGATCCCTATTGATTTGAGGTCACTGGGTCAAAAGTCAAGGTCACAGGGACCTTGACCAAAAAAGCGTTTCCCCAAATTGCTTTAGTCAGCAGTCTTTACATTTGATATTGACATAGTTTATGACTAGTAGATGACCCTCATTGATTTTTAGTTGACTGTGTCAAAGGTCAAGGTCACATAGATTTTTACTATAATAAGTTTGTCTGCTCAAATACTTTACAGAATGCCTGTCCGCAGTGTATTGATTTTGACATTTTCACATTTGAAGCATGTAGAATACATAACTTAGCAATGCACTGGCATAGTAACTTCAGATTTGGCAGGGAGGTTGTCCTTGAGCTCTAAATGGCCACTGTTGATTCTGATAAAGTGGTATGCGGGGGTATTCACGCCATAACAGTGGCAGTTCTAGTTTTACATGATATTTAAACACAACATATTTAGATAACTACTAAGTATACTGTGTACTGTGTGTTTACTATAATAGGTAGAATATTTAAAAGGTAGATCAGTACCTCTTAATTTTCAAGCTGTTGGTGTTATCACCTTATCAATCACAAGATATGCTAAAAATGATAAAGGTCTGTAGAAATTGACATACATGAACAAGTTAACAAAGTTCTGTACATTGTCATTGGTGGTTCTATTCTAGACAGGTTGTGTTCCTCTGCATTGCCTATTCCAGATCTCTAAACCATTGTTTTTCATTTTATAAATTTATTTGTGAAATTGTTTATTTGTTTCATTATACACGCCTGGTAAATGATAGAGCTATCTCTTTTAGAGGTAAACGGTAAATCGCACTTCCCCTATTTCAGAGCTGGTGCATGTAGCTTAAATCAGGGTCGTCATGTTTTATATATTTTGTAAAACCTTCACCAAATATCAAAATTCAAAGAATTCTATACCATGTAGATTTGATTAAAGTTTCCAGGAAACGTAAAATTGATAAATTTGTGTTTGAAATGAAGTTACAGCGGCGTTTCCCAGTTAGCGAACTTGGCGTTGAAATGAACTGTTTCACCATGAAACAGATTTTTGTCCTATTTTCATCTAAACAGCGATTCAGATTAAAAACAAAAACGTTCCAAGTAGATAAAAGGTCTAGAAATCAAATAGAATTATTATTAAATTTTTTTTTACATTTTTCTCAATATTGATTTTCTTGAAATATTTTGGCTCATCTGGGGGCGTGCAGCTTTAAAGGACATGTATATCATTGTATTTTCTTTCTACAGTCTCATGTTCAAGAGCTCTGTGTGGCTGACAACTAAAAGCGAGACGAACAATATGAATAAAAAATGAAACAATGGAGATTTCATCATCGGTAAACGTGATTTCTGTTAATAAGTTTTGATTTTCAATGGTTCTCAGATTATATAGAATATCGTAGGATTACACACTTAGCTATTGTAACCTATATCTTTATATATGATTTTCTTACATTTATCGTATAAACTTCATTGTGATAACTTTGAGTTACAGCATGTCTAAATAACCGTAAAAATGTATATTTATGAATATAAAGAATATATATATTATAAGAAAATTTCATATCTCATTTTTTAAAATAGTATATTAAAATTCACGTTACAGAAGAACTGTGATATAACTAGGGGGCATGAACATTACCTCTGTCATATATTGTTATTGGGACAAGCGTCGCCCATCGCATTGAAGGCCATAATAGAACGAGAAAAGAAAAACTGTGGTAAAGATATTGGTATTTTGTTAAATGAGTATAGCGGTGCGTTTAAAATCGGGTACGAAACAGAGTATCTTCAACTATTGCAAGGAGATCATGTCAATGATGACATTGATACGTGGGACACTCTTCAATTATGTGCTGTGACATTAGTTTTGTTTAAATCAGATCTAGAGGGTCCAGAAATAAAAGCCATTCAACATATATATGATCAGAGAAAAGATATTGAAAAATACGCCAAATGTGCCTCCTTATCATTTAAGACCTACAAGGAGAAACAAGATTTAGTGCACGAGCAGTTACTCGAGTTGATAAAGCGTATAGACCAAAGTGCTAATTATAATTGTAAACGTATGATGTATTCATTTGAGCCTGAATCGATAAATTTAAGCGAAAGTCAGGTATGCAAACTAACCGGGACAAAAGATGTCAAAACTCATCTTCAAGTTGCAATTGAAGTAAATTTCGAAACACAGAGTACACTTACTGGTGAAGATAACACTCAAGTGCTCCACACAAATGGTAAGTATGTGAATTTATTCATATGGTTGTAATGTATCCAATTACATTACTCTATCTGCAAGTTGTCAATATGCATATATCTAACGCTTTTACAGAATTACTATTTAATTTATTCCTACATCTAATATCAAAATACTTGAATGTGTTTATTTCTGAATTTGTATTAGGTGTGATCCAAACTGATTAAATACATAGACAATCAAACAGTATACTTAATCTTTGAAGAAATCTTCTAATTGGCATTTCAAAATTGATCTTGAGTATCTACGAATTAGTTTTTCTTGATGTCTTATACTTATTTGTTCATTGAATTATCAAGTATCAAATCGTATTGATAATTGCATGTGTAGCGACAATATCTTGATTTTAATGAATTATAATCTAACGAACAAAATACAATATACTTCAGACCAAATCTTCATTGAAGAACTTCAGAACAAGATTGTCTATATCAATGATTCAGTCGTTTTAAGATGTAAACTTAACACTCCAGTGGGTGATAATGTTGAGTGGAGAAAAGATTGTAAGCTGATCAAAATTACAGACAATATGGTATTCATGAGCAACCATTGCACCCACTGGTTATCGATAACACAAGCATCAGTGGAAGACACGGGAAAATATTCGTGTGTATGTGGCCATATTTCAACATCTGCTGATCTAACTGTTATAGGTACTAAGTTATATTCAAGTCATCAATAACAATACTCGTGTAATTATTCTATCAGTATGCTTGAAGGTCTCTGGCCAAGATAATGCATGAAATATGAGAAAATGTGATTTGACAAAGGCTAAAGGTTAGATATTAGGCATGAAACATTGTTTAGTAGACCTGTACCAAAAACTGATAGTTGACCTGTTTTTGATATTGCTTGACCTACTTTTTTGTTTTTCGACATACAAACTTGAAATTTGTGGTGTAATTTCTGATGTTGAATTGGATTTTGATAGCAGCTATCATTTGACCTACTTTCTTTTTTTAAACGTACAGACATGAAATTTAGACCAAGGGTGTAAATTTGTAAGCTGAATTGAATTTTGATATCAGCTGACCTACTTTTGATATTTTTGATATCATTTGACCTACTTTTTTGTTTTTTGACATACAAACTTGAAATTTGGATTTCTCATGATGCTTGTCTAAGTAATTGCTTGGATGGGTTCGAACATGGGTCATCTCAGATGAAAAACTAGGTTACAGGAGCTAAAAATGGAAAAAATCTTGTTAACACTCTTGTGGTTTTGTTTTGATTCAAATATCTTGGAAATTAGTAAGAAATGTTGTTTTGATGATTACTAGATCCAGTTCGATATGGGTCACCTGGGGTCAAAAACTAGGTCACACAGCCAAAATATGGAAAAACCTTGTTGACACACTAGAGGCTAATGTTTTGATTCAAATATCCTGGAAATTGGTCATCTGGGGTCAAAAACTAGGTTACACAGCCCAGATATGGAAAGCATTTGCTTACACTCTAGACACTACTACTTTGAACCAAATATACTAGAAATTTGTCAATAAGGAAGTTATAATAATTTTTTGGTGAATTTCAAATATAGGTCACCATAGGTCAAAAACTAGGTCACACAGCCTAAATATTGGAAACCCTTTTTAACACTCTAGGGGCTACTGTTCCACTCCAAATATCCTTGAAATTGGTCAGAAAGGTTGTTATTATGATTTCCAGGTCAAGTTTGAATATGGGTAACTTGTTTTCAGAAACTAGGTCACACAGCCCTTATTTAGAAAAACACAGCCTAAATATTGGAAACCCTTTTTAACACTCTAGGGGCTACTGTTCCACTCCAAATATCCTTGAAATTGGTCAGAAAATTTGTTATTATGATTTCCAGGTCAAGTTTGAATATGGGTAACTTGTTTTCAGAAACTAGGTCACACAGCCCTTATATAGAAAAACCTTGTTTACACCTTAGAGGCTACTGTTGTGATCCAAATATCCTGAAAATTTGTCATTGTAGAAAGGCTGATATGGTGATTTCTAGGTCAAGTTCGAATATTGGTCATCTGTGTCAAAAACTAGGTCACACAGCCCAAAGAAAATGGGATTGAGGCTCCATAATTAGGTGAGCGATATAAGAGCCATCATTACCGTCTTGTTGCACTAAATTTTGGTCTACATCATCAGATAAAAATGAATATGAAGGCAGTTAGAAAATCATTAAAATCAATGAAATCTATAATTATGTGCGAAAATAAAAGCCAAACTTTATCATAATAAAATGTATTCATGTTTGCTCTTGTGTTTTAATCATCTAGCTACCAATTAACATGTGTATGCATTTATTATACATTCACTTAATCTATTAGAATTCATTTAACTGATATGGGGATTCAAAATGTAATATAAATATATCAAATATATTTTATCCAACAGATGAAGCATTGAGTGTTGTCATTGATTTGCCAATCAAGTCAGAAGTTATTGAGAATGGAAACATTGATATAGAGTGTAAAGTGAACCTGCTAACATTAAGTAAACCGGTTTGGCGATACAAAGGGAAAATTTTAGAATCTTCTGATAGATACGTTATACTAGCAAAGGGAACTACACACAAATTGACGGTCATGAATGTAACATTTCAAGAAGAGGGTGAATATACAGTTGACTTTGGAAAGGTCTCATCTAAAACAACTTTGATAGTACAAGGTTATTATATCTTAAGTCTATAATTTATATGCTATAAAATTGCTTAGAAAATAAGTTTTACTTCCTTCTTTTATTTTTTTCTTTTAATTTATTTCTGTTTTTTTTACTTGACCTTATACCCTTATCCACCAAGCTGATTGTCATAACAAATTTATTGATACTAGTGTATAATTGATATATTTTATTTATGATAAAGGTTTCCTATTTATTACCAGTTCAGTCATTAAAATAATGAATGTCACTTTCTCTTCACACATTGTCTTGTCAAATGCCATTTTTTTTTGTTGGTTGAAATGTATTTTAGTTTTTTAGGTGATAAAGAAGTTCTACACAGGAATCAACTTATAGAGAAGCTATATAGAAATTGGGTAAGAGGGGCTCTGGCATTAAAATACCTGAAAGTAGGTTTAGAAGCATTTTCTGACAAGGCCGTAAAGAGTCAACATGATGATATAGTGTCAGCATTTAAAGGCGCATGCAATTCTTGCACAGAGAAAAGTCTTATTCCACATAAACAAGATCAATGTCCACGCCAAAAGAAGCATCTATGTCTTTGTTCCATTAATACAAAAAATAAAAAACATAAATCGACGAAAATGTGTCCAAATGGAGGATATTGTGGCAAATTCTATGATCGAATAGTTTGTGATCATCGATTTCATGATCCATTATTAGCGAACACCGATATCCAGAAATGGAGCAGTGATCCTTGGAGTGTTGCTACATGCTTTATAAATACGTCTGGCTACAAAGACAAACAATCGGCTAAAGACGTTGACTGCTCAGGCCTACTAAGTTTGTGTATAAACAACATTTACATAGACATGTTGCTTGGAGAAGTTATCATAGATCCATTTGCACAGGTAAGTTAAATGGGTTGGTAAGTAATCACGTAGCGTTATGTTTCACTAAATAAAAAAATTGTTACATGCACGATATAGCCTGTATCATGCAAGTAATAAATTTCATTTAGTGACATGAGAGCGTATGAATGGAAAAGTAGGCTAGCCTTATATTTTTCAATCTTAGAAAAAAGGACTTTATAAAATATTAAAATTGTAAAGCTTTAAATAAAGGCATAATAATATTAAACAGTCATTAAAAAGATGTTATGATTCGCAGTAATCACACCAAACACAATATTTATAGAATTTATTGGAAAACGATACACATTTTTGTAATTATATAAAAATATCACGTGGCTCTCTGGCAGTCTAGAGCAGCTTTTTCGTATTGCCAAATCAAATTAAATGAAACGCAATTAAGGTGTAGTATTTTAGCGAATGATTAAAACAGCATTGTACAAACTGAATTTTTTTATAGGCACGGGAAGCGCGAAATGATATTCTTCACAGTCCAAACTATGAATTGTTTGAAAATCAACTTAACAAGTATATAAAAACATTTAAGGAAGTATTAGAAATCAAGGACAAATATGGCAATACACCGCTGAAAAGGGAGTCAGGCGTAGAAGAGGCATTACATTTATTAGATATGGTATTGTCCTAAAAAAATTATATAGTATTTTAAAAAGACATGATTTGTCAAATGGGAATTAATTACTTTTATTCGATTAAGTATTTTTAAGATATTTAACTTTTGTCAAAATTTATGGGAAATGAATTGCATTTCTATTTAAATGTATCAACTAAGAACATATTATTTCATTTTCTTATGTCTGTACGTTAAGGTTATTTTACGTTAGTTGAAACACATTTATCGTCTCTTTTAGAACGATCAAATATTCTTCTTCTAAGTTTAGTTAACTATCCTAGTATTCCTGTACGAAATTTTGGCACGGAATTGACACGGAATCAGTGATTTCTGGGCGGACCAGGAACGGAAACGCAAATTCCGTGTCATTCCGTCTCACAAGAAAAATATTTTGTTCACTTTTCTGGGCGGAAAACTAGAAAAATTCCGGCTGGAATTTTATTTGGCGCAGAATTTATACTTAAACATTTCATCTTGGACAGAATTTTCAACTTTGAAATTTTCTTGGGAAGGAATGGTCTTCACTATGGGCGGAATTCTATACTTAAAGATTTTTCTTGAACAGAATTTCACATATAAGATGTCTAAATCATAATTGTTAACTCTTGTTTTTGCACTTGCAGACATTGGAATTTTACCAACTTTACTTATTATTTTTGTTGAAGCATGATACTTGACCAATAATTACAGGTGTATTTTTAGAATAAATAGGGTTATTTTTTAGACATTACAATATGCCTAAACAATGTTTTTAAATATTGTGGCAAATGATATATTGTCAGACTAATTTAGCAAATCTTTTTTGTACTGAAAAACAACTGTAATAAATCTTAGTGTAGAACTTGAAAACATTCACCTCCAAAATGCTTAAGTTTATAAAAAGCAACATTGAAATAAGAATGCTGTTTAAATTTGAATATCAGGACAGCCACAGGACAAGATAGTGTGCTTGCCATTTTAAACTATAATTAAGAAATCATGATTTTGTTATAAAAAAAATAAACAAAAACAAAACAAAAACATTGCATGAAATAATCTCATATAGTACGCCCTTTTAATCTATATAGAATTGATCAGCCAATATGCCCAATAAAAGCTTTCATTTAGGTAAATAGATACTACAATATATATCCACTGAGATTTTACACTACACAGATCAGAGCTTTGATAAAACTCAACTGACCAGCAGTTTCCCACCATCTTAAATTCTTTGCATGACTAATTTACCCAACAGATCAGACTGTTCCATTGAATTATTTTGGGGAGAGATAACATTATAAATTTCATATGCAGAATTTGTGAAGAACATTGCAATTTTTTTTTGTTCAGAAATTTGTAATGATTTTTAAATTCTATATATATATCTATTTGTTACTTGAATTTTTGTTACATTCAATGAATGGAGGTTGAGATGATGAGTAAATTAACCCTGTTTTACATAATGATTGACCTGTCCATGCAGTAACAGTTGTGAATTTTGAATTCAAAGATATCTGGGTCAGCTAAAAGAGTGCAAATAACAGAGGATGTACTTGATATTTTAACAATTTTGGAGATATACTTTTGTTTAAGATCTCAAAGTGTTTTAGTATTGGTATGATAAATAAGTGTGAAAACATGGGACAAGGAGACGAACAACATAATCAGGTAATTATAAACCTTTAGTTACATTAATGCTGAAACTTTAGTTTTATATCAAACTATCAATGGTAGCAAACTAAAATTTGTAACAAGAGGTCATTGTTGTTTTTATATTTTCAACTTCATACATTTGTTTTTTTCTGATAATTGTTTTAAATCTTTATTACATGTTTAATGACTATAAAATATAAATTATTCAATGATTCTATATAATGATTGTGTGTATTGTATAAATTAATAGCATTTAGTAGATCTTTTTCATTTCCTGGAAATTAAACAAATTAAGTCAATTTGATTAAATAGGAATAAATGGTACAAATTCAGAAGTTTTGTACAGCTGAACAGGGTCATCATAATCATTTATTATTTTACATGTGTGTGAACGTGTTTCCAATGGAACAATCTAAAATTACATTTTACACTCATAATTTCAGACTGGGAGTTAAGTGCTGACTGTGAGATGCAAGGTGTTTCAATAAAGATGTGCAGTATTAATCCTGAAAAGGTATATTTTTAAATCTCAATACTTTACTATTCAACATCTTTCCTTGAAAAAATATATAACCAGTAATAAATAGTGTCACAAATAAAGCAGTTAATTTAAATTCTTATACAGAGCAATTCTTAAACACTTGTGCACTGAAATAAGATACTGCGTAAGCTTTAGTATTTTTGAATATGCATAAGCACTGTTAATATTTAATACTGTTGAAACATAAAATTTGATATTATCAAAAAATATGAAATATAACTGCATATAATTATGCAATCAAACATAATTCATTACTACATTTTTGTTTAATTGATTATTAATTTTATTATTAAAGGTGAGCACAACCACAAGAAGTTCTTGGAAACACAGGCAGTGGACTTAAAACAGACATCAATTAAAGAAATAGTAATTTAAATAATCAGAAACATTTGAAACAAATTTATGATTGAAACACTCTCAGCAAAAAAATTGCAAAAAAAACAAAGTGTTGGATTCTAAGAAAACCAGTACCTTCCAAAACCTGCAGGTAGAAAAAAACTGTTTGTGTTATAGTGAATGTATGGTATTCTATTATGTATATGGACTAAAGGATATGTATTAAATTTTGTGAAAGAAAATTTAATGTGATACATTATTGATAATTTCATCCCAAAAAAATGTGATCATGTTAAACTCATAAAAATTCCGCCCCCATGAATTCTGTCCGAGAATTCCGCCCAGAATTTTGTTTGACAATTCCGTTCCAAAATTCTGTTCCGAAATTCCGCCCCGAGATTCCGCTACAAAATTTCGCCCCAAGATTCCGCTTCAAAATTCCGCCCCAAAATTCCGCTTCAAAATTCCGCCCCAACTCAATTGCATATTTCGTCCCAATTTCGCCCAGAATCCGTCCCGTTTCCGCCCGGAATCCGGCCGGAATCAGTGCCAAAAGCAAATGGTTTAACACTTGTATATTTGGGGGAGAATTTAAATTTCTGGGCGGAATCTGCTATTGAATTCCGCCTCATTTCCGTGCAGAAAATTTCGTACAGGTTGTCATGCAAAATGTCATACGTAATACAATTTTAATGGGAACTAAGATATTCCAAACATAAATCATCTAGATTGTTTAAATTGGTAAATTGCACTCAACCGTGTAAAACTCAAATGTATGAATTGCCTACTGCAGTCCTATCATAATTTTCTTACAGGTGCAGCAAAATCAGATTGAGATAAACCTTGAACACGAGGTAAGACAGCTGAGAGAACATGGGATGCTTACATTAGAAAAGAATTACCAAACGGCAAAAGAACAGGCAAGTCTTATAGTTAAATGCATTTAAGTATTGTTATATCAAGCTTTTACGATTTATATAGTAAGACAAAAATGTTTTGTAGTCGTTAAAAAACGTTCAAAAGATCTTTGAAAAATACTACGACAGCGAAAAAGATATTAAACATTTAAATGTGATTTCTGACAAATGCTTTTTTCATTAATGTCACGCTAAGATGTTTAACCTCGTTTAAAATTTGTCTTAAAATAAATTTACGCGAACAATACATTCGTGAGTACTAGAAAAAGAATACAATTTAAGAATGACCCGATAGTTTTATAACGTTAGCTTTTATGGTCATAAACTTTCTGAACTAATGACTTTTATCTTAGGAAACAAAAGGTAGCGTTAATACAGGGATATCCGTACTTTTCGTTCGGTGTTACGTTAATATTCTCTTTGGTCTAAAAAATAAAGGAAAAAACAAAGGATTAAATGAATATCAATAAATGAAATATAATTAAAATTTAGTTTCCTTCCTCGTCACGTTTATGCATGATAAGCTCATGATTCCAATAAAATATATAATGTAACACTTTTAAGTTTTCTTTCTTCAGCATGAATTGAAACTTCAACTGATAGAACAACAGATTAAAGGTTTGTCATTGACTTTTCATTTGAACAAATAAGCGCTTATCCTTAAACGAAGTAATTTTGAAGTTTGTAAAATTTGGTTTATTTAATGCTTAAATACTTAGTAGGTGATTAGCGCTTGATTTGAATTTAAAAGTAATGCTATCGAGAAACGTGTAACAGTGAAGTTCAAATATTCTGTATTCATTTGAAAAAGATGACTTTTATTCTTTTAAATTGCAAAAATTTATATGCATGTATTAGTTTCTTTTAACGGTGGCACAGTTGGATTTGAGAAATAACTAAATTATGCATACTCTAAAAAAGTTTTTTCAAACATTGTGATATAGATATGCTCGAATAAAATATATAACAAGAGCACCGCCAGGCGGAGCATTATATGCCCGAAAGTATTTTTTTAACAGTTGACCTTTTGACCCCAAAATCAATAGGGGTCTTCTACCCAATATGGACAATCATCCTATGAAGTTTGAACATTGTGGGCCAAATGGAACTTAACATATGCTCCGGAAACTGTTTTCAGTATCAAGGTAATAGTGACCTTCACCTTTGACCTTTTGACCCCAAAATCAACAGGGGTCTTCTACCCAATATGGACAATCATCCTATGAAGTTTGAACATTGTGGGTCAAATGAAACTTAAGTTATGCGCGGAAACATATTTTTCAGTATCAATGTAATAGTGACCTTCACCTTTGACCCCAAAATCAATAGGGGTCTTCTACCCAATATGGACAATCATCCTATGAAGTTTGAACATTGTGGGTCAAATGGAACTTAAGTTATGCTCTGGAAACTTGTTTTTAGTTATAAGGTAAAAGTGACCTTGACCTTTGACCTTTTGACCCCAAAATCGATAGGGGTCTTCTACCCAATATGGACAATCATCCTATGTAGTTTGAACATTGTGGGCCAATTGGAACTTAAGTTATGCTCCGGAAACTGTTTTCAGTATCAAGGTCATAGTGACCTTGACCTTTGACCTTGTGACCCCAAAATCAATAGGGGTCTTCTTCCCAATATGGACAATCATCCTATGAAGTTTGAACATTGTGGGTCGAATGGAACTTAAGTTATGCTCTGGAAACTGTTTTCAGTTATAAGGTAATAGTGACCTTGACCTTTGACTTTTGACCCCAAAATCAATAGGGGTCTTCTACCCAATATGGACAATCATCCTATGAAGTTTGAACATTGTGGGCCAATTGGAACTTAAGTTATGCTCCGGAAACTGTTTTCAGTATCAAGGTCATAGTGACCTTGACCTTTGACCTTGTGACCCAAAATCAATAGGGGTCTTCTTCCCAATATGGACAATCATCCTATGAAGTTTGAACATTGTGGGTCGAATGGAACTAAAGTTATGCTCCGGAAACCGTTTCAGTTTTAAGGTAATAGTGACCTTGACCTTTGACCTTTTGACCCCAAAATCAATAGGGGTCTTCTACCCAATATGGACAATCATCCTATGAAGTTTTAACATTGTGGGCCAAATGGAACTTAAGTTATGCTCCGGAAACCAAATTGCTAACGGACGGACGGACGGACGGACGTACGGACGGACGGACAGACAGACGGACGGACGCCAGGGGGTATAACATAATATGCCCTTTCGGGCATATAAAAAGTAAAAAGAGAATACGGAATTGAAATATAAAATGTTGCTTTACTAACGTATTTTAGAAAAGAAGTGTTTGAGAAACTACCTTGACACTATAAAAAGTTCATATAAATCAGCCCAAACAAGAAACATTTCTTAAAGTGTATAAAGCTAAGTGAATGCTTCCAATATGCTTGTATGAAATAGAAATGGAAGTGTATGCCTTAAAGGCGGATGGCGTAGACATGAAATTATTGCTTGCTAAACGGTTAAAAACAATTTAACCATACTTAAAATTTATGTTAAAAATTTTCGAGAACATAGTATTATGGAAACAACACAATTTTACTGTTGAATAATTTATAAAAACATTTCATAAGAAATAGCTTTATACCCTTTAAGACAAACATTTCATTCTATAGAAATAATAATAATAAAAAAACATCATTTTCCTATATATTATATCATGCTTGTAAAAGAATAATCAATGAGTACTTATAGTAAAAATATCTATAATATTGAATATTAGAGATGTTTCAGGCTTATAACTGTGCACAGATATATTGATGGTGCAACAAGCGAGTGTTGGTCCGTCGAAATTTTCTTGCAAACTTTTTGGTCGATAGATGTATTCATTACTTAAAATAGGACTCGCATATACTTAGTGAACCATTACATAATATTTCCGTAATTGCACAAGTTGTGTTTTATTTACAGATAAAGAAAATGAGCTTCGGCTGATGAAAAATCTTAGGTCTGCAGGAACACAAAAGGATCTAGAAGGTATTTAATGAAAAGAAATACTGATTAAACCGAGTTTTAAATATGTTATCAATAAGGATTTCTTAACACTGAAAATAAGACAAACTGAAAGCAGCTTTAGAACATAATTGTTATGTAATACATTTACTGTTTGGAGGCGGAAAAAGAAAATGTAACTCAAGTGAATTTTACAAGCTATATTTGCTATAAATAAATTGAAGTAAAAAAACAGTTCTTTAACTTTTTAATTTTATTCTTGATAAAAACTGCGCAGGTAGGTATACACTATTGGAAACAAAACATGATTTGACAGATAAAATCACGCGAAAAGCTATTATTCTGACGGTAATCAACATTAAAATCATGATGAAACCGATGTTTATTGATTCGAAAAACATGACCAAACCTGGATTTACTTAATCAGACGTATATTCTAATGCACAAATAGCGCGCTAAATGCATATTGGTTTTTCGCATTATCATCTACAACATTCTTAGACTTTTTTATGAATTCTTCAGCCCCCTTGCGGGCTCTGGCTTTAAATGAGGCCTACGTCTTTGTGTGTCTGCAGATGTTAGTGTAAGTTACAAAGTCCATTTACCCACTGTTATGTCATCAATTGTTTTTGTTGGGTTTTATTTTCAGAACACTTCTTGCTTGATCTACAGATAAAAGTGATTGCTAAGAATGTTGAAAAAAGTACTGACGGGAATCAGAAAGTTTATGAAGTAATGAGAGATTATATCAAAAATAAATATGATAAGACTGGATCTCCTTTGGATGTAAGATCAACTGATACACCAGTCTATCACCTCCTTGATTACATCAAGACCATAGAAAAATGCAATATCGTTAATATTTCTCTCACTGAACAATCTTCAACCGACATACAAATCAACTGTCTCAGTTCTGTGGCCATGGAAGATTTTCTTAAGAGTATCAACTGTAACGAGTTTGAACAAGAACTGTTTAAGCTTAGACGATGGTTATATGTGCAATATGACATTGAATCCCATGTCATAATAGCTAATTGCTCGTCAAAAGGCATAGAAAAAGCAAACAAACGCCTGCGTAAGTTAAATATCAATATTGATTATATTCTTTACATGCAATTATGGAGTTTTCTGTCCCAGCTGGTGCATTTGCAATTAGTGTACATTGAATGAGCTGATGAAAGTAAAATTAATTGAAGTTATCATTTTTTTTCTTTTCTAATGATTAATAAAAGAACATTATACGTTTATGTTTTATATCATTTTTATTCTGTAAACTCAAAGACATGTACCTATTTTTGAAAGCGTCATTTTGATATCTTCAGACTTTACTGGTGTAACCAGAAATATGACTTGTGCAAATCATCAAAATACACAATGTACTCTCTATTGTCCTGACCATGACATGTTTTTCTGCACAGCCTGCAAGGAATCAAAACATAGGTATGTATAAATTTCTTACAATCGGTAATTGATCAAAAAGTGGTAAATATGGAACAAATGATATCACATTAAACAAATGAATTTTGAAAGAGTGCAATAATGACTGACAAATTATCAGTTAAAAATATTACTATATGATTTAAACAAATAAAACTTACAATCAAACTAGGCCTTCCTTTAAGAATTTGTGTATGTCTTATAAAGACTTTTAATTGAGAATTAATTATCCGATTGTTGGTAAAATTTGATTAATGAAAACAAGAAAAATCAGCAATAGTTAAATCTCTTCAAATAATGTCATACACTATATACACATGAAAATACAACTTTCATGGATCAGATGCTGTTATTTCTCTTTTGACAGTATTGAAATCATTTATAATCATTTGGTTTGTAAGTGGATTGAAATATAATATGCACATCACCTTTGGTAAACATTCGAGTATTGGCAACATAGAACCCAATGACGGCTACTTTAGCGGGGTAATATTTACGTAGGTACCGATGCCGCACAAGCGGGAGAATTCATTGTAAAACGAAAACAATGAGCGATATCTGTCATTTGAATGGCATGTGTATAAACGTTGGTTCCCGGTTTCACATTATGATATCGCCAAGATTATAATATTACAATATAATTACAATGTTGCTTTACATTGAAAATGATGACTTCATACATCGTCTTTTCATGTGGTAAACATTTTTCACAGTATAATGTTACGATGTGAAGGAGTTTGTAAAGTGTTTAGTATGACTATATGAGTTAAAAGAATATATTCTTTTTTGTATTTAACACAAAAATAAACAACATTGCGTCATAAATTTTCACGAATAATTCGGCAAAAAAAATCGAGAAATATGCCATAAAGAAAAAAAGCAACAATTATTTTATATAGCACGCGTAATTAACAGTCTACGGCGTATGATCATTGAATATGAGTCTCAATCTATTCTTAGACTGGGAAAATCCAATTCAGCCAGTGAATATGATACTACACCCAGTAAATATGATTTTATAAAAAGTTCTGTTGACTACTGTTTGGACCAATGAGATTGCAGCTATATTTAGATCATATAATAAATGTCAATAACATTCCAATCCTTCAACAATTAATTATTATTGTCGTTATACGTAATGGATTGGAAGATAGATTAACTGGCGAATTAACACAAAAAATATTTCAAATTGCCTTTATGATTATGAAATATAAATTACTAAATAAGGAAACAACAATGATATTTGAATAGCAACTTAAGTCTATCATTAGAAAACAACATGCATTATTAAATATACTGACGGATATTCATTTCCATAGTTATTTATTGTCTTTTTACACATCTTAAAATACATGTCCTTAAAACATGCATAGAGTTTTAAAAGTTTAAGCGAATGCTATATTTTAATTTGAATATAATGCCTTTATCGAGTCATGTTACTGAAAGTGCATTATTAAAATCATATCGTTAAAACTGCTATTAAAGACAAAAGAATGTTCTTTTCAGTGCTAGATGATTGTATGTCTAGTATTTGTTGATATTGTATATACATCACTATTCATAATCATAAATGAACATCAAATAATCTTCTTATTTTTAATTACAGCACCTGTCATGGCATAAAACAACTTATGTCTGAAAAGTCTTGTGTTGAACAGAAACGTCAACTAAACCTCAAAAGTACACAAGGATCATATAATGTTAGCATAAATAATACATTGATAAATAGAGACAGCAATGATAAATCAAAGTGTCATATCTTTAGTATGTGTATGCTTCCTAATGGCGAAGTTCTCCTTGCTGATAGCGGGAATAAAAGACTGAAGAAATTGAACAGTTCGTACAAGGTAATCAGTTACTGTGATGTAACTGCAATTCCCCTTTCTGTATGTTATATAGGCAACGATACAGCTGTTGCTAGTTTAGGAGATGCCATACAGTACGTGAATGTGTCTGGTAATATAACCCGTAGACAATTAGTGGAGCTAAATCATAATTGTTACGGTCTAGCTTGTCTAGGTGACATACTCTATGTTCATAGTGATAACAAAATTTACAAATTTGACAAAGATAAATGTGAACAAAAATACGTTCTCTATCAATTAAGTAAAAATCTGCACACTGTCCCATACATGTTTGCAATTGCTATAAGCGACAATGGGGAACGAGTCTACTTCGGGACTAATACAGGTCTAACTACAATAGATGCAGAAGGAAATCATATATTCAGTTCATACATTGGTGATAAATATGATGCTTGTATTGCAGGAGAAGGTATTGTTCTTGTATTTAATACACTCGTATATAGCAGTCTTCTTCAGCTAGATTATAATGGAAAAAAACATCGGACTGTAGAACTGAATTCCAAACCATTTGATACCACTTCGATGTATTCTATGTGTTTTGACAGAGAAAGATGTAGACTTATTGTTGGTAGTAGGTATGACATGATATATGTTTACAATTGTGAGATTTTGCCAAGTTAGTTGATAAAATTGTTTTGGTAAACCATGAACCAAATGAAAAATCCCTGCTAAACTAATTTTAATAACCAAATCAATCCAATTAATAATTTTGTAAGTTGGCTGATTTCTTCCTCTTATTGATCTTGAATGTACATGTATTTGTAATTACATGCATATATTACATACATATTTCATAATAAAGGTTGAATAGTTACAAGTTTGAAACTTTTTTTAAATCCAAATCGAGATAATTAAATAACAAGACAATCTTTTTTAAGGACTTGCAAATGAATTGATGAGATTGATTTATCCCGCATATTGTCAAAAAATATAAATGATTATTTATAGCTCATATGAAAAAGAAACTTCATTCCAATTTATCATAAAAAACACATTATAGGTATTCATCGTATAGACTGCGGGATGAACTTAAATTTAACGTCGTATTTGATTATTTCAATACAACAAGTTTGATAAAAATATATTATTTCTAAATTAAGTTCTTTTACGACAACCTTTTTTATTTTTAGTATTAGCTTGACCATGTGGTTTCAAAATCGATCCCAACCGGGGTTTCCACTTGAGGTATCTAACTCTATTCATTGTCCAGAATCCTTGAAGTAGACTTACCAACAAGCCGACTTACCTATATACCCTCTAAACTTCATAATTATGTCAAAATATCAAATGCATTTCTTTTTTCACTATTTTCAAGATATTAAAGTTTACACTTTAAAAGTTCTCCTATCAAGCATTTTATATAATATGAACTTTGTCTTCTGCGTGTGACATTGACATTTGCTACCTTAACACCAAGGGGAAACATTCTATGTTAAATCAAAATTTCTCCATGCATGAAGAAAAATTGAATAATAAGAATTGAATAAGCATTTTCTTTTTGATCTTTAAATGTGCCCTTGACCTAGGTTATTCGCGTAATGTTTCATAGTGTTAAATATTTGTGTCAGGTTAGAAGTTTTAGACAAGTTTTGTGACTGATGGACAGACAGACGACGGAGAAGTGATCCCTATATGTCGCCACTACTCCGTAGAAGCGACACAAAAATCAAGCAGATTACAAAATATGAGCTTCAAGGTCATATGTGAAGGTCACAATCATTTGATCTGCTTACTGGATTTTTCCAAAAGATTATTGTGTCAAGGCATGAAGACAATCCATTCATAAATATCAAAGTTATAGCCAATCATAATAAAAGTCAAACAAAATTCAAACATTTTATCTTGGTCAATGTCATTTATGAGTCAAGGTCAAGTTCAGTCTGGTTAAGATGAAGGTCTTGTACAAAGACTTGTTGTGTCGGAACTATGAAGACAAGCCATTTAGAATTAAAAAAAATGGCCAATGTTAAAGTTTCTGGGCGGCAAAGGCAACAACGAAGACAACCTGACGGTAACAAAATCTTGAAAGTTTTTTATGTTCTTGGGAAAAGGTCAAGATAAAATCAGCAGGAATACAGTAATAAACAATAAATTTCGATAAAATCAATCTTGGGGAAAAAGGTACTTAGAATTTAAGAAAAGAACATGATGACCATAAATGCCCTGAAATCGCTCACCTGTATATAGGCCCCCGGGCGGGACCAATTTTAACCCAAGGGCTTTTATTTGAATAAATTTGGTAGACACCCATTAGAAGATGTTTCCTGATAAATAAAGTTTTTACAATACATATATAGGGAAAAACAATGACCCTTCTTGGGCGGTGCCAATTTTGACCCCAGGGCTTTTATTTGTTCAAACTTGGTAGACTCTGACTAGAAGATAGTTCATACTGATAACTAAACTTTAGCTCTTTGGGTTTTTTAAAAGAAGATTTTTTATATTTTTGCTATACACATATAAGCAAAATCAATGAACCCCTGGGGCGGGGCCAATTTTAACCCAAGGGCTTTTTTTTAAACAAACTTGGTAGACACACACTAGAAGATCTTTCATGCTAAATATCTACGCTGTACCTTTTTGGGTCTTTTAAAGAGAGAAGACTTTTTAAGTTTTCATCAATATACCAATAAGGAAAATCAATCACCAATTTTTAAAGTTGACTACCAAAGGAACATTCCTGTGAAGTTTGGATGAAATTGGCTTTGTAGTTTATGAGGAAGTGTCGTTTACAGTAAAAGTTTACGGACCGCGGACGAAAAGCGATCACATAAGCTCACTATGTCACTTTGTGACAGATGAGCTAAAAATTCACAATTCAAGAAATAATTTGAATATTATTATAAATGCCAATAAAGACCAATTTTGTAGTATTTATCATCATATTTCTACTGAGTTACTAACAAAGTTATGCTATATTTGCATATTTTGACCTATGTTAGGCATTTTTTGTAGATTTTAAGTGCCCTTTATAACGTGTTATTTTACTTTCGTTGTTCGCTTGACAATTTTTTACTGTTTAATACATTTAAAAAGATTTCCTGTAGAAATTAGCAAGAGTCTTGAGGCATGCCGCATTAAACTGGAAAGGTCCATTATCAGTGTTTCTGTCAAGTACAGTACATTTCTCAATACCGGTGTCATTTTTCTCTCAGTCGGTATCATTTTTCCCTCAGTCAGTATCATTCTTCCCTTGGTGGCACCACTTGCTTCTACCAGTGGTATACAGCATGATAACACTGCACCTATATATGCAATTTTGTCTGGCTCTGGTGTTTGCAAAGGCTAATCACTTTCGGTTTCAGCAGGTGAATTTATTAATAGGTTTACATCAACCTTAACAATGCCAAATGATAATGATCTCGAAGGCATGTATGAAGTTACGAGAAAATATCTAAAGTTGTTAATGAGATATGATGTTGTACAAGATAATGTATGTAAAACTTTAACCAAAGTGATACACAGATGCCTGGTTAAGTACGCTAGCACTACTGCTCTTCAAATAATCAAGCAAAAAAAAATGATTCAAAATCTATAAATTATATACATATTTATTTTCACAAACACTCCTTTTTATCTATAATTTATAAAACAATATACACACAAGTCACAATCACAAAACAAGCTTACCAGAAGCACTAAACACCTATACATTTCTAACATTCACAAAATTCCTTACTCTATGTCCTAATTTCATAAACACAAACATTTAACTGTTCTGAGACAAACTTTAATAGTAAACTCTGAATTTTCGCCACTAAATTTTTAGTCCTGGAACATTTTAACAACTGATTTGAAACCGCGGCCTAGACTATAATATACAAAATGTGTGCAGTATCTGAGAAAAACTGAAACGTTTGATAACATTTTTATGCAATAAAAAATCGGAAAAGAAAAATAAACTTCAACTTCTTAAAAAAACAACATATATTCAACGTTATTCATATCTTTACAATATCTGAGATCTTAATGTGTATAAAAAGCTTCTCCAATCCCTCCCCTACGATAAAAAATGCAAAGTATATCATTGTAACAATGTTTAGCTAAATATTAAAGGTTTGTTGAGGAAGAACAGAGGAAATTTTGAAAAATGTGCAGAGAAAATTTGTAAGGTTTAAAGTCGCATCAACACTGTTAAAGTAATATGGTCACTTTCCAGCTTTTACTGGTGGAGGAAGACATCAGATTTCCTGTCCCTGTATTATTTCAGGCACAAGCAGGTACCTGACGAGTGCCATCAACCCTTCCAAAGTTGATCAGCAACCTTATATAGAAATCAAAAGTCCCTGACGGGATTCCAACCCAAATGAGTGATGGACAACTATTTTAAAGTAGGCAATCTTAACCAATCAGCTACAGAGCATGACTAAATCAGCCAACAACTAGTTGTTTTTTAAATGAACCCGGAAGCATAAAAACTGCAAGGTTTTGATATTTTCAAGCGTGTATTTGCATCAGTAAAAATCCCTATCCCTATATCAACTGGAGAAACACTTTTAAAATATGGAATTGTTGCAAAAGTTGAAAATGAAATTTGAGTCCCAATCACCCATTAAATAACAGTCGATCTGAAAACAATCATATCACAAAATAAACGGCAAACAAAACGAGCAATAAAAGCAAGCAGTAAAAAAACAAACAAGGAAACATTCATTTCCATAGAAGAAGTCAGTTATTTCACAAAAGATGAAGGGAGGCATTGTAACAAATGGAGTAACAGAATATCTATATTTATATCTTCATAAAAAATACTGAAAACAAATGCAAACCTATGTGATATACATGTATATATTTTAAGCATTTTTTTTTGTCCTCAATTAACAATATACTCAAAACTAGTGATTATTAATTAATAAATCAATCAATTTCAATGAGGTTATTAATCAATTAAGAATATGCAATCAGAACACGTATATTTCATTGATCAGTAATGTGCACAGAATAATATAAAGATAAAATAAGTTCAATAAAGACAGACATATGAACATCCTGGTAACTATAACCTATTGAATCTAATTTACGGGTAGTAAAAAAAAACAAGTAAAATACATGCAAGTAAACTCAATCTCAAACATTTTGATAATACCCAAAATTTTAATGGCAGTTTCGTATATGAACTTAGAGCACTTTTCTAATTTTATATAATAAAAAAATTACATAGAAAATGAAAAGCTCTGGTGTAACAGGTACATGCTTTCTAATGTATAGTTTGTTTTTGTCATGACTTTTCAATTTTATAATGATCGTAGCTATAGGTAACAAGTATAGAAGACAGTATGGATGTAAGGTCTGTCAATATTTCTTCACCTTAGTGCAGTAACGGGTTAACTCCTATTAAACTATGTAAGGAGTTCACCCGTTACTGCACTAAGGGAAATGGCATACACAAGGAATAGGCAACGATCCTGTCTATGGATGCAATAATATGGAAAATGTCAAACTTCTGTTCAATATTCATAGGAAAATGATAAAAAAAATTAATACACAGGTATAAACTTATTATAAAGATACATAAAAGGCCAAACATTTCTTTAGCTAGCTACGATTAACTTATTTCATCAATATATTCTTTATATAAAAGTGTAAAAAAAATGGGAAATAAAGTGTAATAAATACTTAGTAATAAGAATGGTGAAAGGGGAGGGATCTTCCAATTGAAAATATGAAAGGAGGCGCTATGAAATAAAGTGATCAAATATAATTATCTTAATGATTACATGATGGTTTGAAATGGTTACCAGAAATGTTGTAAAATTCACAATGAAAAACGGGAGGAAAAAAGCAAATTTTTCCACATTTCAATGTTTACTCATGATATTAAATTTCAATGCACCTACATATTATATCTCAAATGATGAACAGGTAAAATAATTAACATATCATTACAATGATGACCAACAAGAAGCTCTTTGATGTTTTTACACATATAGATATGTTTATGAAAAAAATCTCAAACTCTGTGATTAAAATGCAGATTATTAAACCCTATCACCCATGCGAAACAATTTTAATCTTGGGCCATGGACAAATAACGACTCAAATGGAGAAGAATTACAATTAGTCTTGATTATATAAGAGAAAAAAATAAACAAAAAGAGTAAAATATTAGCATGATTTCACACACATTCAACACACTATATCTTTATCAAAGATGATGATTTTTTTTACAATATCAAAAAGAAAATATAGCCACAATAATGCAAAAGAAATAAAAGTTCTTGAAACATCCGTGGAATATCCCAGTACAATAAGTAACAACATTTCCTAACACCATTCGAATGAAACTTTTTCTATTCGGGATATCCATTCTTCTATCTTCTCGCTGAATTAACACAAAAACACTTTTCCCAACATCGCGGTCAGATTTTTCTTTCTCAAAAAAAAGGAACTTTTCCTCTATAATGTCTTTGCACCGAACTCTTCTCGGTTCATTTCTTCATACTGCCGTTTCTTTTTTTCCTAACTTAAAACACGATTTCTTTGTTTACACAAGAAATAAACTTTTATTGTCACACTTGATTTAGAATACTTTAGTATAATTTCATGATTTCGGTTTTTTTTTTCATCTAATTTTTTTTCACTATTTCATTAAAAGCACAGTTTTTTCAGTTTGTTTTAATCACTTTACATAAATATATATAGTCAACATATAAGTCAATGTCTAAAACTAAAAATACAACTTATTTCTGTTCATTTTTTTGTCCATCGGGTAGCGGGTTTTTTAACAATTTTTTTTAAAGTTAATGTAAAAATAATACAATGTTTAAAGTATATATATATAATATAAAGTTTCACAACATGCAATATTTAATATAAAAAAACTGTCAACTTAAGCTTTATTTCACAGATCTAAACGGCTAAAATAAAAACCTGTCACATTTTCAAAATATTTTTTTGATTTTTTGTTTCATTTTTCTCAACTAAAGACATAAGCATGCATTATTTCAGAATATGTACTCCATACAGAATCAACACTAGCAACTTTTTTTTTCTTCTCTAAATTATGTACAAATTCTCTGCACCTATGTACGAACATCTATGTAAGCATCCCGTCTCCGTGGGGATATACACGTATATTTCTAGTCTTCTTCCTCGTCGGACTCGACCTCTGCTTGCTCCAGCCATGTCAGCCAATTATTCACCTAATTATAAAGTAAAAATCAGAGTTAAAAGCTTTCAGTAATAACCTTCAAACAATATATCTAAACATTACACCAAGTATCTATACATTACACCAAGCGATTGTATGCTATCCTATATATCTACAGCTTTAGCTCGTAACCTGCTGCGACTGAAAGTGACTTGCCTTTCCAAATAATATACATCAAGACCAGCCTGTACCACCGTGTATTCTGACAAGGCTCTATACTGTTGGTAGCCAAATTTTGGTATTTTCAAATTTAAATCCTTAAAGTTACAAATTCATAACTTGGCAAATTCATAACATAAATTAAGCAGGTTAGTTAATACCAATTTGTCGGACAACTTTAAGGTTCCTCAAACCAAAAACAGTCAAAATTTAATTAGAAAATTACCAGCTTTAAATCTCACGTTTAGTAAAATTTAATTTGAATATTTCTAACTATTTAGGCTATTTTGAATAACAAATCATGCTTGGATTAACACATCTCACATCCTTAAAATCAAGTTCTTTATTTATCTTTGATTTACTTTATCACCATTGTTTCATCACATTGCTTCTAATATTTACAATATTACAAAAATTCAGATAATTCAATTGTACAATAAAATAAATTACCTGGAAGAGTGCTTTCCCTTTACCTGGGTACTCATCATTCACTTCTTCCTTCCACTTGAGAAAAACTTCCTCGTCAACAACTTCCATATCATATAGGTCCATAAACAATCGCAACATCATTCCTGTATCAACAATCATTTCATATTGATTTGTTTTAACCCTAACCATTCATATAGAGTTGCTACAAATATAGACAAACCAGTCTGAAATCAATGCCGTCGGCCTGGGCTGTATACTACTGGCAAACTTACTTAAAATTTCCGTCTTAACATTCCTTAAAATTGATATGGACAGTTCCAAAAAAAAGGAAGTGGGACAAGTCCATTTAAGAAATTCAGCAAGTTAAAGGTCAAGCCAGTGGCTGTAGCCGTTCAAACGAGCTGGTCATTTGAATTTTCAGACACTTGGTTATTTACAAACCTCTTGGCAGTGACCATCATACATTCTTTCTTATCACCATAGCATTGGTACAAACATTTCAAATGTCACCAGGGATCATGATTTACCCCCTGTATAAAGCAAAGCAAACCTTTATGCCACTTTCATGTCAAGGTTTTTATACAATTGGCTACCTAATTCCAACATTCTTAACATAATAACCACTAACTTCAAGAATGGACAGTTTCAGATAACAAGAGCTGTCGGTAGGACAGCAACGCTCGACTATTCTTAGTGCTTGATAGTAAAAAAAATGGCTGATACAGTTACCTCCTCCTGTCTACAGGTTGGGGTCATGAGGGTGAACAAGTGTGCAAAGTTTCAAAGCCATATGTCAATGGACTTTGAAAATATTTAAACTATTACAAAAACTTTAACGTAAATTCTAAGTCGAAAAAGGGGCATAATTCAGTCAAAATGCTTAATAGAGTTACCTCTTCCTGTCTACAGGTTGGGGTCATGATGGTGAACAAGTGTGCAAAGTTTCAAAGCCATATGTCAATGGACTTTGAAAATATTTGAACTATTACAAAAACTTTAACGTAAATTCTAAGTCGAAAAAGGGGCATAATTCTGTCAAAATGCTTGATAGAGTTACCTCCTCCTGTTTACAGGTTGGGGTCATGATGTTGAACAAGTGTGCAAAGTTTCAAAGCCATATGTCAATGGACTTTGAAAATATTTAAACTATTACAAAAACTTTAACGTAAATTCTAAGTCGAAAAAGGGGCATAATTCAGTCAAAATGCTTAATACAGTTACCTCCTCCTGTCTACAGGTTGGGGTCATGATGGTGAACAAGTGTGCAAAGTTTCAAAGCCATATGTCAATGGACTTTGAAAATATTTGAACTATTACAAAAACTTTAACGTAAATTCTAAGTCGAAAAAGGGGCATAATTCTGTCAAAATGCTTGATAGAGTTACCTCCTCCTGTCTACAGGTTCGGGTCATGATGGTGAACAAGTGTGCAAAGTTTCAAAGCCATATGTCAATGGACTTTGAACATATTTGAACTATTACAAAAACTTTAACATAAGTGGTTACGCCGACGCCGACGCTCGGGTGACTGCAATAGCTCTACTTATTCTTATCGAATAGTCGAGCTAAAAACCAATACGTTAGCATTACATCTTTGAGCCAATTGTTTGACATGTTGGGTTTTAAGTGATACTGACACTTTTATTGTCATATGGTGACACCAGTACTTTGTGGTTGTTGTTGTGTTATATGTCGCATCAACATAGTATAGGTCATACGGCAATTTTCCAGCTTTACTGGTGGAGTAAGACCTCAAGTGCCTGCCCTTGCATTATTTCAGGTACGAACGGGTACCTGAGTAGAATCATTGATGTTCCGTAAGCTAGCTAGCTTGATAGCTTCCTCACATGAAAGAATACAAAGTCCCTGTCAGGATTCGAACCCACAGCTGTGAGAAGCAAGTGGTTTGAAGTCAATGACCTTAACCACTCAGCCACAGATGCCGCCCCCGGTGTACTAGTAGAGGAATAGCTCAGCTTATGAATAACTCAGCTTCTCCTTCATGCACCGACTTTCTGTAAGCAAGCTGAATAGCTTCATTATTGAAAGCTTACGGAAGATAAGTGTTTCAACTTAAATGCCCTCTTATGCCTGAAATTTAGCACATTGGGTATAAGGGGCAGATAAAAACGTAGCACAGGGAGAGTTACAAACCTTTAGGGTAGTTATTATTGTAACAGAAGACTTGAGCAGCATATAAACTGTGCATCTGAAGGCCTGTATTCTCCTGAACAAACTTCTGGACAACATCCTGATACAAAACAAAGTTATAAATACATTAACTGCTGCATATAACACATGATAACACTATCATTATATATACTGAAGTCTACTAATGTGCTACTGAAGTACTAATAATATTTAGTAATAGGACACCATACTGGTTAGTTCCAGACGAAGCGGACTCCAGAGATTCAAATAAACTTCAAACTTTCTTTACAGTCAGGTTTGTTCGTTTGTTTTATATGTTGTTGTTTTTTTTCAGCCAAATCTAACACATAATATTGGTCTTTTCTCATCAGCTGATCCATCTAACAGACTTTCCTGGACAACTAACCAATAATGTAAATTTCTCTGCAGTTGTTCGGCTACTTATCATATATGATTTCTGAATCAGCAACAAGAGACAAATGTGCATTAGACTCAATGTCATGTGGATATTACACCTCACCTTGGATCTGGGGATCAAGCCAGCAATCAATAGATTACTAATGCAATTCTCTCCCTATTGAGCTACGCTTGTAGACTAGCTAGTCTTCTTTGGGATTGGAATAATAACTTGTAAATGAATAAAATAATTTATATATTTTTAAAGAACGATATATTTTACCTTCATTTCATCTAGGAGCTGTTTCTCTTTCTCCTGCAGTGTCTTACTAGGGTTACTTTTAGGATCGCATCCTTCACCTAGCGTACTCTCCGAGGTCACGTAACGTAACACACTGTAATACAGCGAACAGAAAATGTACATGTAAAAATTCAATACAAATTTTTGATAGTTTGTTTGTTTGATTGGGTTTTATGTCACACCAACACAGTATAGGTCATATGGCGATGTTCCAGCTTAACTGGTGGAGGAAGACGACAGGTGCCTTTCCGTGCATTATTTCAGGCAAGAACGGGCACTTAAGTAGAACCACCAACGTTCTGTAAGACTGATTTTTGTTCCATCACCTCAGTGGTCGACTTAATTAACTGCTTCATTATCTATTTGCACTGTATTATTTTTCCCCCATATGTTCTTATCAGTAATTCAAAGGTTATGTGGCAACATTTTACAGTCGCAGTTTAACATTAGATGCCTCTCTGTGCATTATTGTATATCGAACTATCGTCACACTAAATTGTTTCTGACATTGTTTGATTAAAACTAACCTTGTAGTGAGAACATTAATGAACGCTGGAGTATGATGAAGGTCAGTACTGACTGTCTCCTTGATCCACTTGAACAAGGCAGTTGCCGATGGCTCAGCCTGTATCTGTTTCCATAATTCGGACTGTACACGCAGCAAGGGAAACATAAAACTTAATCCTCGTTCCTCCAGTATCTCCATCATTCTCTCCTTGCTTCTATCTACTTCTACAATATTACCATAAAAAATATTGTTACATTTTTTTTTTAAATTAAATTAATGATTATGGAAAGAGGATCTTAAGTTTGTTTTCACCATTTTTATCACATACCGGTGTTGATTTTGCGACTCCATAAAAACGGTATTGCACGTCCATGCATGTATTTTGTGTATTATTCAACTTGTTCAATAAATTCAGTATTAAACTTACACTCATTCAATATCCTCTACTTCAAAATATTCTCTGAATAAACCATGGACTGACAAATCCAAAACACAATTTCTAGTGGGTAACTTTTTAACTTAACAATGGACTTTAAGGATAAGTCAAATTCACAAATTCACTTGGAAATGACAAATTTATGATATTTTAATCCTTGACTTGCTGGAACCTTAAGTGGTTATCCTCTGCCACCAGTATAGAGCCACGCCAGCCTGCACTACAATAAATCTGACCAGAATCTTTACTGATACAAGCTCAGTGTTAGTAATCCGATACTGAAATCCCTGTAAATGGATTGTTCTGAATTCAAAGCGGAGTAAACCATTGCAAAAATTCAGCAGGTGAAGGGTTGATGCAGGACAGGTCTATTGCATAAATCAGTGGGGAAATAAACATTCAACTTACCAGGGAGCATATTCTGTAGATCCATTTTACTCTCATTAAACACATTGACAACCCAGTCTTTATCTTTCTGTTTCAACATCTGCTGCAGACAGAGAAGAAACAAGGGGTAATACGTTCCTTGTTCCATCGGCTCTGCCAGCTCTTGTAATGTAACAATGCTCTCTGTGACTCCGAAAGCCCCAAACCTCGCGACGTACGTCTTGATCAGTGGTACATCTGACTCCATACCTGCCATCTGTTCTAATACTGACCTATAACCCTACACAGATAAAGATAATGCATTATAGCAACTGGTAGTGCATTAACTTCAGAAATAGTCCGCAAAGGACAAATTTGAAAGGTTGTGTAGATATCAGTGCAGATGTATAAGTGCATCAATTTAGCCCTTTTCATGCATGAATTTTTTTTTACTTGTGTACAAATTTGATTCCTAAAGAACTCTGCTATTTTGTCTTTACTGAAAAATGTCCTTACTGATGTGGAGTTGGTTATGATAAAAATATCTGGTTTGTACAAGGTTTCAATTACTGTTCAATAACTAATATCAATTGTTACATATGAACATATAATGTTAGCTTAAATATATAACCAACCATAAATACACACTTTACTTATAATACAACAATTCTAAAATACAAGCAAACTCAAGCATGCACAATTATTATTTGTCTGGTTTATACGCTGATTTGAACACATTTTTATCATAACTTGGTGGTTTGCACAAAAAAGTTTTCCCGGAAAACTAACCTGTTAACCCTTTACCTCATATATACGCGAAACAACGCACTTTCGACCCCCCCCCTTTTTTAGGCCTCAAATAGTGAAAAAAATGTCCTATTTGGGCCCCCAACATAAGTTTTCGTTTGAGAAATGTTGCTAAAAAAATTGAGCACTTTTTCGGCGCCGCCCCCCATCCAAAAGATACATCAGGGGGTTGCCAGAAGGGGGATGTGCCCCCTTCTGTTAGGGGGGTTTGAAGGGGGGCGGAGTCCCCCTCATCGCCAAGAAAATTTTGGACTTGTGAGAGGCTAAAAATGACCCAGGTCGATCATAATGTAATGTTTAACCAACGCTGAAAAGCCTTTGACTCTATCTCAATCCCTTGAGCAGTTACAGCACTTTGAAATAAATTTTGATGGAAAAAATCGAGGCAAAATAGTGATTTTTGGCAATTTTGAGATGTCCCCTCGTTGCCATGGTAACAGGAAATTTAAGACTGAGCATGTCGTTACAAAGGCAATGGTCCAGTCAACATTGGTGCCAAGTTTGATTAGTATTGAAGCATTTTTCATAGTTTCATAGCAGTTTGAACTTGTAACAGGAGGCTTTTCAGTGAAAACGGCCATTTTTCACAATATGCTCATGGGGGAAAGGGTTAAGTAATTATCAATTTGATTTCTGAATCAGTGACGAGAGACGAATGGATTTCACTCAATGTCCTATATTAATTGTCACAGAGAAATTGTGCCTCGTCCAAGGATCGGGTCACTGACCGCTGAATTATGATGCCTTTTGTTTTGGCCCAAGTGTACGAATCCCATTATATGAGTATCAAAGGATGACTTTGTTTTTGAGCTTTATGCTTTTTTATTCTGATATTTTTCCAATAGATTTAAATCAAGTTTAAGGCAGATAATCAGAATCAAGTTGAAACTTACGTCCATAAAATGACTGGATGTTATCAGGTTCTCGGACTTTAATGCCACTACCAACTTCATTACATTCTCCCGATCTGTATCTATAAATAGAATGATAAAACCGTAAAAATTAAAATAACAAACCTATGCTTAATTATATATGCAATTTAATTATACCTCTACCGGTTTCACAATATAACATCATCAGGAGGATAATGAAAATATAGATATAGGCCTCAAACTCAGTGCCGAATTGCAAAGATATCTTTAAATACTTGCTACCACTTCTGTTAAAGCTGCACGCCTCCAGATCAGCGAAAATATTTCAATAAAATCAAACCTGTGAAAAATGTACTTAGATTTTAGGAAAAGTGTAAAGATTCAAAGTTCTAGTAATAATTTACATGTTATGTGCGATTAATGACCGATTTTTCAGTTTTTATAACTATATTTCTACTGCGGTACTAACGCAGTAAGGGCTATTTTTGCATATTTTGTCCTCTTTTAAGTAATTTACGTGAATTGCAAGTGGCATTGATATTGTATAAATTGCTTCCTTTTGGTTATTTCACTGAATAATACTTTTAAACACATTTTCAAAATTTTCATGAAAATTAGCATGAATCTGGAGGCGTGCTGCTTTAACTCATTTAATGTTGTTGTTGTTTTTATTTCCTGTAGTGTGGGACATTTGACCGCACATTTATTTATGTGAATAGAATTATATATATCAAACACTGTATCTATAAATAGAATAAAATAATGTTACACTGTATCTATAAATAGAATCATTTATCACACTATATGTATAAATAGAATTATGTCTTACACTCTGTATCTATAAAAGATATGATTATATTTAAGACAGTAAGTATGTAACACTGTATTTATAAATAGAAATCATATAAGACTGTATATATAAATAGAACTGTATCTATATTTAAACAATATATATAACACATTAAATGTAAATAGAGATCATAAATCCCTCCCTGAATCTATTAATAGAATGGTTTTTCTGGGTTTTACTTCGGACTAACACAGTATAGGCCAAATGGCGACTTTCCAGTTTTACTGGTGGAGTAAGACCTAAGATGCCCTTCCGTGCATTGTTTAAAGGAACAAACAATACAAATAGAATATTATGTAAAACACTGTATCTATCAACAGAATTAAATACAAGATTATGTTTCAGTACACTATGTACACATCATTTTCAATAATAACTGTATGTTTGTATACCCATATTCCCTTTTCATCTTCATACTATCTAACCTATTATTCCAAATTCTGCATTCAATCTAGGTGGGTTATTTTTTAATGTAAAATGCTGGTTGACAATGCATTCAATTTTCAATCACATTTAACAAGGCAAAGTACAAAACAAATCATGGTATAAAAACTTACTTAATATAGTGTGCAACTCTGTTTTTAAATTTAAACACACAGAGGGGAGTGGTGGCTAATGGTTAAGGTGTCAGCCTCTCAACCCAAGGATCATGGGTTTGAGCCCTACTTGGGTCACAACCATGTTGCTTCACATAACACCAATACTGGTTGGTTCCAGGAAGCGGACTCAGAAGTGATTAATATAAGTTGCAAGTACTTGTTTTGCAATCGAGCTGAAATATGTTAAAAAACTAAACATACATCAAGTAGAACCACAAGACTCTGTACAGACAGTTTAACAAAGTGTAAAAAAAGAAACATATAAACATACCTGACTTATCTACTGTGCTAATCATCATATCTGTAAGCATTTCTGGCATGAACCTGTAAAATAAATATAAATCCTCGTTACATCATGGACACTAACAACCAATCAGAAATAAGCTAAAATTCCTTCCAACCAATCAGAAATAAGCTAAAACTCCGTCCAACCAATCAGAAATAAGCTAAAATTCCTTCCAACCAATCAGAAATAAGCTAAAACTCCGTCCAACCAATCAGAAATAAGCTAAAATTCCTTCAAATGAATTATGTTTACCTTTCATAATAGATGACCAAAACACTTCTCATTAAACATCTTCAATAACAATTTATGCCTAATTCTTAAATTTATGACTTTTTCAAAATTATAGCAAAGTTTAAGGAATACTATCCACCAATATAAATGTGATGAAAGAGTATCTCCCTGAAACTTACTTCTTTGGTGGGTTCAACTCTTTAATTGTTGTAAGAGACTCCTGTAAAGACCCGCCTTCCAAATAATCATCCAATGTACTTTTCTGAAACATAAAATAATACACTTCTTTTTCATAATAGCACTTAGTAAACATGTTATGTAAAATTTTTGAATTGTAGGCATTTTAATAGGAACAGCAAAACCAGATTTTGACCTACTTGTCTGCTTTGCCTGCAGCATTCATTTAACTTGAATGTATGACATTTATAAATTAAATTATGGCAAATTTCACTTCTCCGTTATGTGATTTTTTTGCCCGTGATTAACCATTCCTCAAGGAATTTTTGTACTGGAAAGAGGATTTTTGACTATCAGACTGTGTATTGTTCTGGTGAGATGTTTTGATAGGCAACAAACAGCCAACAACTCTGTTAAGTCAAGTCACTAGCCCTGCATTGTCATCAAGGGGCAAGTTATGAGGTTCACTCTGTTCAAACTGATCTTTCAGGGTGAAAAAATACCTTATGGCATGCAGCAAAATGGTTTTTTTTGGTGGTTTTATAGACCAAAAGGAGATCAAAGAAAAACAATGTCAAATCGAGCAGTCATATTTCACTGATGTGTAAAATATCCAACACTAGAGTGGTTGCAAAAGAAAGTCACTGTCACTTCTAACATACATTTTCAGTATGACACCACTATAATCCAGATATGCCATGTAAAAGATGCCACAATGTCAACTACAGGAAATAAACCTCTGGACCTGAGACTTAAACTACTACCCAGTCAAAAGTTACTTTTACACAAAATTTGAATTGACATACAGTAATCAGCATTTTGTAAAAAGATGTTAGATGAAGGAAATAAAGATATCTTTCTTCAAACTCACCACTGTTTTCTTTATTTCATCTTTGTTAGGCTGTGGAGACTTTTTCTTTGGGGGATTCAATTTTTCTTTAGGTACCTCTTTTATTGTCACAGCAGCCTATAATTAACAATGAGTTATAAAACAGACTCAAACATAGTAATGATTTATTTTTCAAGACTCAAAATTGTAAGAACACGAGTACATTTTTGTTTTATTGTAATGTAAAAAGTCACAATAATCTTGTATGGAAATCATAATTTTTCAAAACTCTCAATATAATGAATATACATCAACCTGTCTTACTTTTTTATAACTTTCCACTAGGAAATTGCATGCACATTACTGAAACCATTCTTCCATAGGCAAATAAATGTGAAAAGTTGTAAAAGTCATGCACAGATGTATATATACATATACAGGACTTACTTGTTTAGCCAACAACGGGTTCAGGTTATTCACCCTCTGATCCATCATAGACGAGTTCCCCGTCATCAACGGTGAACCTGAACTAGGTGCCGCCTGTGCCGACTTGGGCAACATGGTGGGCACACTGGGTCGCAGGGCAGTTGTAAAGTTGCGGTTGGGTCTGAGACTGATTTCCTCGTGTTTAGGTAGCGGAGGGGGAGGTACAGCTGTGTTGGGTAGAGGTATAGGCATCTGCCCGTCCTGTACCATCATCATGGCTTGTTGTTGTGAGGGAGGGGGCGGAGCTTGCTGTTGTTGCTGTAACTGTTGCTGTTGTAACTTGGCGAGTCGAGGAGGTAGATTGCCTACACATGATAACACAAATGTCAAAATTACTATAAAAGAATAACTACTATCAATAAATGCACTCAACTTTATGTAAAATAAACCCATTATAAAATCTGTTTTGACGCGTCAAATTTCAACTAATCCGTTGAATCATTTACATGAAACATCAGAGCATCTTCAATGCTCAATTGAAGTACTATGTACCTCTTTTTCACATCCCAAAGATACAAGATATGTAAATAATACAAATGATCAGACAAAATCAGTAAAAATGTTTCCAGCTGATTTCGTCATATAATATTTGTTGTATACAGCAATGACCTCAGTCAATTTTTTTTACATACTGAAAGTAGCCCCTGACCTTTACGTAAAACATTTTCAGAGTACACATAAACCATTATAATAAATTCAAGTCCTATATCTCAGTATAAAAATATAACAAAATCTTAGACATTTCAGTGAAAGATTTTTCTCTAGTGCTATACTCTTAACATATTGACCTTGACCAAACTTAGAAATGAATTCAGCCTTGGGAATTGCCAGAGACTTAACTTGAACAAATCTGGACTGCATGAGGACATACTGACCTTGTCCAAACTCAGAAATGAAGACAGTCAGAGTTTTAACTTGTACGACTCCAGACTGCACGAGGTACAAAATATTTATTTTCAAAATTAATGGATACTTACTAGGTTTCTTCTGCTGGAACTGTTGCTGCCCCACTGGTGACCCCTGCTGTTGTTGACCTTGTTGCTGGGGCGACAGACGACCCCCTTGTTGCTGCTGATTCTGAAAGTTGTGTCTCTGTGACCTTGGCGACCCACCACCTCCACCGTCAGTGGGTGGCGGCCGTTTCTGATAATTGTTATAACCTGGGTTGTGCTGGTTATTTCTGGTTTTATTGTTATAGTTCGGGATATACCCATCCATCTGTATAACGCCTGGACCAGTACCTAATCCCCCTACAATTATTAGAAATTCAAAAAAATAAAATCATAGTTATCAAGTAATACACACTATTATCAAGTTTACACTTTAAAAGCAAAAAGACTTTACCTTCCACTAACTGAAGGCATGAATAAGTACTCAAAATAGATCATTTTTCAAGATCAAGATTTATTTTTTGAAATTAGAAACTTTTAAAAAATATGATACTGTAATTATCTAAATTTTGTTTGGGGTCACATGGCGACTTCCCAGCTAAACTGGTGGATAAAGACCTGGGGTGCCCCTTTGAATAGCGTAAACAAGCAGGCACTGGAGTAGAACCAACGACTTTCTACAGTAAGCTAGCTTGACTGCCTCCTTACACAATTGAATCTGATGTCCCTGACATAAACAAACACACAGCAAATGTGGGGCAAATGTTTTGATATCATACCCATTATCCCTGTTGGCGGCATGCCAAAAAAGTCACCAAAAGATCCCGTAGGTCCTGTTGGCGCAACACCTGGCTTCCAGGGTGCCCCCAGACTACCATTCATCTGTGTAGGAGGTCTCGGACCTCCCGTTCTGTTCTGCTGCGGAATATATACACCCGTCTCCTGAATTGTTGAAATTTTCTTATTACAGTCAAATCAATTTTTTATTATAACAACATCAGCCTAATCTTGTAAAATGCTTAACTAAATAACAAGCCTTTGAATGTCTTTTGTTCGTCCAAAATGAAAGTCTAAGTTAAAACTACATTTCCCAAGAAAATAGAAATACAATAACATCAGCCATTAAAGAAATATTCATATTTAGAATGAAAATATTTTGACAAAAGTCATTGTGAATGTATACTGAATTGTGTTTCTATAATTAAAGAATAATTGACCATGTTCCCATAGACAACTATCACGAAATCTAAATGCTCTAACCTGACCCATGTGGGTCAGGTTAGGAAACCAACATTTTTTTCTTTATATGGAGAAAATTTGTGTTCCCTAGACTGCTTAGTGCATTCATTTAATGATAATTTATAGAATATAGGATGATATATATACGAAGATATGAAAATTTTGCATGTGTCTCCCTTTAAAGCAATTTGCGTTTGTTAACATAAAACTTACATCAGCAGCTTCTTGTCTAATCTGTGTGATTGTTTTTGGACCTTCCCACCCTGTATGTCTATTCTTCCACTGAAAAACAAAAACAATTATACAATAATACGGCTCAGAATTTGCCATTCCTGGCGTTCATAAACAACAATATAGATTTTTGAGATCCAAAGACAAATTTACAAATTTCTACGTCTACAGGGTTATACATGTATAAATTATTTAGAGAAAGATCTATGGACAACATTAATTATTTCAGAACTTTGAAGATTTAATTTGTAAGTTTTGAGATCCATCGGGCAGGAAACTGACTTTTACAAAGTCCATACGAGGTTCATAGGTAGCTGTATATGGATTATATTACAATTTATTACAATTTCTATCTTATTACAATTTAACAGGCATTTAAAACACAGATTTTTAGAATTCCATTCACCAAATTAACAATTTTGAATTCCTTGATAACTTTTCGTTACTGAGTTTACAGGAAAAGTTCTTAATCCTTTACTCGTTAGAACCAGGTTAAATACTGTATGCTGACACTTACTTTATTATCCCTAAGCTCTATAACATCCTGAAGCATAAATCTAATTCTTGACGGTAACTCGGGTATACCAGAAAACTGTTTAATTCTACTAAAATATTGATCCATCCATGCCTGTAAAGGAAAATAAGTTTAACATTGTTAAACAGTTAATATAGTGTTTCATAAATATTATAATTTATTTTCACAGTAAATTCCAAATTTGCAATAAAACTAGTCACAAATATGGGTAAACTAGCCATACAATCTGAAGTCCCATTTCGAAATATTATTTATCTTTATGACTTTTCATGTAATTTTTAAGTTTTATTATAAACTTTATTTGCTCATCAAAGGCTTTATACTTTCAAAACTTAGCAAACTAGCACTTGAAATTTAAAAAAACTAATATAGATAGTATTTCGTTGTATTGGGTCTATTCAAGGTCGGTTTGACCCAACGGTTGGGATTATACATACTTGGCTTTGGGCGTGTCAAGGCGTCGACCAACGGTTGTCATTATCTGACAGAGACACTCAAGATCTTCCGCCGACTCCTGGATGGGCAGATTCTTTTTCTTCTCAAGTAGCTGTTTAATACAGCGGTGTAAGATGCCCTCGTGTAACATCTCGAGTTTACCAAGTTCACCTGCAACAAAACAAATTTTAGTGAACAAAAAAAATACACAGAAAAAAATTATTATAACATCAGAAGTGTGGTTTGAAACCCTATATAGATCTTTTATGATTAAAGGGACTCCACTGAGGTTTTTTGACATAACGGTACTGGAAATAATTTTTTCGAGATTTATATTCCATTTGATAAAGGTCTAGAATTTCTAGATTTCTGGTCATTTGCTCACTGTTATTTCGAAAATAATCTTTTTATTTGTGAAAAATAACCAACACTTTGATGTGTTGCAAGAAAGTTTTTTGTTACTTTTCACTCAAATCAAAATATGATTCTCAATTATTCCTGAGTATATTTCTCAATTGTCTTTAGCATATCATTCTGTTTTAAGTGCCCCCTCCCCCCCAGCTTATCTATGTAAGAAAATTGATATTTATGTTCTTACACTCTTAAAAAAAAAGTGGGGTTCCTTTAAAAAAAAATTCCTATCAATTAGAAAACATTCCCACAGTTTTAATAATTTAAAAATGTTTTGTAATGTTTTGGAAAATATTAATATGTAAAATTATTTCTGAGGAAAAAATGCTGTTTTTGTTTTTATTTTACGCCCTTTTTCCCAAAAGTATTTTAGTCATAAAAGGCGGGAATTTTTCCCAACCATCGTTTCCGGGGGAGTTACAAGTTTCTAACCCCCCCATCCTCCCTGCTAAAAATAAACCCAAAAAAAATAGGGATTAAACAGAAAATTTTCCAAACTTTTTCAAAGAACATATTATAATTATTTTGAGCAAATTTGAATCTCGAAGCCCCAAGGAATAAAATTGGGACTCCACCCAATTTAACTTGGGTTTCCCCCGGGATCTTTTTCTTGGCAAGTGATACTTGTTCCCCAACCCCCCTCTTGGAAAAAATGCCTCTTTGTTTAAAAGCCGGGAATAAAAAATGAGCCAAAGGGCAAAGAAAAACCCAAAATAATGGGTTTTTCGAACAGCTAAGTCCAGACCAAACCTGGCATCCGCGCCCGTTGATCAGGGCCATGCTGTTTTGGTTTTCAGTTTTTTCTTTTCTTGTTAAAAGGGTTTGTAAGCGAACAGAATGGATCCTGATCAGACTGCACATGCACATGCAGGCTGGTCTGGATCCATGCTGGTCGCAAACCCAATATGTTGGTTTTGTCATGATTTTGTCATATATCCTTTTGATTTTAACACAACATGAACAAATATATCAAGCTAAATTGCACCCCATTTGTTTTAGTACTTATTTTCAGCGTGTTGCATTTTTAATGGTTATGTCTCATATCTAAAGGTTATGTCCCCAAAGCTAAAAAGAACCCCCCAGTGATTTTTTTTTGGGTAATAACACACACTTTTGTTCCCTTTTTTTTCAAAAAAAGGAAAAGGGTGCGGGCCAAAGTTAAAATGTTATATTTAATTTAAAATTACCATTACTGGGCCTTTGGGTCTGTTTTTTCAAAATCACTTGGGCACTTGTTTTAAAAGCAGACTCGAAAGCTAAAAAAAAGATCAGGGTTTAAAAACCCAAATTCCCTAAGTTTTACATGTAATTTTTGGGTTAGCATTAAAAAAATTCACACTCAAAACTTATCTTGTTAAAGAAAATGATACCGTTTCAACAACAAGTTTATTCACTGAAAGAAATATTGGTCATTTAAAACAAATGAACTTTATTCTGCAATAGTTTAGAAGAATTTTTTTCAAATGACCATGGGGGCATATCATTTCAAAAAGATTATTCCCTTTAAAAGACTTAGGAAAAAATTTCCCCTTTCAATTTTGATGTTGGGTTTTTAAAAATGATACCCTTGGGGACCATGCATCCTAAAATTTTCCCCTTTAAAATTTTAAAAATGGGGGGACTTTGTTTTTACAGCTTTTTTTTCTAGGGATTGGCAACAAGTTTTTAAACAAAGGGTTTAAAGGGAATAACATAAAAGGTCAATTTCCATATTTATTGGGGGCATTAAAATATGCACATGTAAAAGCAAATTAACATTTTTTGTTTTAATTATTGTAATATCGGAATGAAGGAAGCTCTTTTTATGATAAATTAGTTTTTTCCCAAAATCTCTTTGTTTGGGGTTTAAAATTTACACCCAAAACCGGGACAAGGGCATAAAGGGAAAATTTCCCGCTTTAAATGGTGGTGGAAAACCCCAGGTTCCCTTTTGGCATTAATTTTAAAGGGAGGCCGGGGGCCCGAGTAGAACCCCGGGCATTCTGTAAGCAAACTGGATAGCTTCCCCCACATGGGAAAAAATCCCCAATCGCTGTTGGATTTAAACCCCAGAGGTGAGGAGCATTTGGTTTGAAAATTTAACAACCTTAAATCACCCACAGAAACACTGCCCTAAAAAACAAAGTGTGAAATAAATGACTATCAAAGGGAAAATTCAATTTATAAAAGCAAAAATTTTTATTTTTTACCTTCAAAACCTCCTTTTTTTCCCGGGGGAAAGGAACTATAAAAAGTTTTTACAGTATGTAAAAGTGTGACCAGACTGCTTCATTTATGCATCTAGATATCAAAGTACAATATATGATAATTATTTACCGATATATTTGAGTCCTTGGGTTCAAAATTCGGTGCGTCTTCACATAGTTGATGACATAATTTGGCATACACAGAACTATATTTGGGCTCATCTAGAGCCTTTTCAAAGATCTGAAAATAATATTAATACAAAACATACAATACAGTACTATGAACATACACATGCAAGTTTTATTAGATATATCCATTTCATCGAGTTTTTAGCAAAATCCAAACTGTCATGGTCACGTTAGTTGAGAAAGACCTAAGAAATGTAAAAACCAAAAACAATTTAGTCATCAATTTTACAATTTATCATAACATTACATTTTTATTTCATTTTCAAAGCTTAAGATATTATATAAAAACTTCCTTATTTTATCAAGTACCAACAATTCCATTTGCAAGACAAGCTTTGTTAATTAGTTTCATTTTACGCCCTTTTCCCAACAGTATTTCAGTCATATAGGCCGGTAGTTTCCTAACAATCGTTCCTGGAGAGTTACACCAGTACTAGGCTACCTTCCTCCATGCTAAACTTCTAAAGCATATCCCAGGGATCAAACCCACGCCAGAGAGGTAACTGGATTAGAAGTCATTGACTCTTACCCCTCGACCACAGAGCAGGGATGCCAACAGACAATTTTGAAAAACGAGGAAAATTAAACGCGAGGGGTCATGGGGGCTGCGTAGGCCCCCATGCAGGTCCAGGGCAGAGCCCTGGTGGGGGACTCGGGGGCAAAGCCCCCAGAAGCTCCAGGGTTTTCATCCTTTTCAGATGGTCTAAAATTAATTTCCTTTTAGCTGCTTGTATCAGCATATTTTTCCATCAACTGATATTGATATTTACTGAACATTTATTTTTGACGAAATCACTCATCAATGCGGACCAGTTGTCTCGTTGATCAGATATTCACATTGACCGTGTTCTCTAAACCATTTCAAATTAAACTTATTTTTAACATTTTTGTCAAGTCTTTGATCTTCGAAGCGTTGTTGGAGTTAATTGGCTAATCGGCCGACATTTTGTTTCGATTTCTTCAACTACAGAAAGACGCTACGATTGGTCGGTTTATTTAACGCTATCGTGAATTGGCTTACTATAATAGCGACAATAACTGAACATGCCCGAAAAGCGGCACGGTCAAAATATTTATGGTACGGTCTAAACATTTACAATCCGAATCGGCGAACAATAGACGGTAGCAAACTCGGCGAAAGAGACCCCCACACACCAAATTTTCTCCTCGGATTAACATTGTTCTCAAAAGTGGTTCGAGGATCTCGAAATCCGCGGATTTCCGCGGATCCGCGGAAAATTGGCATCCCTGACAGAGGCGGTTCAACACTTTCGTAAATAAAGCAGGACAAGACAGTGATTTTTCTCCACACCAATGGAAACCTTTTGGTTATGATTCTTCCCAAAATCAAGAAACTACCGCCTCTTCCCAATTAAGTGAGAAAAACCACTGCAAGACCAATGCATGAATTTATCAGAAAGAAAGGGAAAAAAACAATTAATCAATGTACTTACCAAGAGGATTATCCCTTTAAGAATGACTTGTGATTCAATGCCTACATTTAGTAGTTCAAGGCTTAACTTATCGAATTTTTCTGGTGACAATTTATTAAGGATTCTGAAAGCAATTGATACAAAAAGACATAAATCAGTGACAACTGAATTCCAAACAATTACACTTAAGTAAATGAAATAAATACAATAGTTGTAAAGTTCTTAACTTCAAAATCCCGGATATATGATGTGAAATAAGTCAGACGATAGCAGAAATTCCATAACATTTAATTTAAAAGAAAAATACTTTCTTGTATAGATTTTTCACTATACATTTTTTTCCAACACTGAACAGGTTAAAATACATGTATAAATAAAATTTCAGCACTGTGGGATATGGCACTTACCCTCTGACCTTTCTAAAGACAGAATCGTGTTTTTCATCATGGGTGAGAACATCTCGCTTCACACTACTAGGAGGAATCCATCGCTGTGCTGTAGATGGGCTTGAGACAGATCTCTCATCCCTGAAACAGTCAATGAATTTAAGATTTTGAATTTACTGACTTGAATTCCAGTTCTGAATTTATTCCATTATATATTTAACTAAATTTTCTTAAAATTTACACTGGCCCTAACTTATTTACCCTGGCCATGGGCCACCAGGGCAAAGCTAAATTCGATGACTACTGAAAACATAAACATGTGCCATTCTATTCCATCACCATGTCTAGACCAGACTAGCTTATTTCTCCCATTATTTTGGAAAATAGTAACTTTTGTGTGTGTTTAGGGGGGGGGGGGGGGGGGGGGAGAGGGAAAATGAGCAGAAAATGAGTTTTTTAATGAATTTTTGTAAAAAAAAAAGTAAAATTTTAAAAATGGAATAAAAAAAAGAACTGACAATTATATTTTTCGCACACACACTTCTGTGAAGCAAAAACATTGCAGCTATTAACAATTGTAAAGCAAGGCTTGAGCCATGTCAGATTAGAAAGGCAAAAATTAAGTATGAGTCAAATTTAAGTCATACATATGAGAACACGTCAGAATGATAGTGGTAAAAGGCACAAGACAATTTTTTTTCTTGCTGATGTCTAAACAGTTGTAATCTATCTATCTATCTATCTATCTATCGATCTCCTTTGTTCAACTTCTTATGGGGAAGAAGACATAACAATAAATATAACACTATTTCCCCCATCAAAATCAGTCTTGACAACATTAATATCTAAATTAGCAGTCAGGAGATTGATTTTCGGGATAAAAATTTAACCTAATATACCTGGCCCCCACTTCACTGCATTCTTACACAATAAGTCACTGTCAAAAAAAAATAGTGCTTACCGTCCCCCTGCGTGTGGAGAAGTACCACCCAGGTTCTGCTTTCCGTCCAGTATGTTGCCGGTTTGGTATTTCTTCTGTGGATACTTGTGGTACAATAAAAAACAAACAACAAAAATCGTGGTTCCTATTTGATTACATCAAAATGATTTCATGCCACAATCTGAAATATAAAATATACTGTAAATTTTTCTTCTTATTATATTCTGCGTAATTCAATATTTATTATCCTTCAAGATAGACAGTAAATTTCTTATTACTTCAACTCTTTCTCTCTACAGGACGACAAGAAAGAGCATGAATGAAAGAAGTCCACCAGTGGCATCCTAGTTGCTAGAATTCAATTCCCTTTAAATTCTTTCTTTTGCGCCAGAAATATAACAAAATATTGTATTTATAAGAACCTAAAGGGTTGAAAACGGGTCTCCTAGGGATTAATGAAATAAAAAAATTGTAAGTCATAAAATTTCTAAGTTGCATTTAAACATACAGTGTTGCATCTAGGCCGCGCGATTGTGTGATTTGCACATTTTAATGAAGTCAGTGTGCGCCAAGTCGCACATCTGACAATCTTTTCAACTTAATTCAGTTTATCAACTTTTATTATTAAACTTCATCGTATCTTGAACCCTTCAGCCATGTTTGTTTTCACTAGTGGTTATGACTAAAATACGTACTAAATCGCGTGTAGCAGCTGACTGAGTCACCTCACGTGTGTTTTGTAGTATTCGTCAATATTTTATTTTTTAGGAAGTGGCTAGCCGTACGGGCCCGTACGGCTAGCCAAAAGTTCTAGCCGTACGGCCCGCCCCGAGTCACGGTACGAACTAGCCCAGGACACACTGTATTGGGCTAAGCCGTACGGCACTTTTTCAAAAATATATGGGAAAGGCCGAAAGTGCAAATAAGTTTTAATTATGAACTTTTAAGCGAGGAATTTTTTAGTCCAAGAATGTTTTTACTTTTTAGAGATTAATCGACGTGTTGGCTTACATGTAAAGAATAGTACGTACTTTGGTTATCGTCAAGAACGTCGAGAAAAAATAGCGTTGGTTGCAGTTTAAATAAACGTCAATTGAAATAGTTTACTAAGAAATTTTGATAATAATCCTTTTGTTTCATAAGTTAAATTTTTAAATTGAAAAAAAAAAAAAAAAAAAACAAAAAATTAATTGTTGTTCGGGCTCTTGATAATTGCCGTCATCGGCGTCAAATTACCGAGACGGTATGAAGTTTTGTCCATCGGTCCCTAATTAAGGAAAGTTTGCGTAATTAAATTATTTTCCTTTTCAAACGCTTTTTAAAATATTCTTTTTAATTATTTTAATTTTTATTTATTCCCCTCCGATCATTTATTTTATTCGATAAAATGTGCTTAATTAACAGATTACAAATTCCATCTTTCATTACAAAATCAAAATAAAGCAAATAAATTAAGGACGTTTATACATGCAACTTTGAGCACTTACATTTTTATTAAGATAGATTTATACAAAACGCTTACTCGGTATGTCATTTTTTGTGTTGCAAAATTTGGCGGAGCCCAATCTTATTAAAGTTTTGAACACACTAGGACAAATGCGGAGATTTGATTAAAATCGTCGTTTAAAGACACCAAATAACATATGCATTTTGGACTTCCATATAATTTTGAAAAGTGCCGTACGGCTAGCCAATACAGTGTGTCCAGACAAGTCCTACGTGACTCACGTACGGCTAGAACTTTTGGCTAGCCTTACGGGCCCGTACGGCTAGCCACTTCCTATTTTTTATACTTCCGTTTTTGAGCGGACGATAGCTGTCAAAAATGCCTGAACGTAAAATAAATGAATTCTATTCAGTATGTCATAATGTAAGGTAAATGTATGTCCCCCACATTTTTTTTCAATTGAGTGGGGGACAATCCCCCATAATTTTGAAATTCTAGGTGCAACACTGAAAATATATTTGCATGAAAATTAAGGCCCTATTTCCATATAAAAAAAAAACATTTCAAGTATCATACTTTTTATCCGAGAATGATCAACTTTAATCTACTATCAGTTTAAACTTAATCATTTAGACAAAATTTACATGCTGAAATTCATTTGACGACATGTTTGTCACAACTGAACTTGGCGAGATATTTTAACTATTTCCAGTGGAATTCTAATCATTTCATCTCAAAATATGGATCAAAGTCTATCAAAATAAGTTAAATAAACTCTCACATTCCGCTAGCAAGTGAAAACAATTGAAAACTGAATAAAAAATTTGAAGATGTTAATTACCTACAACTGGCTTTGTTCGTGATTTTTTCTCTTGTGAATTATACAACTTCCGGTTGACTCATGGGTAATGAATTTTCAAATTTTTATTCAAACTTAGTATAAATTATCGAAATATACGTATCAAAAGTATAATATTTGAATACAAATAGCAATCATATAAAATCGCAGAAATAATTTTCTATATTGGAATGCATAAAAAATGTGCTCTTAACAGGGTAAAACACCACTAAATAATGTCAATGTGTGTCAGATTGAATGAACAAACACAAAATACCTTTTCCTTAGATAAGATAAAAGATAAAGATAATCTTTATTTAAAAGTCGGTTTCAATAAAAACATATAAACATTAGCTTATATAAGGGCTATTTTCCGACAAAACTTTATCCTAATAACAATTCAAACAAACAATCTGTAATAAAAAGAAATATATAAAAGTATTAAGAAGATCAAATGTAACATTTATGAAAGACTCTGTAAAACAGTTAAGATTTATCAGCACAATATAAATGTATGGGTAAAGAAAGCATTAAATGATTAAAAAGCAAATATACATTAACAAATTCAAACCCATCACATAAAATTAAAACATCATACAAGAGTTCTTTTTATGTTACACACAACCTAAAATCAAGAAAAAGGAAATTAGAAATTTTTTTAAAAATTTTAAATTTTAAAATAAATTAAAGTAAATGATTCCCAATTTTTTTTATTTAATTTAAATATGGGGTTTAACCCTTAATTTTCCCAAAGAAAATGAGCTTGAGAAACATATAAAGTTAGCAGATCAAAATATGTATTTCAGTAAAGGGAAAAAAGGGTGAAAACAAAAAACATTTTACAAGTATCATAATAATAAAAACTTAAAATTTTAAAATTTGTTTGTGTAACAGATGCTGTTTCCATTTTGGCCTGGGATAAATTCTTTGGTCCTGGGTTAAATTATTTTAAATTTAAATTTAAAGAAAAAAAAATAAATAAAAGTAGAAATAAAAAGGAAAAAAAGACTTAAAAAAGGGCAAATTTGCCCCCTTTTTATGGGTTTATATGAAAAAGTTTGATCGGGAAAGGCTGTCCCCATATACAAAAAACTAACATGAAACTGACAAATGATTTATACAAAAAACACACAAGAAGAAAATAAAAACCCTTTAAAATGATAAAACAAGGTCTTATACAGCAATTACTCCTAATGACAGACAGAAATTTTAACAGGAAAAAAACAAAAAAAGAAAACAAAAGAAGCATGCAGATTCCCAATTTGAATTCACATTTCAAAAACTCAAAAAAAAACATAACACTTAGGCCCACACATTAGAACATTTGGGCATTTGAAAGCCCCCTCCAGGTTTTTGGATAACCTCCCGAAAATTCACCGTTAATCAGTTTCTGTTCCCTTAGTTCATTTCGGGAGGGTTTTATTCCAGACCTGGGTGGCCTCATAGCGAAAGCTTTTCTTACATAAAGTCTCTCTGTAATTTTCTAGGAACTTTCAAGTGGGGTGGTTTGTTATTTTCTAAAAAAGTAATAAGAGGGAATTTACTTTAAAATTAAGTTCTTGAACATATTTTGGTGATATATTTTTGCAAAACATTTAAAAACTTCAATAGCTAATTGTCTTAATCTACTGATATGTAAATTTGGCATATTAGCTTTACTTAAAAGAAAATTCATATGATGAGCTGTAATCCTCAAAAAAACTATCTTTCAATGATCTATGTTGTAACTTTTTTCAAGTTTTTCAGTATTTTGTTTACTACAAAAATGTCCCAAACTAAAGGACAATAGTTAAAATTTTTGAACCCGAACAAAGGAATGTAGATTAACAATCTAGTATTTTGACTTTAAGAATTTACTCAGTCTAGCAAGAATGGTTTTGATTTGTTTTGGCAGACTTTTTGCAAATGTTTAGAATAACATGTAAGTCAAAATTTAAGTTAAAGAGTCTATTTTCAACACCAAGAAGTTTTCCAAACGCTTTTTTTTCACAGACAATTTCTGTATACTATTAAGACCAAAAAGAGGTTAATTTAACTAGTTGTTTTTTTCCAATAACAAATTGCCTGAAATTTTGTTCCGGGATTGGGGCTTGCCAATTAAAGACTTATTATCAACCCATTTTATCACTAGGATAACTTTCATTTTCCAAGTTATAGATTGTAAAGAGTCAATATTTGGTATCAACAGTAAGATAATTGTTGTCATAAAGCATAAATTTGGTCACAGTGGCTAAAAAAATTTAAAGAAAAAAGGGTCTTTAAAAAATTTAAAAAATAAGGGGGGGCCCCTAAAAAAGGGAACCCCTGGGGAATTTCCCTTACTTATTGACTCCATTTTCCCCCTTCCCATGCTTTCCCAAAAGTTTAACCCTTTGTTTTTTTTTAAGGTAAGTTTTTCTTTTTAAGTTTCGGGGGCCTGTTTTTCAGAAAAACCCAAAATGGGCCCTTAATTTTTTCAAAAAAGGGTTTTCAAAGTCATGGGGGGAAGAGCCAAAAAGGCCTTTGACAGATCCATGAGTATTGCTGCTACATACTCATGTCTATCCAAGGCATTTTTCCAGTCTTCTATTAGCCGTAAAAGAGTAGTTTTGACATCCAAATTTAGATCTAAAAGCTGCCAGAAAATTATGAGAAAATGTTGTCAAAGTATGAAACTAGTTGCTTATTTATTGATTGTTCAAAAATCTTTCGAGAAAGTGGGGCAGAATACTTACAGGCCTATAATTTTTCTTTTGAAAAGGATCTTCTTTTTTTATAAACTGGAGTAACCTGAGCCATTTTCAGGGACTCCGGAAAAGTATTATTAATAAAGCATTTATTTATTATACATTTTATAGGCTCCGCAAGAGATTCAGCACCTGCTTTTATAATTTTTGGAGGTAGGTTATCAATACCTGTGGCCTTCTTACCATCCACACTGTGCAGAAGCTTATGCACTTCCTGAGATGTAACAGGTTTAAATACAAAATTATTATTGCTTTGGATTTTATCAGAGATAGCCTGTACACACTAGGGTGTTGTTCATTAATCATTATATCACTGTTGATACCAATATTTTTGTGCTATTTTAACATAAAAATCATTAAGTATGTTGCATACCTTATTTTGATCTGTTATTAATGTATCATTTTCATTTAATATAATTTTGGCATCATTTTTGGCTGTATTTTTACTAGAAAGAAAAGGTTTTATAGTAGGCCAGAAATGTTTTGACTTTGGTCCCCCACCACACCTTTCAAAAAAATATATTTGCATTGAGTTTCTTTTTAAGTTTTGTAACTAAATTTCTCTGTTTCCTATATTTTTCCCAGTTTTTATCAGTTCTATATTTGAAAAATGAATTTCTAAGTTTTCTTTTTACATAAATGGCTCTGCGGAGTTCTCCATTCATAAAAGGGGGAGATTCTTTTTTTTAACCTTTTTTTTGTTTGATTGGTGCATGTTCATTTACTACTTCTTTGAATAAGGTTTCATTAGCCCAATAAATGTCATCGACATCGTCAAATATGTGGGCTACATGAAATGGTACTTGTGACAGGTCTTTGTTAAAATCCTGCTCATTAAAATTTTTGTAGGATCTAAAATTTACATATTTAGATTGGGTTCAAGTTACATTGTTCTCTAATGGTTGTAGCAATAAAATTGTGACAGTCACTCAGTCCTGAAAATCAAAATTTATGGTATTGCAGATGAGATTTGGTCTATTTGTTAGAATAACATCTAAATATGATGGCTCATAGTTTTTTTCATTTGGCATGTTGGTCCTTTAATAACATTATTTAAGTTATATGTGTCACATATTTGAGTGAGGGGTTTACATTTGTCAGGTTTGTTTAAGTCATAGTTCAAGTCACCTATTGTTAAAATATGGTCATAGTTTAAGAATAATTTGTCTAAAGAAACAGTAATATTTTCAATAAAAACATTATCTTTTGTATTTGGGGGTTTGTAAATAGCTAAAATACCCCATTTTCGTTTTGCCATACAAAGCTCAAAACACATTGATTCTAAAGACTCACATTCAAATTCTTTCCTCCTTCTAAAAGGTAGGTCATCTCTTACATATATCAAAATCCCACCACCATGTTTGTTTCTATCTTTTCTCTCCATCTTATAACCTGGAAAATTATAAATATTATTATTGTATGAGTTATCAAGTTTGGTTTCTGATAGTATTAACATATCAACAAGCTTTTCTGATAAAATATCGTGAATTTCTGTAAATTTGTTCTTCACACTATTAATATTCAGATGTGAAATAAGAGGTCTTTTTAAATTCGCTTTTCTGAGGTTTTTGAGTTCGCATGTCTTGAGCTTTTAGAGTTTGAGTCTAACCAGGGTCTTTCAAATAGGCTCTGGTCTAAGTAACAAAATAATGTGCCTTCTTTCAGACACTCATTAAAATTAACATTTGAAATATAATTTTTAAAAATACTCATTTATAGCTTCAGTATTTTTACCTGTGACGTCCATAGTCAAATAACACTAGGTTCTGGTCTTGATTCAGATTTTCGATAAAGGCAGAGATATTGGCCATTCAAAAATGAATTTGATATTACCACTCTGGTTACAATTATTTGAAGCAATAAATTCCAATAACTTTAATTGCATGTTAAAGAATATGGTCTGTAAATATATACAGTATACAATAAATCTATCTATCTATCTATGAGTACTGCCAATGTATAAAACAAAATCAATAAAAAAATTAGATCTAAGCTGGAACAAATATTTTAATCCTAGATCTAACTTTAAAAGAAGCGCATGTCCGTAAAAATTAAGTGACTCAAAATAATGAATACATCTTTACAACATATTGAAATGAGTTAGCCAAACTGATATGGGAATCTTTTTACTGACACATCTTTATTTTGATTTTTTTTCAATGCTGAGGTAAAAATTACAACATCTACATGTACCATGTTTTTGTCATTCTATTATTGATTGTTCAAAGAGTTGTAAGGCGATCATACCCATTATGAACTACCATTAGTTTAGACTATAAAATAACTTTAAAGGGACCTAAAACATAGAGTATCATTAGGCATTATTTAGGCATTTAATTAAAAAAATCCTGACACTCCACAGCTATTTTTTCCAAAACGGTTAAAGAAAGGAACTGTTAAAGTATTTCATTTCTTGTATATTATATATTTGGTTAAAGTATCAAACGATTTGATAAAGTCAAGAAAAAAACCCATACAATTTGTACATTATAACCGGATTATTTGAAATACTTTCAAACTTTTTTTTATAAAAATTACTTGTCATCAATATAAATGGGGTTGCCGTGCCTAGTGATTAAGGTCGTTGACCACAAAGTTCTTGCCCCTTACCCCTTACCAAATGTGGGTTCGAATCCAGCAAGGGACATTAGATTCTGTCATTTGAGGAAACTATTCAGCTAGCTTACTGAATGTCCGTGGTTCCACTCTGGGGCCCGTTCATGCATGAAAAAAAATGCAGTGAATGACACCTCGGTTCGTCCTCCATCAGTAAAGCTGGAAAGATGCTCTATGCCCTCTACAGTGTTGCTGTGACGTAAACCCCCTCCCTGCACCTGAAAAAAAATCAATAAAATATAGAAGCATATCCTTAAAAAATCTCTGAAATGATCTCCGGCAGCAGCTTCTTTATGAATTATTTGAGATTGAACACGACTTCATACTTTTTATGTTATAGTTTTTATTACTTTTTTCAGGATGAATAATGATATACATTTCAGTTACCATATATATTTATGTCGGAATCAGCCCATCACCATCTGGATAGAGAAAATCCCTCGAGAGCACTAGAGCAATGGAAAAAAAAACAACAACAACTGTTAAATGTATGTGGTTGTAAATCGTAGACTCTGTGTTATCGAGTCCATTCATGGGAGTTAATGGGGTGGGTGGGGGTGCAACACATCTCACGCCCCTTAGCACCGCCTGTTAAAAGTGTAAGATAATTTAAGATACTTTGACATCAATATTATGTACACTACAATATCACTGAAAGTATTAATGTCACTGTAATTAAATATAAAATATCTTCTTACTGAATTAAATTACTTCATTGAATTTAATTGTAAATTGATAAATATTATAAATACGTTTTTGTATCTGGTAAAAAGTGATCCCTCGGAAGCATTAAAAACAGCAAAATTACATGAAAATTGCAGACTCGGTTTGGTTGAGTACATGAGGGATAATGAAAACGTGCAACATCCCTCATGCCCCCTATCACCGGCTTCAGCGGTACTCAATTCTCACAACAAATATTCTGAAATGACATAGCATAATATAAATGACACGGTCAATAATTTTCGATTTGCTGTTAAATATAGATAACAAAGTTTCAGTTTCAGCTATGCTGGCTATCAGCAATTGATTTTATTGACTCAATGTTGAAACAATCCTTAATGACAACTAGACAAAAATGTGATTTAGATAACGGTAAATTTAGGCGTTTGAAATAAACACGCAAGTTTAAAACCGTCTGGGAAATACCACATACAGACAAAAAACCCTCCCACCCGACATTTGGTAGCGTCATATATCTCGGGAAGTAATCATCGCAACGTAGAAATTTGTATTATCATGTTTGGGCCCGTATGTTCGAAAAATTTTATCCGTGCAATAAATTTTAAATATTTTGAAAGCTACTTAAATTTAAATGTCACATTTTGTAAGCATAGTCCCTCCAGCCTTTGCAATAAAAATATCAAAGATTTATAAAAATAAAGGGAAAAATATTTACTTAATACAACCATGTTAAACATTTTATTCTAAATTTGACCTTAACTTTCCTCTTCATGTTTTCGTTAAACTTCGTACATTTTCCTATTGTTAATTTATCTTTCAAACAATGCAATAGTAAGATGTATTGTGAAATGCCATATAGGTCAGAATGAAAGTGTTTTTTTAAATCTAATTACTTCAAACTTTCGTTCATAAAAAGTACCTAAATATTTGCACTATGAGTCACAAAAATGGTTTCGTCCGTAAGACAGAAACTCCCAGCAAAAAGTGATTATAGTCATGTACATACAATTTTTAAGAAAACCCTAACGTAAGATGTCATAAATTAAGAGTCATATTTTCCCATATCTTACACCTCAAGTGGACAAGCTCAAGTGGGCGAGTTTATTAAAGAATATGTAAGTGTTTCAAATATGAGCGAGCACCTTTTCTAGACGTTTTCAAGATAATACTATTAAGTGTATTATTTTGTATTGTCACAGCAGACTTGTTACGGCTGTTAAAAATCGCCATGTATTTTTTATTAGAAATGTTTTATAAGTCGTTCAGAATGACAATTTCATTGTGTTTTGTGATAATTATAGTTCTTTGAATAGTAGGACATGTTGCGTGTTTTTTTTTAAATGTTTTGTTTTTGTTTTGTTGTTTTTTTTAATGTCCGTTATATGCTTCATAAACTATGATTCCCTTTCAAAATTTTAAGGACAGTAGCTTCTATTTACAATACCTTTCACGACCTGGCTTAATCACACCAAGCCTGCAACCTTTTAAATTTTGTCGGTCGTTCCTTAGGATTTCTATATTTTCTTTTTCAAAATTGTCTTTGCCTTTTCCATTTTCAACAGTTATTGAAAGTTTTTCCTCCCCTTAATATCAATATAAGAATTGTCGGGATATGTCATCAATAGAATTTTATTAATTGCAGGAACTTGATTGGAATATGTGGGATGCAAATATTGTGCTTAGATACTGTGATGCAGAGAAAAGATTACCCAAGATTTCGGCCAATCTGAGCAAGTGTAAACTACAGGTGAATAATTATTGATTTAACATAGTGATAGTAGTATAATCTTGTATTTAGGTGTTGCAAGTTATCATTTAAATAATTGAATATAAAGATAAAAGTGTATGATTTATACCGCGACACCAGCGTCACATAGTGAGAAACAAATCTTCACTCAGACCACAGGAGCTTGGCATTCTATAAATAATTGGAAAATATAAGCAAATAATTAATAAGAGGGGTATATTTGCCATTATTTCTTTATTATTTGCTTATATTTTTTCAATTATTGCTAGAATGTCAAGCTCATGTGCTCAAACATTTTTTATACCAACTGAGAAATACCAGAGACATAGATAACAGAGATAATGAGCTCCTATATATTCCATTGAACCATCATTCATGCCTATCAAAAAGTGAAAAATTAAGCATGATGTTTCAATTAAAGCTTAATGGATGTAGATTTTATTTTTTATAGCATTCACCTTTTGGAAGTTAAAACTTTTATCTATACACGTTAAAATCTTGATAACTAACTATATGTTATCTATGTCTCTGGGAATACAGAAAATTTATATGGTGTTTGTGGTGTTTCTTTATTTAAAAAATCTACATTTTCATCTTCTAATGTCGGATTCTGCATAAGCCGGTGTCGAGGGGGGAGTGGAGGACAGTAGCTGACACAAATGGTTTGACTTTTTAATCTTGATACTATTGTTCGGTGCTTTACATTTCAAAGTTTGGTTACATAGATTTTAATGTCAAATTGAAGATGTCATATACTTCTTTAATAATTAATATTTTTCTTGCTTCTGCAATAGCGGTTGCTTCCAACAAACGTTGGTTTCTTATCTCGCTCTGATTTGAATAACCACTTTTTGTTCATTGTAATTATTGATATTACTTTTCAATAAAGATTGATTTGCTTGTATTTTTAGAGTTTGTCATTGGTAAAGAATATGCTGAAGTCCATGGACGACAACCTTATGACGTCACTGAAACCATCTTCACAAAAGGAACAACTTCTTCCATCACTTTTAATGGGAGCAGAGCACGCTACAGCCAATGCAATGCTTTTATGCATCAACAGTGACCCGGATTTCCGATTCGAAAAGTTTGAGCACAAAGAAATATCTTTAAGCAATGATATTATGTCAGCGGCGATGTTGATACATAGGTATTTAACAGATGTGACCAATAGCATAGGAAAATGACATACATGTTTATTAGGAAACATTGTACAAACTGAACAACACAATATTAAAAGCAAAAACAAGAAAAAAAAAGAAAAGAAACGACCTGACAATTTATTCTTGTGTGAGTTTTGGACTGTATACAATTCTAGGACAGGAAAAAAAGAACATATACAAAAGGATTTTATTATTTTGCTTGTATATCATTATATGCTGAATTAAAACTTCCTGGACATTTTATCATGCTAAAATAGATAAATTACAAGCACTTTCATTGGCCAGTTTTAAAGATACTGAAAAATGTATAGATAAATGAGAAATTTCATTCATTAAAACGTAGATAACAAGTAGACATAAAATGATTACAAAGGGAAACCGAATCTGATCCATGATAAAACTAATTTATGATAATGACACATTTTGTGGTAAATGTTAATATATCAATAGGATATTAACACACACGAGATGTAAAATTGTTTAGATTTGATTTAACCTCGGATATCTTAATTTCGTGCTTTGATAAATGGATTACTTTAATTATCCTTTCCACGATAGTGTTCGTATTAGAATAATATTATTTCATTGCTCTTTGAATACAAATTAAGAACACTATTTTCACAAAACAACAATTTTAACAAAGGGCCAAAAGGTTGAACAACAAGTTCTAGCAGCGTGAGCAATCACCTTCCCTTGAGCATTATAAGATATAGAAAAGAAAACATTTTTAAACACTAATATGCGCATGAACAATAACAAAGACTAAGACTGATACAAATATAAAGAAGCAAAAAAAATGATATTAATATTTTTTTTTTCAAAAATAAAAGAAAAAAATTGAACGTTTGCTATCATTTTTGAATGTTAAAAACAATCATTTTCCTGCACTTGCAGTATTGTGATGGTTTGTAAGGCTGTTCAGAATTTGTCATTTATAAAAGGAATTGAAAAGAATTAAGATTAGTGGTCATGTCATGGATACGCATAGATCTGTCTGCATCATGCAATCTCTAATTCATACAATCAGAACATATTTACACTGTAAATAAATATATCAAAACATAACCTATTTTCATATAATATGAACAAATAATGCAGAAAATATATTTAAAATATATATCCAGTTGTATAAAAATGATATATTGTGTGATGTGTATGCGTCCGTACGTGTATATATGTATGTTTATATGTTTTATTAATTTAGTTTCATTATAAGCAAATTATGTCTCAGAAACAGATTTTTTTTTAATTTTCTTAGAAGGTGCCAACATACTCGTAAATTGTATCATGTTTAAAACGTTTGATACTTGTAACCTGAAGAAAGTAAATGTGAAAAAAATGTTATAAAAGTAGCAAAATGTAAACAAAGTAGTATTTTGACTTCCATACATAATACTTATTCACTATAATTGTACTTATTGCCAAAAAGCAACATATTAAAAAGATGGTTCAAGTAATTGGCCAATGAGTAACTTTTTGGATACTATAAAATTCACCAAAATTAAAAAAGCTTCTGAGAAATAAAAGCATTTCTGAGGTATAATGAGCTTTTAAACAATGACCATATCAAATTTATCATGCCACATTTCATTTTTGTATTGTCATTTTTTAAATAAGTCGATATTTTATATTGAAGAAAAAAGTAAATGCATTTATATTTAAATTCTCCACGTATTTTGATTTAAATACGACACTGTTTGTATATTATGTCTTTTACATTGTTGAATATCTTATTGCTATTTTGTTTGTAAATACATGCATACAAGTATTATTCAATATATGTATTCTCCACTATTTTTACATTTACTATTTTGGTAACTTTACTTTTCTAGTCTGTGTAGTATGATAACTGTAATATGTGATTTTGTTTCTCGAATTCAAATAAAACTTATATTCTATCATATCTTTTTATCATTGTAATACTTACACGACCCATTTAGAAAGGTTAGAAAGTTGTTACCCATATATACATATATCTAGTTTCTCTCACATGAATTGGTCGTTACATGGATTTTAATACAACAGTAACAAAAAAAAATACATTCTCAGCCGTTGGTTTTAGGTATTTTTCCAATCTCGTCGGACCCTGGCCGTGTGACCAGATCGAGGCGGTTGTCAAAGACGTCTTGACCTGCACCATTAATATTGTAAGGAGGTATGGTTAAAATGTTCAATGAAAAAACAACCTACTTTTTTATTCAGTTCGTCTATGCATATTTCTCAGGAAGTCAAGTAAAATCAGTCGGAAAATGTCGACCAACGCGAACGGATGTGCGTGGGTGTTCGTGTATGTCCGTGGTCGGCAGTGGTAAATGAAAACTAACGCCCAGGCTCATAAGCACCGGCTTAAGTACAACTTAACATTAAAAAACAAGAAACAAAAACAAATGAAATTAAATTAAAAACGGCCGTGATAATTAAACTTTTAAAGTGAAACAAACGGTCTATAACCACTGTCCCTTCCCCTCCAAAAAAAAAAAAAACACAAAAAAAACCCAACAAAACAAAGAAACAAAAGTAACACTACATGTAACAAAACTGTTGCTTACATAAAATATACATATTATCATTGTTACTTTTTATTCATGATTTTGAATAATTGAATGAATTTAATTTAATTAAAAAATATTTTATCGCCATAGAAATTACTAAGATAGTTTTGCAAGGCAAACCAAAGAAAACCACCTTTGTTTATAACGTTTTTTTGTTTTGTTTTTTTGTTGTTGTTTTTTAAACACATGATTAAAACATTTGCCTAATTCGTACCCAGCAGAGATTGAGCAATTGATTTAAGTCATACTGTAATGCTTTTCCGCCAACAAATTTCTAACATCGGTCAATGTCGTAATTAATCGGTCTTTTCCGGGACGTTATTTTTCACATTTTTTGGTATACCTTACTTTAGTAGATATCGTAAAGGAATGAGCGATTATAACTAATCTAATAACCAAGATTTTGATGTTATGTTAATGCAAAATTAAGAAAGTATGTTTAACATTGCAATTCAATTTGATCCATTTGATCAACATATAGCAAAGACTATTGTTCGAGACAGTTGGTATCAATATATCAGATGATATCAATTTGTAGGATTTTGATTTGACCATGTACGTACATTTGTTTATGATAACACCTATCAATTATTATATAACACATCAAAGTTTCCAAAATCCTAGTACATGTACATATACAAGTATATGTATTTCTGTAAGATGAGGTCGTTTTGCGTTCTAGAATTTCCAATATTGGTGGGTTTTTTTGTATATAAAGAATGGACTTACAGCACATATGTTAGTGATGAACAAAGAAGTCGAGAGAAATGTGAGTATAAAAAAATTTTGTTCTTTAAAATAGCTTAAAGTTTTAATTGATGATTAATTAAGAAATTGTCCGGAATACATTTTGTTATAGTTTAGAATAGTATATACTTCTTGTAAACAAAAGTATGTTTTTGTTTCGAAATGATTCTTTTAAATTACGCTAAAATATATTTAGAATTTAATCTGATATTTTTTTTCTTAATGCTTTCCTTTTGTTTCATTTCAATATTTCGCTTAAAATCTTAAATAATGCAATATAAATTAATTTGTCCCCCAACACACACACCCTCAATTCTTACTCAGTAAAATATATCAAGCAATCTTGTTTATTGTGTCATTATATCTGTATGTTTTTATCGCATACATTTGATACATATTCTTGCCACATAGTTTTCAGAAACAAAACAAAAACGACTCTGAAATGTTCAACTCTTTTGTCTCTAATTGATTTTGCTGGGTGTTGTTTTTTTTAATTTCATCTAAAAACCTAAATTTTTATTGTTAAACAAATTATAGACTGCGAAAATGAAAAAGAGAAATAATCCCCATATTGGTAGTGCCAGTTAATAGTTTCTTTCTTTTATCGAAAAAAAAAGCAGGAATTACAAACATGAAACCTCAAATTTTTGGAAATGTATTACATTCTGTGTAGTTTATTTATAGTGTGAAAGTACTATGACAATAACTGTGAGAACCATATCTTTGATTATAGATATAAATACAACTTGGACACATATATGATAGGACATATGATAACGCGGATTTTATTCATGAACGAAATGGAAAGTACAAACTGTCATAGTACATGGACTCTCACATACATTGTATCTGTATAAGATGAACTTTTGTACTTTCACTAACTAATTTACCTATAAAGTTTCCCAAATATCTAAAAATAGGAAAGAAAAGACGCTGATTAACAATCTGGCCACAAAAAACAACATTTGCAGTGTAGCAAAAAGGTTGCATTTTACCGTTGATTTATAATACATTTTTGATAAATTAAAGTCAACACAATTTTATATAAATTAAAAATATAGGTTCATAAAACTTTATTGATCATGTTTTAATTTCAGATAACCAAAATGGGGAGTCTGAAGAGAAGTATATCAAGCTACCTTAGTTCTGAAAAATCAAGAAATGTGCAGTACAGGAGGAATATTTCCGTTCCATGCCCGATTAGTTATAACGAAGCTGAAGACGAAGGTTTTGTCGATGGTGATGAATGCGGTGTCCAAGGACATGCATTGGATCATAACGTTTTAGAATGTCTTATGGACGCTTACGGAGCGTTTACAGAAATATATAAGGCGATTGTAATACCTAATGTAAGTAAAGTATATCAAAACTTTTTCCTGTTTACATTTGCACCCCAATTGTCATTTATCAGATTGGCAATGAGTGCTACAACAAGATTAAAAGTGTATCCAAAAAGTGCTCACCAACATAAAATGCAACCCTTTATTACTTCCGGCAAAAATGCCTGCATAGGATGAAAGCGACAATTTAAATAATATCCAAACATATGACATATTTAACTCAATATTTTTCGAAAATAGATTTAACTTACAAATATTACAAATATTCATCGGTCTTTCAATATTTGCTATCTTATTTTGTTTTCTCTTCAGGAAAACTTTCAACCACGCCTATCCGACGCTGAAATTTTATTAACAGATCTTGCTTATCTCGTAACGGACAGTAAACCAGACGTAAGTATATATCTATATATTTTTTATCCATAAATTCATTCGTTCATTTTTCTTTATATTGTAAGTCAAATTATCATTGTTGCAATAAAAGAATTTAAATAAACAAACTGCAACTTTGCAAACATTTGCTAAAACTGCATACTGCTAGAATATTTTACTGGTGAGGCATTTGTTTTGTGTCTTTAGTATTCTTATTCACTCCAGGACTTTTGTTGAAAATTGAGTATCGTTCAAGCCGGTGCCAGGGGGCATAAGGGATGTTGCATTTTTGCATTGTCCCTCATGTACAGACTCAATCATACCGAGTCTGCAGATTTAATGTTATTTTGCTGATTTAAATGCTTCTGTGGAATCAATATTTTCCACATATTTATTTATGCAAAATGTTTAACTTTGTCCATTTCATATCTAGCATAACGGGCTGAATAAAAGTCTAGGTGAATGATGTTTTAATAACTGAGAATAATTTTAAACTCATATTAATCTTATTAAGGACTTATTCAGCGACTGCACTAAGGTGACAAAATTATCCAATTATATCATGCACATATATCATGTATAAAAAGTGTTCATCTCAATCTTAATTCATTATCTTTTCAGGCTTTGCAAACTGTCTATGACATTCTTAAAAGAATAAAGCAAGCATGTCCGAATCTGCAACAGCAAAACATGACCTTTGCAATGAAGGCTATCCAAAATGCAATCGCTATTCTACATGTAAACGAACGCGATCATTTGGATAATGACGTAATGAGGACGCACTCGGAACGCGATCATTTGGATAATGACGTAATGATGACGCAGTCGAGAAACATCATGGCTGCAGTTATGATAATAAATAAATACTTGAACAATCTGATACACCGAACAAACAGCGAGCATATTTTCTATTAGATAAACATATCCTGAAATTAGACATTTTACAATAGCAAAAGAAATAGAGAATAACAGGTTACTGTCTTTTGAGAAAGGGTTTCTCAGACGAGGTTAGATATGGTCCTGGAAGGGGCGAGGCTTGCCGAGCCCCTTCCGGACCATATCTAGCCGAGTCTGAGAAATCCCTTTCTCAAAAGACAGTAACCTGTTATTCTTTTTATCATGCCTCTATTATGATTTTGCATCTTATTTTTTTAATTCGGGGTGCTAATTTCTGAAAGTACGGTAACCACAAGAGGGTTATACGCCAAAAAAGTAGTCCGAGGGTTTTTACCAATAATTTTATAACACAACGCAATTTTTGGTACAATTTGCTTTAACAATTTATTTACTGTGTATTATCATAAATATTCAGCAAAGTCAATTAAACAATACCAACAATAAACATCATCAGTGCTGATCTGGCGTAGGAACATAGTGTTCTCAAGTCACTGACTGAGAAAGGTTGCTGTTTTCAGACAGGCTTTATCAGGCACTTGTCATAGTAATGGCATGATAAAATATATTTCGTGTTGTCTCACCAAAAGAAAATATATTTTTACTGTACTGGTAGTATTGTTTCAACAAAAGAAAATACATTTCTAGTATTGTTTCAACAAAAGAAATATATTCATTCCAATTACAATTTGAAATTCATTTTAGACAATCACATTTGAAATTCATCTTTTTGCAATCACATTTGAAATTCATCTTTAGGCAATCACATTTGAAATTCATTTTTAGACAATCACATTCGAAACTCATCTTTAGACAATCACATTCGAAACTCATCTTTAGACAATCACATTTGAAATTCATCTTTAGACAATCACATTTGAAATTCATCTTTAGACAATCACATTTGAAATTCATCTATAGGCAATCACATTTGAAATTCATTTTTAGACAATCACATTCGAAACTCATCTTTAAGCAATCTCATTTGAAATTCTTCTTTTGACAATCACATTTGAAATTCATTTTTGAGGCAATTACATTTGAAATTCATTTTGAGACAATCAAATTTGAAATTCATTTTTAGACAATTACATTTGATTCATTTTTAGACAATTACATTTGATTCATTTTTAGACAATTACATTTGATTCATTGTTTAGACAATTACATTTGATTCATTTTTAGACAATTACATTTGATTCATTTTTAGACAATTACATTTGAAATTCTAAAATTTAATCTAATAATCACAAACAAATAGTTAAAGAAGGAAGTATTCATTCAGTCTGTTAATGAGTGATATTAAATGGAGGTATATCATCTTTAATTAATGACCCACTAGCACCGACTTAAGCATTGCCATATCTGTCACTTGTAAACCTCCTTTTATTCGTATACATTGAATTTATTTTACTTTACTTTACACATTGTTCATATTTATGTAAATTAAGGGTTTATACGTCATTTTTAATTAATTAATTTATATACGGGTATCATTCGTCTTTATCAAATCTTCTGGGGTTTTTTAGGGTTTTTTTTAGCAATGTTTTGTTTGTTTTAGATGTTGTTGTTGTTGTTGTTGTTGTTTGGGTTTTTTTGTCGTTTTTTGTGTTTTTGTTGATGCTGTGTTTGTTTGTTGTTGTTTTTATATGAGGGTTGTCGTTTATTTATTTCTATACCTATTGCGTAATGTCAAACTATCCTTAAGATACATGGACTAATTCTTGAGAAAGTCAGAGAAACATTATCATTTGAGCCGCGTCACGACAAAACCAACATAGTGGGTTTGCGACCAGCATGGATCCATGCTGTTCGCTTACAAATCCTATAACAAGTAGAGAAACTGATAGCGAACAGCATGGATCCTGATCAGACTGCTCGGATGCGCAGGCTGGTCTGGATCCATGCTGGTCGCAAACGCATTATGTTGGTGGCAAAATTATATGTTTATTCAATCTTAACGTGTTGTTTAACGGATATACACTATTTGTTACTTGTTAGTCAAAGTTTTGTTGATATTTCGATGTTCTCCACAAGTATTTTATTCCTTGTGTTTTGTACTTAAGGTAGTCTTACTGCAATGCTTTCCCGCCAAAACAAATCTAACATCGGCCAATATCGTAATAAATCGGTCATTTTCGGAATGTTATTTTTCACAATCTTCGGTATTCAATAATTTTTAACCGTTTATAACCGGAATTTAAAACTTAGCAGTGGAGGATAATCTAATGCCCAAGATTTTGAAAAAAAATAACGTTCCGGAAATAAGCGATTTGCTCCGATATTGGCCGATGTTAATTTTATTTTGGCGGGAAAGCATTACAATAAATCTACCTTAAATGTTGCTTCGGCTTTATTTATATCATTGAGAATGAGAAGCTATATCTTAGCTTATTTTGTTATGGAATTTACAAATTAATACATGTATTTATATCTATGTATTTATAAACATTTTTTACAAATAAAAATAGTAAAGAAAATACTTTAAATAAAAATTGTGAAAACAACTATTACACGTTTTCATTTCATGTACTTTAATTGCAATATGTTACAATCAGTTAGTAACTCACTCCAATACCAAATTACTTTAACAGATTTCAAATAAATGAAAAAAATTAAGATTTAGCAATAGATTGTCTATTTGACTTTTTTCTTACGTGGGACCTCCGGTTGTTGACTTTAAACCTCTGGTACCTTACCACTTTTGGATTCGAATTTCGCCAGTGACTTTGAACCTCTTTCATGTAAAGAAGGTATTCAGCTGTAACAAACGCGCATGTACGAGTATATTCGCAGAATAAGGTCTTTAACACTGTGCATGAAAGTGTATCAATCATATTAAAGAGGAGACCAAAGTATCCTTAAAATAATATTATCCTTTTCTCCGCCCCTAACAAAATGAAATGATTTCATATTAACAGTCTCATTGAAATCGAGCCTGGTAAAATTTCAATTTGTAAAAGAAAATAGATCGTTGCAATTTATTTCATTTTATAATAATAACAATAATAATAATAATAATAATAATAATAATAATAATAATAATAATAATAATAATAATGATAATAATAATAATAATAATAATAATAATAATAATAATAATATATTTATTAGAGAAAGTAACACATTCAGATTGTACAACAGCAATCACATATATCTTATTTCCAATATGGCCATCTGAAATAGAATCAAAGCACAGAAGGCGCTGAATTTTTTTGGGTCTCAGAATATAAGAAAGGTGAAGGTTGTGAGACTATAAACCAATTTGTTTTTGTATAGTGCCACCAATGCTTTCCAGTGTTTTAACTGTAGTAAATTGGCTATAAGACTAATTGCAACACTGATAGTCAATTCAATGTTTATTTTAGACTTAAAAAATTGAAAAAAAAATGAGTTGCCTCAACTGGGATTTGAACTCCAGACCTCTTGATTCTTAAGCGAGCGTGCAAACCCCTCGGCGACGGTGAAGTTATATATTACCGGCCTGAAGAAAACCATATTATTCTAAATTAGGGTTTGTAACTCTTATTATTTCGGCGCTAATCCTGTTGTTTAACACAGATGTAAATAATCATGGAGCTTACTGTAAGCATGTATATCTATCAAGAATGAAACAATATTAGAAATCTTCAACCATTCGGGAACTACTTTGCTTGAAAATTAATGCGCCTGTCATTTGACAATCTTTACGCATTGATCTCCCCTGATTTTTTCGGCGTTAGTGTACATATAAAGGGAAGTAACCGCTTCCAAAAAGTGGACTACTTTAGGCATTTGCAATTAACAGCATTAGGCTCTGAAATTTCGCTACCATTATTTGTTTGGTCAGACGACCCAAACAAATAAAAACTACAACAGCATAACATGCAGGGACAAAATATTATGACTTAAACTATACGTGTAATTTCTTGAATAAGGTAGCTCAATTTGTCTATTTAAATTCATAATTGTAACAATACACCTTGGTTGCTTCGAGTTCTGTCCTTGCCGAGAGCTAGATCTAATAATCTTATATACTAAATCATGTTTCAAACAATCTGGGCGGGGGATTCTTCAAGAGTTTTTGAAACAAAACTATAGAGGCAATCGTAAAATTATCTACTTCAGATTTGTGTTCAAATATTTGCTTAAAATCATGCCGATATTAATTAGGTCATTCATTACACAATTCCAGCAATAGGTCCGAGAAACCCCAATGATGCTGTTCTGTTCATTATTACAGGGACATTGAACCAACAACGATTATTTATAATATAGAAAGTCGAAAACCTGACATGGCAGCCAAAACCGGTGTTTATGACATTCATTGCGATGCCGGACAATGGTTCAATCCACGTTGTCATTATACTCCCTCTTTTATAAACAATATGATTTGTGTAAACACTATACAATGCATGGTGTGGGAAGTGAATATCATTTTCTTGTAGCCTGTACAACTTATTATGAAATTCATGAGTAATTATTTCCAAAGACAGCATGGCCATCTTTAGCTTTAAGGTCCGTTATGCCTCAGATTTTCTATCATTTTTATTTCTCAAAAATTGTATATATTTTGGTGTCTTATTACAGTTTTCAAAAATATACTCATTTGCTATAACCAGAACTATTTTTTTCATCTTTAGCTATGCTGGCAATTTGTTTAATGATTGTGAATTAGTATTTTGTATAGAAGTCAAAATAACACTTAAATTTGTTTACATTTGCTACCTTTACGACACATAAGTGCATGTTCAGCGCCATTTCGCTCTTACTACATTATTAAACACATGTTTGACATTTCTCTTTATTGAATGTATCGAAATTTTAAATGAAGCGTTGAGCGGCTTATAACTTTCAACAATTTTTATTATTGTTATTATTATTGTTATTATTATTTCAATGTGCATTCGTACAGGTCAATTCTATATATGACAACAGAAAGGAAAGTGGATTGCTGACGGCGTCATTCTTATAAATGAATAACTGTTTTTTTCTTCTCGTGACTGGTTTGACATAAATATGTATGGAAGATAGTCGGAAAAAGATGGTACATTTAAAAAGTCCTACGTGGGTCAATTTCCAGAAGTGCTTAACAAACAGTGCTAAAACAATTAATTCAATCCTTCAAAATACTCACCACCATGTGATATACAGAATTTTAGTCTTTTAATCCGTTTTTTAAATGTTTTCATAGTATTTTCGGGGCATACTGTTCAGACTCTGGACAAAAGCAGAACCGAGATTTTTTCCGCGTCCAGCAAGGTTTTTTTGAGCCTCGGAAATAGGAAAAAAGTCACAAGGGGCAAGATCTGGCCAATAAGGAGAGTGAGGAAGCTCGTAAACCTTTTCCTGTTTCAGATATTCTATAAAACTTGCCATTAATTTACAGATTAACCCTTTGGTACGGCAATTTGAATAGCAGGACCTTGATTGGTAAAGAAAATTACATACATGACCTTTTAGACGCTCATGGGGCGTTTTGCTATGCAAGGTCTTTGACTTCCTCTGGTTGCCCATATAATGTTATGTATCTTTAGCTTGAGCTCATAAAAGTGAACCAACGTCTCATGGCCAGTTCATATTTGTTGTATTGATGGGACTGTTTTAACAATTGTTTTGATAGTCTTACCTGAGTTTCACTGTTAGTATGTCAATGGTAACATTATAAGTGCACAATAACAAAAAAGTAAAATGTAACACGATATACTAGTAACTATTATGTTTGACTACAAATTACTTTCACGTATATGACAAGGAAATTTAATGTTGAACATGACAACGAAATTATTACATTGTATATTTTACTTGTTACATATAAAAACTTATCAGAATTTTCACCTGTTATCAAGTGATATCAAATAATTAAGGACTTTGATTTGACCGTGAACAAGATAACTTTAACAAATTGTATATCACAAATTAATGTTTTCTAAACCTGAGGGCGTGAAATTTCAGGAAAAAATGACGTCTTTTGTGACCCTAGAATTTCCAAATATTGGTGTTTTTAAAGCTCGGATTTTCAGTACAGCTGTTAGTAATGAACAAACCCAACAACAAAAACGTGAGTACATCAGTTTTTAGATTTGTTTTATGGTGGAATTTATTGTCAATTGTCATAAGATTGTTCTGTACATATCATACTCTTTTGTTAATACTTTATATCAAGAAAGGGTGTACATCATGCTTTTAATATTATTTCTTTCGTCGAAATTTATTACATTTATATTTCGTAGAACATAAAATAATAACTATTATAGTCGCATGGCTGAAACTTATTTATTTTACATAATTTATGTAAGTTTGTTCCGACAATATTTTTATAGATATAAATGTAATATTAATTCAAAGTTTAAAAAAAACTTTTGTAGTTTAATTTTTTAGATTTCCGAAACGTTTATTATTATTATTATTATTATTATTATTATTATTATTATTATTATTATTATTATTATTATTATTATTATTGTTCTGCTTTGGTGATGACAAAACTATCATGTACGAAAGTTATTAATTTAATTTAATATATTTGATTGGTATTGTACCTTATCAAAATTGATTTTTGTCATCAGCAAATAAGGTTTGGTTCTTGCTTTAGCCGGTGCTAGGGAGGAGCATGGGATGTAGTTTTCTTACCAACATGTGTCAAGTACATTTTTAATTTTGGTGGTCGTTTTGGAAGTTTTTGTTCATTTTATTTGTTTGTTTTTTTTTGTTTTTTTTGTATGATTGATGTGCTCTGTTTGTTAATTTAAATTTTAGCATCGTATTAAACACGTTTTTTGTGTTGTTTGTTTGTTTGTTTGTTTGTTTGTTAAAAAAACAGCAACTACAACAAAAAACAAATTCATATGAGATTTTTTATTAATGTGTTCAATATAACAATTTTGTAAAAATGGTTTCCCTACATAAATTATTTATAATTTGCGATGTAATTCATTATTTATAACATAAAACTATAATTATACATAGAATATAATGATAATTATTGGGCCTTGAACTTTTCATACAAAAGTCCATTTGGAATACCAATTAATTATTTTTATCAAACATGGTAGATATGTTGATAATATGATAACCTGTTGGCTTGATAATAAGGGTACATTTGTATTAGATTTCAAAAAGTGTAGACATTTCCAGAAAATAAAACAAACAAACATTGTACAAATACAAATCTCACGGAAGATATACATAGTAAAATAAATGATGAATTACGAATACTAGTCAACAAAAAAATTCATATCAACCAAAGCTATAGGAACATTGAAAAGACAAAGAACTGCGTTTTTAAGAAACAATTTTTGTGTCACTTCATGAATTAATATATTTACATTAGATTCAAAAATCTGATTCATTCCCAGTATGGCCAAATTATCAAAAACGCTAATTGAACTGACCAAATTCTTATTTTCCACCCAATTTCCCTTTTGATAATTGATTTGGGGAAAATTGCAATGTAAAAATAACACAAGCTGGGTTTAAATCACCAATTATAAAAAAAATGTATATATTTATTTATGATTTATAGTTATAAATATACATACAATGTATACATGTATTGAACAACGTTTGTATTCATTATCAGTTATAATGAACTGGGAAGTTCACGTTATCTCATCGCTTAACTTTTACACTTTCACTCATTTATCTATGAAACTTTCTAAATCGTCTAAAAATAGCAAAGAAAAAAGTCCCACATCAGTTTCCAAATCAACAAATGACAATTTTTGCAAACTGCATTTTGAAATTATCCAAAAGGTTGCAATGGATTGTTATTTCAGCCAATGCTTGTGAACTACACTTCAGATAAAAGTTTCTCTGTTTTTTAATTACTAGTACTATTATCTTTTAAATATCGTTTTAATTTCAGGAAACAAATATGAGAAATCTAAGGAGAAGTATATCAAGCTATTACAGTTCTGATAGATTAAGAAGCAAGCTTTACCAGCGGAATGTATCGGTTCCATGTGGTATCGGCAATTACGAAGCTGAAGACGAAGGTTTTGTTGATGGGGAAGAATGTGGTGTCCAAGGACAGACATTGGATCATAACGTTTTAGAATGTCTTATGGACGCATACGGAGCGTTTACAGAAATATATAAAGCGATTGTAATACCTAATGTAAGTAAAGTATATCAAAACTTTTTCCTATCCCTATTGTCATTTAAAGCAGCAATCCTTCCAAATTCATGTTAATTTACATGAAAATTTTGAAAATATATTTGGAAATAATATATTGTGAAGTGAACAAAGAAAGTAAATTCAAACATTGCAAGCGGCACTTAAAAATTCACTTAGATTTTCAAAAAGAGGTCAAATGTGAAGAATAAATACTGCAAAAGCAGTCATTAATCGCACGTAAATATTTACTTGAGTCTTGAATCTTTTTTTACTTTTCTTAAAATGTAAGTACATTTGTTTCAAGTTTGATTTTCTTGAAATAGTTTGGTGTGTGTAGCTTTAAAGGAGATCGACAATAGATGCTTCATCAGTTGTGTACACTGAAATAAAATAAAACCCTTGAATATTTGGTAAAAAAACAACTGCCTGCATAAATTGAAAGATCCGACAAAACAATTACCAGTCTTGGCTTAAAACTTATCACATTGAAAAATGTCCAAACATATGATACTTTCTGGACTATCGTACTATTAAGAAAATTAAACTTTTATCACATATTCATTTTTCTGTTGTCAACGACATAATTATATCTTGTTGTTCTTTTCACTCCAGGAGAATTTTCAACCAAGACTATCCGATGCTGAAAGTTTATTACCAGATCTTGCTTACCTTGTGACAGACAACAAACCGGATGTAAATATCCAGCATTATTATTTTTTTATTTATCAATTAATTACTTAATTAATTTAATTTATTTATTTATTTATTTATTTCCAATTAAATTTATTTATTTATTTATTGTAAATGGCATAATCCTTGCTGAGGTGATTAGGTTCAATAAAAACATCTCTAATTTTGTTGAAATTTGTCAAATTAATAATTGTTATAATACAGTTTGCAGATAACTTAAATAGTTTAGATATGTACTATTTATATGTATTGAAATATATTCTGTAATATGCACTGAAAGAAAAAATATTGTGTAAATACATTTTTAATCGTTTAGAACAGTTAAGCAGCTAGAGTAAAAATTAGCAAAATGATTCCCATGATAAAACATATATTGTACATATATAGATCTGCATCACCTATACCGTAAAATATAGCATGCAAGCAGTTCTTTTATTGCAAAATGTTATCTAGCATTGTATATTATAAATATTATTGTACAATATTCCAGGCTCTACAAACAGTCTATGACATTCTTGTGAAGATAAAGCAGGAATGTCCAAAGCTGAATCAACAAAACATTACGTTTGCTCTGAAGGCAATCCAGAATACAATGGTCCTTCTTCATGTGAAGGAACGCGATCATTTAGATGTAGACACCATGATAACACAACCGAGAGACATCCTAGCTGCAGTTATGATAGTAAACAAATACTTGACCAATTTGATACACCCAACAAACAGCGGACACATTTCTTGTTAAATACATGAATATGTTATGAAAAAAGAAATAAAATTGAATTAAATATAACGTTTTCAAGTTTTGTTTCAAACACACCTTTACACAGAAATCAGAAACTTTAGTTTATACAAATTTAAAATAGTTCGAAACTTTACATTTATTGCTTAGTACTGGTTGGTTCCAGGAACGGATTCAAGAGTGTTGGAAGATTATGAGCTTATTGAAACAGTCTAGAATCCGTTCCTGGAACCAAAGGAAAGCAAAGGAAACACCGGCTTGTCCCTGAGAGGTTGGGACCCACGAGGTCTGCAATCCTTAGATTACCAGTCGGACTCATTGACCACTCGGCCACTCTGCCAATCAGAAACTTTGTTTGTAGTATATGTAGGTGGTAAGGGAGCATTTGAAATACTGCTTTACTCCTATACGTTTCTTTGGAGCTGGGTCCAATTTCACTTTCTTATATACTGAATTACATGTCAGTTTGATTATCCGGTAGTATATATATACATGGAGGAACATTTGGTGTATTGTGCGCCAATAAAAGCTGGAAAGTTGCTGCTAAACGACCTTTACAATGTAGTTCTTGTGACCAAAACAAACAAATAGATATAATGTTGAAGATTGAACCTAAGGCGGTGCTATGGGCGTGAGACTTAAAGCATCTTATTTGTAGACTCAAACAAGCATAGTTTGTGATTTTGAAAAATTTCACATATTTCTTGTGTCTTTTAGCTTGACTTTTCGATAAGAAGAGCCATACTTGTCACCCAAGCGTCGGCGTCGGCGTAACCACTTATGTTAAAGTTTTTGTAAATGTCTCAAATATTTTGAAAGTCCATTGACATATGGCTTTGAAACTTTTCACACTTGTTCACCATCATGACCCCAACCTGTAGTCAGGAGCAAGCATTTTGACAGAATTATGCCCCTTATTCGACTTAGAATTTACATTCAAGTTTTTGTAACACCTCACATATTTTCAAAGTCCATTTCAACTTAGAATTTACATTAAAATTTGAGTACCGCCTCAAACATTTTCAAAGTCCATTGGCATATGGCTTTGAAACTTTGCACACTTGTTCACCATCATGCCCCCAACCTGTAGACAGGATGAGTTACTCTATCAAGCATTTTGACAGAATTATGCCCCTTTTTCGACTCAGAATTTACGTTGCCACCTCAGATATTTTCATACTTCTTTGACATATTTCTTTGAAACAAGTTGAAGTTTAATACACTTTTTGGTTAGCATAATAGGACTCTCTCAAAGGCCTATAACATGGATTTGTAAAAAATAACCCTTTTGTGAACTTAGTAATTCTTACATTATCAAGGCTCTTTTACTATCAAGCATTTTGAATAGTCGAATGTGCTGTCCACCGACAGCACTTGATCGTACATGTAACCATGGATCGATTCAAAATAATCAAGTGGAAGTCACAGTCCATAACTGTCCTGAATACGGAAATCTCGAAATATTTGATACGGAAATTTTCAAATGGAGGACATTTGCAAATATCATTTAGTAAATCACATCAAGTGGTGCACTCCACGTGGGGAAATAGCTCTTTGCACTTTGACAAACATATTTCATTTACTTATGAGGAAGATATCCGCAAAATATATATATGAAGATAAATTGATAAAAGAGGAAAATTAAGACATTTTGATACAATGAAAAATATTGTCTGAAATCCATCATCGAACCTTCCTATGGTAACACTATGGCTACACTATGATAACACTATGATAACATCATGATAACACTATGATAACATTATGATTACATTATGATAACACTATGATAACACTATGATAACATTATGATAACACTATGATAACACTATGATAACATTATGATAACACTATGATAACATTATGATAACACTATGATAACATTATTATAACACTATGATAACACTATGATAACATTATTATAACACTATGATAACACTATGATAACACTGATAAGTTTAATGCTATACCTTCAAGTGTCACGCGTTGGTGTCTATGAATAAACATCAAAATCTGGTTGGTTTAAAGGGACTCCTTTGAGTTTTTTTTTTCGTGACGGGTTTGGAAATATTATTTCGAGATTTTTATCCCATTTGATGAAGGATGCTGGGTCGGGTCGGTGGGTGCGTTTGTTGATCATTCAGATCATTCGTTTACTCTTTTGTACTAGAATATTCTTTTTATTTTGTAAAATGACCTAGATATGAAAAGCGTTTTAACGCTTTTAACTCAAATCGGAAGTAAGAATGGCGCTTAAAATCGATTTTCAATTTAATTCTGAGTATATTTTCATATACTTTTTCAGTTCTAAGTGACCCAATGACTTTTTTAGGTAGAGACGGTGGTTCCTAGTTTATAAGATTTTTAGGCTTATGATTTCATTGAAGCTTCTTTCATTTCTGTTTGAATTACACTGTTTACTTTTATTCGAGTCTTTTGTTTACATGACGAATAACTTAATATATATTTTGTATACAAGTTGGCCACCCATGTAATAGAAATAAGGGTTATGGTATATTGTTACCAAATGTCCAAAAATTGTGAAGCATTTAACTCAAATCAGGCTAAGGATGACAAACAAATATGATTTTCAGTCTCAGTCCGAGTATATTACTTTATTTGTGCATATCTTTCCATTTTAAATACTCAAGTTTATCTTTGTAAGATAATAAAAATATCTGATTTTTTTCTTTATCTCGATAGAGTTCCTTTTATTCCGGCTTATAACGAGCAATACATATTACATATTTAGCAGACACACTCAAAAAAGTGATAATAAATATACTCTGCTTATCTCCCTTGACGTTTTGTGTGAAAGAATTAAACATACGCGTACAGTTATGTTGATAGACATAATAATAATAATAATAATAATAATAATAATAATAATAATAATAATAATAATAATAATAATAATAATAATAATAATAATAATAACAATGATGATGATGATGATGATGATGATGATGATGATGATTATGATGATGATGATGATGATGATGATGATGATAATAATAATGATAATAATGATAAAAATAACAACAATAAAACAACAATAATATTTTTTTTAACTTTTCATTCAACAAAGGTAACTTAATAAGGCAGCCTTATCTTAGCATCAAAAATAACACATGTACTGTACTTTATACATATAATCTAATCCTAACAGTCTAACTCACAAAAAATGTCAAATCCATAAATCATTTCATTCTTTTTCATTTTGGTTAATTTATCTGATAAGCATAACTGTCTGACAATTATTGGATGGATGAAAAGAGAGGATGAAGTTAACTTCTGTTACAACAAATAGTTTTATTCGTAAGCGACATACCAATTATGACGTAAAAGAAACTGTTGCGCGGTGAGAAAGTAGGACATATTGATTTCAACTTTATGAAAATATTTTCCTGAAAAGTTAGCATGATTTACAAGAGAAATTTGGAAAATGTGTGGTATAAGATGAAATTTTGTCAACTTTCGGTGTAATGGTGTAGAGTTGTACCTAGCCTAATAACAACTATTTTGCATATAATCATGGGCAGAAGTAGTTCTAAAACGTAGTTCTTGGAACTACATTTTACACTTTACTTGTTAGAAATGATTATGTCTAAAGCATGATTTACTTGAACTGGAATATTAATAAATATTTCAATTTGAATATGTTTTTTCTCTTTTTTAAACTTTATGATAAAACTCACTCTGTGCGGAAGGATATGAAATTTATGCGTACTTGGTGATTAGGTCAGCCAGTCGAAGAGCTGAAACATCTCTTCTCACAGGTGGATGATGGTTGAATTCTTTAAGGAAAACAAAGATGCCGGCACCGTTATCTACATTTGTTTTGTTGATATTCACTGCAAACTTTGTCGAAATATTATTTTATCACAATGTTAGCCCATGTCTTTCTTGAGACTCGCTTAATTCGTTACTTATCACGAACCGAATGAGGTCAATAGTTCCAGAATTGCAGGAAACCCCTCGCAGACTCCGATAATTTTCTAAAATGTAAACAAACTTAAAGCTCCAAATATACTAGTTAGACTCTATAATCACTTGTAAATATGGTTGAACCTGAAATACAGGCCTCCTCCATGTCAATTGACGCGCAGGAAAATGAGGTCACTGAGCTACAAGAGGCTGACAATTTGTCAACAAATGAAAATAAACAGATGGATGGAGAGATTGAAGAAACGAACGAAGATGACATCGATGATGCAACTTCTTCTGACATTACTCTTCAGTTGAATGAAGAACTGCAAGCCGGATACAAGATTCTTACAGACCTTATGTCACATGCTAAGAGAAATGCAAACTGGCCATTTATGGAGTCAGTTGAAGTTTCAGCTCCAGATCTCTTTGAAGTTTATAAGCAACGCATAGAAAAACCAATGTGGTTAAAATTAAGTATGTTTTACATTAAACAAAAAATACTTGTTATAATAAGATTTTTTTTTAAATGAATGATAGTTGATTTTGCTTTCTCAAAAGGAATAATGATCATTCTCAAACAAAGGCTTTAAATTCTAATCTATTATCCATACATGATGATTTTTTTTGGATGGCTTTTAAGTTGCACAAACACATACACAGGTCATATATGATGTTGGTGTGACGTACAACGCAACCAGAAAAAAAATCAAGTACAGATTGTAGATTATAATTTAAAGTCATTATAATTGATATTATTTTTGCATTATAAATATAGATCTATGTTCGAAACAAACCTATACATGTATTATAATTTGATAATAGATCTAAACAGTAAAATTTACAAAGTAATTTATTTTTAAACATGATCAGCTTGCGGTCATGAGGTGACATCAATACATATGTACAGTTATCAGGGTGAGCTTGGCCCTGAAATGAACTTAGCCCTCGATTCATCTCAACTCAGCTTGGCATAGGCCACCCTTGCCAACTTTTGTATCACTGTTTTTATTTATAAATCCTGGGACATAATATAATGGGTAAGGCAACTACCAACTCGATTAACGGATTTATGTTGATGACCATTTGAAATTGAAAGTCAATTCATTTTTTGTCCATTTAGAAACATAAGGACTGTTAAAATCTTACACGAGATGATTTACATTTCTCTTATTTACACTGTTTACTATGAATATAAACGTGTCTTTTCACAAAAGGCGCAAAATTTACTTATCCTTGGTGATTGGGCCCCCAAAAAAACTTGTTTTAGTTGAAGCATTAAGTGCTGCTCATTGTTGCATGACAATTAGTTTAGGATGATATTTATTCTTCCACATACTCACTGCTACATGCACTTTGAATGATTGATGTTGATAAGGTGACATTAGGCTATAAGTTTCTTACAATACCATTTATAAGCACTAATGAACTGTTGTTAGATGTAATTATGTAAGACTCAAATGGCTGTGAACCGAAACGGGAAAGATAATTGTCATAATTTTGTTCCAATAAATGAGAAAGTATTGCTTTTTTTTTCATATGCTTATCTTAACTAATTATCCCAGCATCTGTACTAAAGGCCTTTACTAAATACCATGAACACTTTTATTTTTCCGGACATTTTCTTTCATAAAATGTAATAATTTCCTTTCCAGTGAAACAAAAGTTTGAGGAAGATCAGTATACAACTATTACAGAGTTTGTATCCGATTTTCGTCTAATGTTGGAAAATTGTTACCGATTCAACGGACCAGATCATTACATTTCTAAGAGGGCACAGAAAATGGAGACAATGCTTGAACAAAAGCTAGCACTGTTGCCAAGGTATGAAAAGGGAAACTTTTGATATACAGTTATACTGCCTGTTAAAGTAATCCAGGGCTTCCATTAGAGGAAGTTTGCGAGTCATTTACTTCTGGAACTTGAGAAAAATGTACCAAGATTTTAGGGGGAAATAATTTACATGTATTTTGGGATAAATTACTGATTTTGAAGTATATATAGCCATATTTCTAATTCTACTGTGTGATTAACGCAGTAAAGGATATTTTTTGCATTTTTTATGTCATTTCAGTAATTAACATGGATTGTAAGTGCTGTTTGCAATGTGTAAATTACTTTCTTTGTTCCTTTCGCTATATTTTACATTTAAAATACATTGTTTTAAAATTTTACGAAAATTATCATGAATGTGGAGGCATGCTGCTTGAATGCTATTTTGGAAACCAAGAAATGATCTTTTTAAGTCATACCAGTTGACTGTTCCTGAATGTCATAAACAGTAGTCTCACCACTGTAAATCACTTTGAACCCACGGTCCACTGATGGGATTTCGAACCCACAACCTTTTGATTAGGATTCTGATGCTGTCCATGTAAACCATTCTTCATAAACATGTAGACTGAAATAGTTGACAATTTATTATCTAGGGATTTTAGAGAGAAGACAACCATTGAGGCAACCACTGATCAAAAAGCTGAAGGCAGTTCTGGAGGATTTGGTAAATCTTCACTTAATCTGTTAAAACCTATTTTGGGATAAAATCGGCGAATACCAAAACAAAATCAGAAATAATCTGATCAAAATAAGGATCAGTTTTTTGAATCAACTGTAAATGCCCATATCTTGCAAAAATAACAATAAATTTATTCTAAAATTTCATAAATATACTATTTCTGGTCCAGTTTTATCAAGGTAATATTTAATCTATGAGGAAAAACAATGGAAAATATTTGAGTTTTTAGATTTGATCTTGATCCTCAAATCTTTGCGTACACGGGGCCTGCTTTCACAAATTAGGAGATATGTTGGTAGGATAAGTAGATAAAAAACCAACACAAATTTAAATATCAATACATGTTTCGCTTTATTAGCTTCATCAGTTGATATGTTGGTGAAAGACTTTTGATTTTAATAAATTAAGCTAAGAACATTTTACTGAACAATTTAGGCTTAAGACGAAGGCCCAAATCCCACGTTCTTCATGACTCCACTTACTTGCTGAACCAGTTACGTGAGGCGGAGTACCAGAAAAAGCGGGAGTACAGAATCCGGCAGATAATGGCACGGCGAGCCGAGCGAGAGGCTCTAGCACAGGAAATAATGGACTGGGAAGATAATGTTCTGTTTGAAGGTCAAAAAGAGACGATGATGGCAATGTGGGAGGTAAATTTAGCTGTAATATTCAGGGCCGACAAAATCTGGTTTTGACTTACTAGTCCATTTTTCTCTAAGGCATTTCTTAACTTGTCTGTATGATATTTATATAGTAAATTATTGAAAATTTTGAGGGTCCATATTCTCAGTGCCTGAAAGGGCAGATGGGATCTCATTAAGCCTAGAATGCATGCATATATAAATATCCACTTGTCGTACAAGCTTTGGGACAACCTTGGCAATACAGACAATTGATTTTGCCACCCCTGAATTATTGTGTTATATTTAATTTTGATTCTTATGTAGTTTTAGCTCGTGTATTGGAAGAATAGTGAGCATTTGCGTCACACTTTGGTTATGCTTTTGCGTGTAAGTTGATAACTCCAAAACTACTGAAGGGAATGGGTAGAAATTTCACACACTAATTTGAGAGCATAATTGGAGGTCACTGTCCAGGGCCAATAACTTTAACCTAGATTTTGACAAAGTAATGACCCTTTTGAACTTAGAACATTATAAGCTATCCAGACTCATGTATTACTATCAAGCACTGAAAATAGTCCATCATGCTGTCTGTAAAATATCAACAAATAATCAAGTGTATACCATGTCAAGGTTTTATGATGATTCACTGAAACTTAACAGTTGCTGATGAAAATTATATATGATCAACACATTTTGAAGATGAATAATCCAACTTTATTGTAACAATGAATAATCCAACTTTATTGAAGCAATGAATAATCCAACTTAATTTTAATGATGAATAATCCAACTTAATTGTTAGTAATCAAATTTATTTATCTAATTGTAAAGATTAATAAAACAACTTAACTGAGTAATCTGTTTTTAACATAGATCGTTATTTTTCTCTTACAGTTGCCACAGATAGGCCTGTTCTTGTTTCTGTGCCAAGCTCAGCTGAACATTGGTGAAGTGATGCATTTTGAGCTGGAGCGTTGTTTTATGATGGCACGAGAAAGTTCGACCTTACAACTTATCATGACCTCACTTCTCAGTACACCTTTCCAGAGACTGAAGTATGCTTTCACTACATTTAATATCAGAAAAATACAATTTAGAAATTAATTGTGAAAATCATAAGATTGTCATTCTGTCATATAGTTTCTGTCAGAATTGAATAAATTTGTTTAATGGAGGATTTTATTTATTAATATATTCAGATTTGTAAGCTTAATAAACAACTTACTAAAAAAAGATCATCATGGTAACTATCGAAATATATATATATAATAAAATATTTATATATAAAAGAGGGGTTTAAAGTGATATGACATTCACTGTTATGATTCTTTATTGTCATAAATGCACAATGGTTAATTACTGTACAATCTTTTATAGGACTTTCTTTATTCTGACAGATTTTTTTTTTTACTTTTATTGTCACTTAATGCATGGGTGCAAGTTTTCAGGCATATGCCTGAAGGTCAGGTTTTTTGTGCCAAATTTCATCATGTTTTACCATTAGATTTTGTAGGATAAAGGTTTTCAGGTTTATCCAAATTTTCAACTTGCACCCATGTTAATGGAATTTTTTGTATGTTTATTATAGGATTGACAAGAAGAATTTGATGCCATACAAAGTGTGGGAACAGAAACTTAGAGTGAAGTTACAGAGCTGGTATAAGGTGTATACAGATAATGATCGGGATGTTGAAAAGGTAAGATTTTAACCTGTAAATTGACAGGACAGTTGATGGTTCAATTAAGATGGCTGCCTATGTCTCAAGTAATTGCGAGAGATGCATCTTAAGATTATCTTCCACCAGTAAAGCTGGGGAGTGGCCATAATTATAAAATCTACAGTGTATGTGTAACTTTAACTTGCTCCCCCTTAAATAGACAAAGAGATACAGAATAAGCATTGCATTCCTGGCATCTGTCCTGCACCCTTTGATTGGAGCATAAAAACTTAAACTATGTACATTGCTAATAAAATGTGTGTATCTCAACATACAACAGAAGAGTTTCGAAAATAACCAGCAACCGCCCATGCTGTGTCATCCCCACCTCTCACCTCTATATATCAGCTGATACTGACTACGGTCAAAACTAAATATAAAATCAAATGAATATTAACGCTAGCAGAAACTGATTCTACCAATGCAACCTGTGCAGTCCGGGATCAGCCAGCACTTCCATGTTGTCTGATCGTAGTCTGCACTGTTCACTATTCATTTAATACATATTTTCAAATTTTTCCCCTAAAAATGATGAATGGTATTGTCCAGAATTAAAGACGGACAAGTCTATTTAAGATATTTAGCATGGTATGGATTTAAGATGATATTATTCAGAATTATTTTCTTAGTTTTATTTTAGTCATTTTCTTTTAATGCGTGTACTTTTGTTGTTCTATTTTACAGACATGTTTGAGACTAGGTATAGACGAGGAGTTTTTTCATGTTGTTGGTAAGTAGCTTATATCACATAAGTAAACTAATCAATATTGAGTGCAGATTTCTTTTCTCTTCTTGTGGAAATATCTGCTGGGTTTTCTATAAACATGTCGGAGGAAAGCTGATGATTTCTAGTTCTGGCTTCCAAAACTTTATAAGCCGCTATTTAACATTTTTGTTTTTCATCTGATGCGGCATTCACGTCATGTCATAGTATATAAAAGTGTACGCTGAAGACCTTAAGCTAATGATTTCCTGTGGTGTGGAAAACTTTCAGGATAAATTAAAACAGTGCACTTGATTTAGCACCAATTTGTACACCTATTAATAGCAAGCATTTTTGCTAGAGTTGTGATAATATTGAAATTATAATTAAACAAATGCTTCTCACCGAGATTTTTTTTTTTTCTATTTCAATGCTTGTTTTGTTAAGATTGAGAAAAGAGAGGTATGTACAAATTGGGGGAGGGGTAGGGGCGGGGAATATGTTCTAATAAGGTAAAAAGAGAAGTTTAATGATGAAGGCTTATTATTCTTTTATTGTTAGAAATATGTCTTCCTCCACCATTAAAGCTGAAAAATCACCATACTGTAAATTCACTTACTTTCATGGACATGAACTTTCGTGTTTTTTGTCACAAAAAGCATTTTTGTGGGTACTTAAAAACATGAATTGTCTTTTTTCCAAAAAATAAAATGTACATAATGTGATGCAGAATAATCTTAGTGCAGTGGAAATTCGTGCATTGACCTGTCCACAAAAGCCATTGAAATTCATACCCCACAAATACTAATAATTTTGCAGTATGACTTTTACAGTTTTGGTGTGACTGATAATCCAACAAATCAAAAAGAAAATAGGTACAGCTTTTATGATAAAAAATAAGAAGTGAACGAATTTACACTTTTTCACAAAATTTGTCTTTACCATTGTGAGTTAATATTCAGCAAGGGAAATCAATTCTTTGATGTGAGAGAGCAGTCCATCTGGCTTGTGGAAAGTCACTGTTTCTACCCTAGATTTAGCTTTAAAGTGAATTTTTTCTTGCTTTACAATTAAAAAATGGCTACTTTTGTTTCTAGCCATGAGCTTGCATCTACATAAACTATGTTTGTTTTGTTTGGTTTACGGCATACCACCACAATTTAGGTCATATGGCGTTAAAAACAGGAAAGATGATTTTGGCTAACCTTGGATGTTAAAAAGTTAAAGCAACACTAGGATTTAAAATCAACTCACCTGCTGGAGCTAAGAGATGCATAGACTCCAGTAATTCAAACCCATTAAGTCTCCTCTTACGATTATGCAGGGTTAATTTTGATGCCTCAACCCTTAAAGGCAACCCCTCCGCCAAAAATATTTCTTACTTCACAATTATAAAAACTGGAAAGTAGCTGTATATAACCTTATATGTGTTGACTTAAGGTATAAGAAAAGAAAAATGACTTGGGATACAGGAGTGTTACTATGTTATAATGTTTACAGGTACAAAGAATCCCCTGGAAAGGAAGAGATATCATGAGTTGAGTTTCTACAGGAAAGTGTGGATCATGAAATCCCTCTGTGATCATTGCTTGGTAAGTTTTGTAATGGTTCAAGTTTTACATTATCACCTTTTGTTATGGTAGATCAGTCTGTACAGGTATGGAATGAAAATCTGAGGGTCTTTAGTTTGTAGAGGTATAGAATGATAATCTGAAGGTCTGCAGTCTGTAGAGGTATGGAATGATATTCTGAGGGTCTTCAGTCTGTAGAGGTATGGAATGATATTCTGAGGGTCTTCAGTCTGTAGAAGTGTGGAATGATAATCTGAGGGTCAGCTGGCTGTACAGGTCTAGAATTATAATCTGAGGGTCCTCAGTCTGTAGAGGTATAGAATGATATTCTGAGGGTCTTCAGTCTGTAGAGGTATGGAATGATATTCTGAGGGTCTTCAGTCTGTAGAAGTGTGGAATGATAATCTGAGGGTCAGCTGGCTGTACAGGTCTAGAATTATAATCTGAGGTTTCTCAGTCTGTAGAGGTATAGAATGATAATCAGAGGGTCCTCAGTCTGTAGAGGTATAGAATGATATTCTGAGGGTCCTCTAGCTGTACAGGTATGGAATGATAATCTAAGGGTCCTCAGTTTGTAGAGGTATGGAGTGATAATCTGATGGTCCTCAGTCTGTAGAGGTATGGAATAATAATCTGATGGTCTACAGTCTGTACAGGAATGGAATGATAATCTGAGGGTCCTCAGTTTGTAGAGGTATGGAGTGATAATCTGATGGTCCTCAGTCTGTAGAGGTATGGAATAATAATCTGATGGTCTACAGTCTGTAGAGGTATGGAATGATAATCTAAGGGCCCTAAGTCTGTAGTGGTATGGAATGGTATTCTGTGGGTCCTCTGTATGTAGAGGTATGGTATGATATTCTGAGGGTCCTCAGTCTGTAGAGGTATGGAATGATATTCTGAGTGTCCTAAGTCTGTAGAGGTATGGAATGATATTAAGAGGGCCCTCAGTCTATAGAGGTATGGGTGATAATCTGAGGGTCTTTAGTTTGTAGAGGTATAGAATGATATTCTGAAGGTTCACAGTCTGTAGAGGTATAGAATGATAATCTGAGGGTTCACAGTCTGTAGAGGTATAGAATGGTAATTTTAGGGTCCCCACACTGTAGAAATGCTCGGACGGCACATTTTTCTCATCCAATTACATTTGGTATACGTCAGCTGAATACGGTGACATCATAGCAAATTTTTTTCATTACCTCTTATATATTTCTACATATTATATTTTCCAGCATACACAAGACTCTCTGCGTGAGACTATTGAGATTCAACCATTTGAGGACCAGCGAGAGTATTTACTGGGAACAGACAACACTGGTCAGAGATATATACATTTCCCACAATTCTGTGGAGCAGATGTACGTGTGTACAGACAGGCTCCTGTAAAATATCCGAAAATTGAGATTAGGCCTGATCCGTTCGATAATAAAAGAAAGGTAAGTTTTTCCGCCAAACTGTTCACCGGAGAGTGAAACATCTCAGCTGAATTTGTGGACAGTCCATTTGTAGTTAAAGGGACTCTGTTATTCAATTGGTAAAAGTCACTTTTTGAGCAGATACCTATCTCTATTAGAAACTTTGTATCACAATCATTTATGAGCATTTAAAGATAAATTGTCTCATTTCAATTAGTCTTACACATGGACTATTTTCACACAGGATTTTTATTGTTGAATTGAAACACTAGTGAATTATAAAGTCTCTCCTACAGCTTATTTAATTATTTAACTGACATGTCAATCAAAGTCTTAAGACATGAATTATTTTCATCTGGAACTTTTTGTTGCATAGTGGGTCATTATTTTCCTGTGAGAACTAATTTTGCTGACCAAATCTTACATAAAATCAAGTTATTTGCATCTAAGTATTTTTACAGTTACCCTTTGTTTACAAAATTAATTTTACATTTTCCCTTTGTTTACATAGTTAATTTTACATTTTCCCTTTGTTAACAACGTTAAAGGGACACCACTGAGGTTTTTTGACATAACGGAACTGGAAATAATTTTATGAGATTATTACTCCATTTGATGGAAATCTATACCAATAACTTATGTGCAAAATTTCAGATCATTAGCTCGCTCCGTTTTTCCAGAATAATTATTATAATAGTGAAAAATGACCCAAAATTGAAAAGTGTTTAAACGCTTTTCACTCAAATCGGACTGAAAATAGCACAAAAATACGATTTTAATTATATTTCTTATATATTACTTAATTATATCTTATTTATATTTCTGTTTAAGTGCTCATGTTTATCTATGTGAAAAATTATGATTTTATGTTTTTAGGCTTATAAACCTCAGTGGAGTTCCTTAAATTTTACATTTTCCCTTTGTTTACAAAATTAACTTTACATTTTTCCTTTGTTTACAAAATTAATTTTACATTTTCCCTTTGTTTACAAAGTTAATTTTACATTTTCCCTTTGTTTACAACGTTAATTTTACATTTACTCTTTGTTTACCTCTGTTTACTTTTACAGTTTCCCTTTGTTTACAAAATTAACTTTACATTTTCCCTTTGTTTACAAAATTAATTTTACATTTTCCCTTTGTTTACAAAGTTAATTTTACATTTTCCCTTTGTTTACATCTATAAACTTTACAGTTTCCCTTTGTTTACATCTATTTACTTTTACAGTTTCTCTTTGTTTACATCTGTTTACTTTTACAGTTTCCCTTTGTTTACAAACCACCTCCAATGAAGAAAGTAAAGTTGAAAAAGAAGAAGCGTCACAGTGCATCAAAACAATCGTCGCCCAGTAAACAAACCTCTGAAAATGTATCACCCATGTCATCACCAATGAGACAGCGACCCAGCAGACTTAGACAGGTTTGTAGATATAGAGGATATTGAATGATTGTAGGTTTAATACTTGAATGAGTTAGATAAAATCTTATATGATTTATGCAAACCTCTGACGAGCATAATATTGTTTTATTGAACAAGTGTTTAATGGGTGTGGTAAATTATTTCTTAACATGTCACAAGAGAATGTATGATATTTTATGATATGTAATGCATCATTCAAGTCATACTTGATCAAGTTTTTAAAATAACAAAGATTATAGGCTCTGTATTAAGCAGTTTTAAGGTATAAATTTACTTTATAAATTTATTTATTGTTGCTTACAAACTAAAGTGTCTCTTCACATCCAGCAACCCTCACCCCCTCAACGCAACATTTTATCCATAAAATAACAGTGTAAATTTTATTTCAGTTTTTGGTGATATTGTTTAATATTAAAATGAATTAAATTTTGAACTAAAATGTAATATTATAGAAAGCCAAATAAATTTTATAAAAACTCAGTAACTTTACTGAGCAAGATATAATCTAAATATAATGCACTGGAAACCAACTATTCAACCAAAATAATCTTTATGTATGAAATTCACTATTCAACCCAAATAATCTTTATGTATAATATTTCAGGCACCAAAATCTGTTGTCCCTCTACAGCTGTTAGAAGATGCATCTGTCACAGAGTCCTCCTCATCCTGTGAGTCTGAAGTTGAAGACCAAAGTGCCGTCGAGGACCAAGAGCCAGATGGTAACAGTCCTGCTCGTATTTCTACGCCAACGCCCGAGAAAGATTCAGACACTAACCAACAGCTTGACGATCAGTCTGTGGATAGACTCAGTTCAGGCAGTGACGCTACCCTTCCATATTGTGATAATAGTGATTCAAACAGTAATATAAGTTCTAGGGATATATCTCGTGACTCAAGTCCATATCCCTCGTGTTCCGATCTCAATTTACGTTTCAGTTCTCAAATAGATAGGTCAAGTGATGTTTCTCAGGAGTCGAGCCCGTGTATGTCTCCGGCTGACTTTGGTCTCCGCCGCAGCTCAAGGTTTGACAGGTCAAGTGACACTTCCAGGGATGCAAGCCCTCTTATATTTGACTCAGACTTCGGTTTAAGAAGGAGCAGCAGAAATAGGGCAAGGTTGAAAAATATACCACCTTTGAAAGCGACACGGAATTTGTCATCTTTTCTGTTTGATGAGAATTCCGCCTCGGCATCGAACTCCAGTATAACTGGTGATAATAGTTTGTTAGAAATGAAAACATCAATGTTCAAGGATGATTCAATGTCTAGAAGGAGTTCAAAGTCAAGCGAGTTAACGGAGGATAGTAATGACTGTGATATTCATGCAAATAAACTTTTCGCAAATTCCAAAACATCAGAACCTGATTTGAATTTGAGTGCTAGTTTTCATGGAATGCTTAAGAAAGTAAATAAAGATAACAAACTTGAAAATATTCCTGTTCCTGGTGGTAGTAATGATGATGATGATGATGATAATGATGATGATGATAAAGAATGTGGAGATAATGAAGCATATGATAAAAAAGATGCAAATAACGAGGATGAGACTAAAAAAGAAAGCCTTGTTACAGATGAAGAAATGGTTGAGACAGAAAAAAATATATGCAAAGAAATTGACAGTGTAAATAATAATAATAATATAAATATGCTACCTGAAAAATTGCAAGATTCGCTGCTTGTAGAAGAAAATTCATCTAGGGAAACAATGGATGTAAAAAAGCATAACACTAAAGACATTTCTGATTATGGTGTAGACTTTGACATGTCTGAGACTGCAGTAGATAAAGATTCAGACATTGACAATGAAGATGTTAATGAAGTAATTACGGGTATTGTAGATAAAGGTGTGACTGAATTGATGGACCATTCTGAATATGTTCAAGTGGAAATATCAAACAAAGTTACAGAGAAAAATGATGTTGATCTTCCTAATGAGTTGGTGACTGAAACAAATGTTAGTTTAATTAATGATACAGATGGTTTTATAAATGATAGTTTAGGTAATGCGACAAATAATGGTATTGATAAAATTAATACTTGTGAAGAAATGAATATGGAAGTAGACCCATTAAGAATTGTTAAAGAGAATGAAGAAAGCTTTGAAAATGCAAATGTTAATAATGAAAAAGCTAAATTGAAAAATGAAATGGATGTTATGGATGAGGATAGTGAAAACAGTGAGAAAGAAGATAATAAAGTCGAGCTGAAGTCAGAACTGTCTGCACAAACAAATGCAGAGATAGGGGGAAATGTAAGAGCTGAGAAAGAAAAAGGTGAAGTCAAAGACACGAGCGGGAAGATAAATGGAAAGATTAAAACAGATTTTGATTCTTTGAAATCTGAGAATAGTAAGGTTAACATAAAAACAGAAACAGATGATCCTGAAACTGGAGATACTACAGAAGGAATAGAAAAGGATTCACAAGCAGCTGACGGTGATGGGAAAGAAAAAATGGAGGAAAGTGAGGAGGAAGAAGAGGACGAAAAGGTTGGAACTTTAAAATTTCTGTTAAAAAACCTATTAAATATAATGCTTAATCAATAAGAGGACCTTAATAGCCTTATATAACTTTAAAGGAACTCCACTGAAGTCAAAAAGCCTAAAAACATAAAATCTGAATTTCTTATATAGGTCATCTGAGGCACTTAAAACAGAAAGATATGCAATAGATAAGAAATATTCTCTGAAAGTCATATTTTTATGCAATTCTAGGGCCAAATTTGAGTGAAAATTGGTTTTCAGTTTTTGGTCATTTTCACAAAGTAATTATTCTGAAAATAACGAAAAGAGTAAATGATCTGAAATTTTGTACACATATAACTGGTCTAGACCTACATCAAATTGAATATTTATTTTGAAAAAATATATCCAGTCACGCTGTGTCAAAAAACCTCAGTGGAATTCCTTTATCCATAGGTATTTCAAATACTGATAAAAACAAGAGAAATGTATCATTTGGGTATTCATATTAAAATGTTGATAGCATCTTGAGTGAAAAAACAATAGCATCTTGAGTGATAGAACAATAGCATCTTGAGTGATAGAAAAATTTATATGATGAATAATGATGTTTGTTTTGGAATAATTTATTATCTGCTATATTAAGATATACATGTATGTAATATCAGATCATGTATCTCACACTTATCAGTATTATTTTGTGATTTGTTGTCTTGTGTTATACCAAATACTACAAACATAATTATTTATGATAAAACAGATCTTTCAAATATGGACCAATTCGCTTTAATGATCTAAACTGCTTCTTAAGAACAGTAAATAAGGTGTAAAATTGTGTTGAGAAATTATTTGTACTTTGTATCAAAAAGTTTAACTTTAAAATTTTATTCAAATCTGATAAGCAAACAGAATTTTGATGATAAATAAAAGTGATAATTCCTTATTTCGCATCGTTGATTCTGCAAATTTAAGTGATTTTTGTATGCCTGGTTGTAGCTCCCAGATCCGAAACAGTTTGAGATGGTAGCTGACAGCGTAGAGGAGGTACGGAAGCTAGCCGAACAATTTGCCGAACCAGAACCGATTGTTATTAAACGGGGGAAAAAGTCACAGGTTGGTTTTGATCCTCAAATTTATTGAAGGTTTATTTTGTTATCAAACATTCATCATCTTTACACCTCCGCCCGTTTCATGTTTGTATACTTAAGAAATACCTGAAGCGATTGTCACAGGGCATCCTGTGAAAACCAATGAAACAGCCTGTTAACTTCCATAGGGCATCAACCCTTGGATGTCTTGACAAAAGGACAGCCCTTAATGCTATGAGATTAATATGTAATTACAAAATATGAATTAATTCAATTAATTTGTTAGTCTACATGCTTACCTCAATAGGGAGAGCATCGACTTTGTAATTCAGGGGTCGTTGGTTTGATCCATTGTCCAAGTGAAATTTCTTCCTTGACAATTGTTCTTTTACATTGAGTCGAAAGGTCATTTGTCTCTCAACTCTGATTCGAAACTCATGTTGGATTAGAAGTTGGTCACTTGCAGAGAAATGAGTAATTTACTAATAAGGTATCCAGGAAAGCTGGTAAGGTGCATCAATTGCATTAATATGATGAAAAAATGCATTAAAATTGGCAGTCAAACCAAACAAACAGATTCATTGAAATGTTAACTATTTTGAAATAAATGAATGTAATCAATGATGTAAAGCCAGCATATGCGTGTCTTTTATCAACTAATCCAAAAATGACATGCCAGTAAAATTGTTTATTTGAGCCGCGTCATGACAAAACCAACATAATGGGTTTGCGACCAGAATGGATCCAGACCAGCGCAGTCTGATCAGGAACCATGCTGTTCGCTTACAACTCTATAACAAGTAGAGAAACTGACAGCAAACAGCATGGATCCTGATCAGACTGTGCGGATGCGCAGGCTGGTCTGGATCCATGCTGGTCGCAAACCCATTATGTTGGTTTTGTCATGACGCGGCTCATTTGTAATTTTCAGATCCAGAAACCGCCTCCACGTAAGAAGAATATTGTGATATTACATGAACGGCTACAGTTTCTACTGAAAGAATTAGAACCCTGGGAGTCTAAACTTCAGCAAGCATCAAAACGAGCAAGACTTCGTCTACGGAAGGAAATGGAAGATTATATACTGAAACCCCCGGAAGAAAAGGTCTGAGGTTAATTTATCATTTTCATTGTTTTAAACTTGTACATTTGAATATGTTCATTCATGATGTCTCTATGCATGTCAGGAGGCTAGCATAACAGCCATCAGAAAGTCAAATACAGCAAGTGGCATCTCTGATGTTTTTCACCAATAAATGCTAGAAAGTTATCTTTGGACAGTAGGATTTAAAAATTGAATTAGATCTAAACACAGATAAATACACTATTTGGATTCTAAAAGATTGTTTTCCTTCAAACGTCACACGGTATGTCTGCTAAGTCATAATTATTAGGCACTGACTAAGACCCATAACTCTAGCATGGAATTTTACTGAGTTATTCCCATTTCTAAACAAGGAAAATTCCTGCATGGTGATTTTTTAGCTCACCTGTCACAAAGTGACAGGGTGAGCTTTTATGATCGCTTTTCGTCCGGCGTCCATCCGTCCGGCGTCCATCCGTCCGGCGTCCGTCCGTAAACTTTTACTTTAAATGACATCTCCTCATAAACCACTAAGCCAATTTCATCCAAACTTCACAGGAATGTTCCTTTGGTGGTCACCTTTAAAAATTGTTCAAAGAATTTAATTCCATGCAGAACTCTGGTTGCCATGGCAACGGAAAGAAAAAACTTTAAATATCTTCTTTTAAAAAACCCAAATAGCTAGAGCTTAGATATTTGGCATGAAACATCTTCTAGTGAGTGTCTACCAAGTTTGTTCAAATAAAAGCCCTGGGGTCAAAATTGGCCCCGCCCCAGGGGGTCATTGATTTTCCCTATATGCATATAGTAAAAACTTAAAAAATCTTCTTTTAAAGAACCCATAGAGCTAGAGCTAAGATATTTAGCATGAAACATCTTCTAATAAATGTCTACCAAGTTTGTTCAAATAAAAGCCCTGGGGTCAAAATTGGTCCCGCCCCAGGGGGTCATTGATTTTCCCTATATGCATATAGTAAAAACTTAAAAAATCTCCTTTTAAAGAACCCATAGAGCTAGAGCTAAGATATTTAGCATGAAACATCTTCTAATAAGTGTCTACCAAGTTTGTACAAATAAAAGCCCTGGGATCAAAATTGGCCCCGCCCCAGGAGGTCATTGATTTTCCCTATATGCATATAGTAAAAACTTAAAAAATCTTCTTTTAAAGAACCCAAAGAGCTAGAGCTAAGATATTTAGTATGAAACATGTTCTAATGGGTGTTTACAAAGTTTGTTCAAATAAAAGCCCTGGGGTCAAAATTGGCCCTGCTCCGGGGGGTCAGTGCTTTTCCTTATATGTGTATGGCAAAAACTTAAAAATCTTCTTTGAAAAAACCCAAAAAGCTAGTTTAGATATTAAGCATGAAACATCTTCTAGTAAGTGTCTACAAAGTTTGTTCAAATAAAAGCCCTGGGGTTTAAACTGGCCCTGCTCCGGGGGCCTATGTACAGGTGAGCGACCTCAGGGCCATCATGGCCCTCTTGTTTACTACAAAGCACCGAGATTTTTGTGGGACATGCTATTTTGTTTCAATATACTGTACCTCAGAAACTGTGTTTTACACAAAAGCTCAGGGAAAATGTATTTTAATTTTTCTATTGCTTACTTTAAAAAATAATTTTCTACAAAATGAAAGACCTGGCATAAATGTCTAAAAGCCATGTCAAACAATATAATGTCAATTTGAAGAGAGGAAAAAAATGGTGATGTTTATGGGAATGTGATAGTTACATTCATGTGCAGACTTGGCCTTGTAAAATGTACAGAAGACTTTCTTTTATCAGTGAAGCTGAAAAATTGCCATATAGTCTGAAATTGTAGGTTTGACTTAAAAAAAAAAAAAAACAACAAATAAACAATGTCTAGAATGATGGCTTTGCAAACCAATGCCCAAAATAATGAAAAATACGTAATTTTGTATTGTTTATCGTTTTTTGCAGACGGACAATTGGAAGTCGTCTGACGAGGAGACAGAGTCCGGAGAATCTGACGTAGAGGAAGAGAAAAAGACGGAAGATGATACTAAAAATAAACAGAAAAGTACTGATGATAAGGCATCTGCTTCTAATTCCAGATGCAGGTATGATCTCTTTTTTTTTTCAAATTAAATTATATTGTGAGTCTACTGTGAATAGCTGTTAACAAATGTCCTGGCTCTCACAGTTGAATACATGAATGGATATATCATCAACTTAATGCAGAAACGGGTTGAGTCCATCTTAATTTGATATGAGTTAACCAGTAATTGCACTAAGGCTCAGGGGCCTCAAATCAATTTCTGTATTGCCCAGGTTGTCCCACAGCTTGTAGATAAGTGGAAATTTTCAAGAATTTCCTAGATGTTATACAGACAAGTTAAGAAATGCTTCAGAGAAAAACAGACTAGTTGAGAAATGAGATTTTGTCGGCCCTAACTAAGGTGATGAAATTTGTACATTTAATGTACTGAAATTATCCAGTTTCTTTGTTGAATGTCTGTTGTTCTTACCTCCAAATGCTACCTGTTTGTGCATGAATTAATGAACAGAGTGGCATGTGCAATCTTATTTGCCCAGCAATATTCGAAACATGTCATGTGACCTTAATTATATCTATCAATTATTGAAACAATGTAATATAAATCTGATTATTTTGTAATATTGTCTGATATGGAAGAGAAGAGAATGTGATGTTTAATTATTTTATGAGTGTCACCACTCAATAAAAATTCCTGGTTCGGTGAACTCAAGTTTCTGGAAAAAAACTGGTCTTTTTTCACATATTAAGTAAAGGAGACACAAAGGTTTCTAAAAGAGAAATTGTTTATGTCTTTTTATATTTTTGAAATATCTATTTATCCTGTCAAAGTACATATAGTACAATTACATTTATTAGTATTCAATCAATTTTCAGCACGCCAGTAAAACCCTCCGATGAAATAGATGAAATTGATATAAGTCATCGAGGCCGACTTAGAAAACGTAGAATTATACCTAACAACGTGGAAGATCAGCTCGCTGCGAAGAAACCAAAACCCGTGAAGACGGAAAATGCTCAGGCTACTCCGACAACAAGTCAACCGGTTATTGTTCAGAGCGGGAAAACGCAACTCGTTGATTATGCTGACATCATACGTCAGTTAAAGAACACCGGAGGAAATACACCAATATTAATCAAAACCACCCAAGGCGGTAGAACGGTTCTGACCAGTGTTTTACCAGTGAATTCAAACAATAATACTAATTCTACTACAACCTCCGCCCCTGCTGTACAGACTGTAAGAATTGTTTCCCCTAATTCGGTCGCTCAGCAGATGGCGGCAGGTACGATACAACCACAGGCTTTGAGGATTGCTGTGACTGGCGGTGGATTCCTGCCAGCCACTTCAAAGGCGCTCCAGCATCCAACCATACAGAACCTACTGGCTGGAACTGTGGCAGGCACCAAACTCTTACCTAAAACCTCAACTGCTGTTTCTGTAACAGGTAAGAACCGATAAATAAATACAATCGACAAAAAAATATATATATGTAAATGAAAGAAAGTCATGACTGGGAAATTGTACTCAGAAAAGTCTGCATGCCTTGAATAAGCCATTGCTCAAGTAAAACGATGTTTCCTCTTATTTGGAAGTGGTCAAAATCACTTCTAATCATGAGTGAGTTTGAACTGTGAGTGGTTTTATCACATGTTTGACAAATACATGTAATATGGTTCATGATAATATTAGTCAAAATGATTTATTCCAAGGTAAATGGATTAAAATGTTTATGTTTATTTGAAAAACATGTATTATCAGTATTCTTGTTTGATACATTTGAGTTCTATTTACGTGCATGAAAAATCTATTCTTATCACAGTTACAGCTATTTAATCAAGTTTTTCTTTTTGAAAGAGACAAAAATAATTCTAAAATTCTATACATTTGAATTGCTATTTGATTTGTTTCTTGCTTTTGAAATGAAAATTGAATGATTACTGCTAACCAGTTTTATAAAAAAAAGACGATGAAAACAAAACTGATAAAAAGAGCAAACTTTTTTTTTATCACATGTATTATTTGTAATTGTGTATATGTTTTCAGGGACAGTGTTACCAACAGGTCAACCCACAGTGTTACCTCCTACACCAGAAAAATTAAATCTTCAGAAATTAGTTCTGCCCAACCAAACAACACCACAGAAAGTAGTCCAAAGCCCTGTTACTACACCAAGAAAAATAGCTCCACATACAACAGCCTCTTTAGCCTCAGGAAAACTTAAAGCAAAATATTACGCAGCAAATGCCAGCACTCTGCCAATTAACGTGGTGGAGCAGTTGATAGCAACAAGAGGAGCTAAATTGTCACAAGGAGCTTACAATCAGAGTATCCTGTTAATACCAATGGAAAGTGAAGGTCAAACAAGAAATGTTGTTTCAACTTCTCCTGTGACATTGACAAAATCTCAACTGTCTCCTGCCATAAGTCCTGATGACGGGAAAACTGTGAAGCCAGAAAACCCGTTAAGTTCCGGCACATCGACCGTCAAAACATCTCCAAATACCCTTATACTTCCAAAGCCCCAAACCGGTCCGGTTTTGTCATTAGGTCAAGGAATTCCTGGTCTTCAGATTCAACAAGGCTTTACCAGTCTTCCGCAAAGACCCCAAGCTTTCGTTCCGGTTTCTCAAATAAACGGCTTAAATGTAGCAAAATTCATGCCTTGGGCAGTATCTGCAAAGTCACCAACTAGATACCCAACAAATGAAACTGTTAAAACATTACTAGAAAAGTGCAAACCGCAGAAGGAGAAGGAATCTGTAGCTCTTGAAAAAGGGCAACCTGGTGTTATACCTGCAATGAATGAGGAAAGTACTGGTGTGAATGTTACAAACAATCAGATACACTCTTTGCCAGATCAACAGGTTACAGCTGTAAGCCATTCTGTGCCTAAAATAACACCTGTGACTATCTTTAAAAACATTGCGAATAAGAGTGATTCTGAGCAAGTGAAAGGTGTACTTGTATCAGCTCAGCAAGGACCTGTTGCATTAGATACAGTGAAGAAAGAGGCACTCGTTTCTGCTGTTAAAGCACAACAGTGTGTGGTAACTTCAATATCTGCAGCTAAATTAAATACACTATTACTTCAGACAAGTGCAGCTGGTGCAAAGTCCATTCCATCACTGATAAAGTTGCCTAGCAAGGCTGCCCTAGACTCGGCCCTCAAGGCTGTTGTAACTAGTGTAAATATTACATTACCTACTGTAAATATCAAAGTGCCTTCACCTACTTCTCTTCCTTCCATTAGTCCAAGAAGGAATGTTACAAAAACAATACAAACAATGAAATCTCCCATTCCAGTTGCACCAAAGGTTGTTACACAAAGTTCAGGCGGGCAGACATTATTATCTTTTGCTGATTCACATACTGCCTCATCATCTCAAATACAGACTGTGTCCTCCTCTGTTCAAGGTTCTTCAGCATCCTGTAATGTTGTATCTGTAACCCAGTCTCAGCAGGTGACTGGGTCTCATGATCAAGACGGGAAAAGAGTGATAACCAGACTAACACCTCAATATGTGCTCACACCAAAAGGTGTAATGCAGATGGGTTTTGTTAATCAAAGTCAGCTGGCTGGTACTTCATCTTCAGTTAGTCCAATTCCAGTGCCTTCTACCATCCAAAGTGGGAACCAGACTATTTTAATCCAAAACAGTGCTGGACAGTACCAGTTGATTCAACAACCCAGTCAAGTTCTGCAGCAAACGGGTCAAGGAACAACTCTTCAACCACTTTCAAGTCCATCTGCTGGACAGTCTCAAGGTCAAGGCCAAAATTTACTACAAACAGTTAAGCCAGTTGTTGCCTTGAATGCAAGTGGAAATCCTATCATTCTGCCAACCGTAAAACCTAACGCACAGATAGCTCCTAGCTCTTCCCCTCCGTCTATTGTTCTACACAAATCAACATACTATACACAGAAGACTTCACCATCATTAGTGAATACTGTTGGACTGATAGGATCGCCATCTGTAGCAGGAGGTACGGATCTTAAAACGCAAGCCGGAGGATTTGTGTTCCAGCAGCCATCAACCACAGTGTTACATCCTCAGACACCAGTTCACACTCAATCAGGAATGATCTCACCTTTGCTTGGCCTACAACAGGGCCTGGTGTTACAAGGCGGAGTTCAGGTGGCCAGTCCATTGGTTAACCAATTAGGCATGAACATACTGCATCCTGGTGTTCAAACTTTGCAGAATGCTACATCCATGCAAGCATCGGGTGCTCAAACCATAAACCTTCTGCAAAAAGCTGCTAATGCAGCACCAGTGATGAACATAAATCCACTGTTACTAAATGCTTCCCTTACTACAACTTCGGCAGGCATGATACGCCAACAGTTAAACTCCCCACTGACAGTAGCTGGTGGTTTCCAGCCAAACACCAATACAAATACATCATTAGCAAGGTTTGGAGTGAATACTATTGTGAAAGCATCAACACCAGTGATCAGACAGGAGCCTCGAATGCAGCCAGGAACAGTTAGCGCAGCACACACAGTTACTACAAATCAGAATGGAACTGGTGTGATCTCTCCAATGCCACAGATGATTCAAATGCCAGGATCATCTTTGGTAATCCCAGGAATAGGCGGAGCTAATCAGCAGTTTAATTTGATTGGTCAGTTTGCTACCACACCTAATTCTGCACAAAAGCAACTGGTTTTCCAGTATCCATCTGTTACACCCACAGTTACAAATATCAACTCCCAACATTCGCAGACAACAGCATCAAACGTTTCAAGTGTCAGTGATGATAAAAAGATTGCTGCCCTTAAAAAGTTAAAAGCTGTGATGTCAAGAGATGGAAGCCAGAAAGTGCCAAAGACTGATTATGTGACCAATTCTGTATCTGTTAATCAGGTAACTGTAGGCCAGAAGACTGGTCAGTCTGATTATTCAACCAGTTCTGTATCTGTTAACCAGGTCACTGTAGGCCAGAAGACTGGTCAGTCTGATTATTCAACCAATTCTGTATCTGTTAACCAGGTTACTGAAGGGCAGAAGACTGGTCAGTCTCAACAGAAGCTTTTGCTCTTCAGTATTGGAGGTCAGCTTGTAACTGGACAGGGTGTACCAGTCTCTCTAAGTGATGGGGTGTTGAAAGTAGTTCCACAGGGAAAAGTGAAGATAAATAATCAAACCTTGTCTCCTGAACAAATCAAGCAAACATTGGCAAAGATCAATGAGGCAGCTGCAATGACCTTGAACCCAGTGAGTCAACAGCAGGCGCAAGAAAAACATCCATCTGATATCAATGCAATTCCTGTTAAAATAGTGAAGGAAGTGAAAGTAGTGAAGGATCATAAAAGCAATGCAGGAACCTGTCTGTCATCATTAAACACAATAGAAGTAGTGAAGGTGAAGGATGTTAAAAGCAATGCTGGAACCAGTTTGTCGTCATTAGATTATAGTTATCTTCACACGACACATAAGAAAGACAAGATAGTGACTTCTTTAATGAATGGAAACGGTAATGTAGTTGTTAAGACACAGTCATGTGGAAATGGACAGACTGGTTTTGTACCTCAAAATTTACAGACTGGTTTTGTACCACAAAATTTACAGACTGGTTTTGCTTCACAAAGTTTACAGACTGGTTTTGTTCCACAAAATTTACAGACTGGTTTACTAGTGATGAATTCTGATTTGGTTAAAGTTGAACATGGACAGGAAATGCAAGTACAAGGCCAGTCTAAAGACGCCCAATTTGGTGTGAAAACTATGGGTTACCCATCAGGGTATGTTGTTCGACAAAACGCTGTAAAGGAGGAGGAAAAAGAAGAAAAACCAGGTTTTGTTAATAAAAACTTTGATATTGGTAAGCTTGTAGTAGACAAAGAGACGAAGCGTTTTGTTATAAAAACGCCAGTGAAAAATGATCTCAATGGGAGTGGTGATGCCACAGATAATTTGATCAACCATAACACTGACATAGATGTGAAAATAAAACCAGAGACTGGTAACGAAGATGATGAAAACGATGAGGGTAAACTTGTTATTGACGACGGTGTAAGTGATAAAGAAGCTGCCCTTAATTTATTGACTTTAGCAAACCAGGCTCTTGGATCCACGGTTGTAAAAATGGAAAAGAATGATAAGTCATAGCACAAACTTGTCGTGTATGTGGGAGATCATAAAAAAATTTTTTATCACAGAACATTCTTCATTGATATTTCATCGCCTTGGGTCAGTAACAGGTTAACTCCAATAAAATTGTATACGGATTTAACCCATTACTGCACTAAGGTGATGATGTCTATTTCATATTTTTTGTTTACTTTTTTGGAAAGAATAAGTGTATCATATTTTGTATAATTTTTTCTCAACCATTTTTAAAAAGTCATTCCACAACAAGGTTCTGTTATATAACATGATGTATATGTATTGTTAAAACTGCAGGTGTCATACAAGTAGACATTATTTATATATCTGCAGCTCATTTGATTAAATATCATGCCTAAAAAATTACAATTTTAAGGGTTGATTGCGAGACTGTTGTAAGTCCTTCTTTATTTCATATAAGTTACTGCAGTTTTGCAGTAAACCTTCGATTTTATAAGTACTAAATGTCACAAGCATTCATCTCTTGACTGAGTTTCGACAACAGAAATTATTAAGACAGATGATAAATGTCTCGTCTTAAAGAAATTTGTGACAAGTAATTTTTTCACATGGCATAACAGGCTCTTCTGTTACCATGGTATTGAACTCGTTCTAAATATTACAAACATTTACATAAGTTATTAAAGGAACTCCACTCGGACCTAAAAATGCATTAAAAAAACATTTGAATTTTTTACTTAGATTGAGTTGGGGCACTTGAAACAGAAAGATAATGAAAAGATATATAGAGGATATTTGTTTGTTTTGCATGTAAGATTGAAATATAATTTCACTGAGTGAACATCAGATGCAATATTTTCACGAGTGGCGTAGCCACGAGTGAAAATATAATAGCTGGTGTTCACGAATGAAATATATTTCAATCTTATATGTAAAACAAATAAATTTTCTTTTTATTTCATGCTTTTAAAGTGATTTTTAGTATTTTTTACTGATTTTGCCGCGTAACGTCGCGCATTCTCCTTTGTGACGTCATCACATCATGACGTCACATCATCAATTTTGAAATATAGTTCTGTTAAATTTCTATAATTTTGTTACATTTTTAACATGATGTATGGTGACATCGACTTTCTTTTCCTAAAGAAGCAAAATTTACGCATGACAGCATTTATTTCTGCCTGTTATTCCATTTAGTTATGATTTTCTTTTCATCCGCATTCAGATATAGTCCGGCTACAGTGAAAATTATATTTTATAAATTTCACTAGTGGTTTATCAGAATATAATCATCTGATATATTACAATAAAACACTGGAAAGCATGAAATAAGAAAGAAACTTTTTGAAAAATAAAATTATTATTTTTTCTATTCGTAGCTCACTTTGACTGAATTTGAAAGGCTCACAAATTTTGGGTCATTTTTTTGGGATTAGAACAGTTATTCTGGAAAAATAGAGTGAGCACATGATCTAAAATTTTGCATAGAAGATTTACATCAAATGGAACATTATTTCCAGTTCTGTCCTGTCAAATAAACCTTAGTGGAGTCCCTTTATTTTTCTGCATTTTGGACACAGAAATTAATAGAAAAGATAAATTATAATGTCTTGTTGAGATAATGTAACAGGTATTTCGTCATATGAAGATAACATATTTCTCTGTTACCTTGGTAACAAACCCGAACCTTAAAATGTTTTGTGGAGTTAATTTCAGACCTATGTGTTAATTTTAGACCTATGTGTTGAATTCAGACATATGTGTTAATTTTTAGACCTTTGTGTTAATGACAGACCTATGTGTTGATTTCAGACCTATGTTTTAATTTTTGGACCTATGTGGAAATTTCAAACCTATGTGGAAATTTCAGACTTCTGTGTTAATTTAAGACCTACCAATAAGTTAACTTCAGACCTACAAATGTGTTAATTTCAAACATATGTTTTATTTTCAGACCTATGTCTTAATTCCCAGTTATATGTGTTAATTCTAGACCTATGTGTTAATTTTAGACCTATGCCGACAATAGAGCCAGGCCAGTGTGCACATCTATACAATCTGACCAGGCTCTATATTGCAGGTTGATTAATTTTGATTTTCAAATTTTGTCATTGAAATCTCGGTACATAATGATAGCTGGTTCTAGATTCAAAATTTACCAATTTCATTTCAACAAACATAGAAGGTATAGTGTTAAATATATGGTCTTGCAAAAGAAATGATTTAAATATTTCTGTTAAGGCTTAAGCATTGTATACTTTGCTTGTGATTTTTTTAATTTTTTTTTACATAAAAATGAATATAGTTTTAACTTGATAGAACTTATGCCCATAAGAATAATGGTTTTGGAATTATAAAAGAATTATGGTTTTGGAATTATGGATATAAAATTTTATGAAATCTGTATAAAGCGAAACTAAAAGAGGTAACAGTTTCCAATAGTTCATGTGTATTTGTTAGAGTGATTTTTTAAAGCATAGTTAATGTATTTTTAAAAGTTTTTGTTAAGAAATTACGCTATATTAACCCTTTCACTGCATAGGGACGGCTTATGCCGTCCCTGTTATTTTCGGCGTATTTGCCATATGGACGGCTTTAGCTGTTTCTATAATAATAATAGTAATAATAATAATTAAATAATAATAATAATAAAAGTAATAATAAATGTAAAGAAAATTATACCATCTACAATAATTATTATCATACTAACAGATTTGGAAACAATTATAATTATTATAATACTTATAACAAATAATAATAATTATATTAATTAATAATTTAGTAATTTCTTAGAAAACCCTTTGGCAAATAGGTGATCAATTAAACAATAACTTTCTGGCAGCGAAAGGGTTAATGACAGACCTGATTATTGAAATTGTACGGGTTGTTCATCAGATTTTAATGACTGAACAGATAATAAAGCAGTATCTGCTTTTTCATTGACATTTGTCAGAAGGGTAAAATTTGATACCACCTCTTTTTTAAAGGAACTCCACCAAGGTCCAAAAGAGTAAAAAAAAAACATTTCTTATATAGAACAACTGGGGCACCTAAAACAAGAAGATATGAAAAAAAGATTACAAAATATACCAAGAAATTAATTAAAAAACATATTTTTTTTCTTTGCAATGTTCCGTCATGTCAAAAAAAACTTAGTGGAGTCCCTTTAAAGAACTGTTCCACTTACATGTATGTTGAATTGTTATAAATATTATAGGCTGGAAGGCTCAATTATTCAAATTGATTATAGTTTTACAAAGAAAAACCTCCATACTTGAAAAAATATATATATGTGTGTTAGAGGTTTAGGGTATTGGGTATCTTAAGGGAGCGCCACTGAGGTCAAAAAAAAAGCCTAACAGACTAAACAAACATAAGATTTGAATTTGTTACATAGATTAACTTGAACACTTATAATAAAACAGATATAGAAAATTAAAATCGGAGTTTACTTGAAAGTTAAATTTTTGTTTGATCCTTAGCCTAATTTTTGTTAAAAGTGTTTAAATGCTTTAATATTGGGCATTTTTCATTTTCACAATTTAAATAATTACTCTGAAAAAATCAGAATTATGGAATGATCTAAAGTTTTACACCAGACCTACATTATATGTGACATTAATCTTTGGACAGAAAATTTCCAGTTCATTCATGTAAAAAAACTTCAGTGGAGTCCCTTTAAAAACTTGTCAAAAAAGGAAAATGTTTCTTTTATATGTACATGTATTTAGATGGACCAAATAATTTTTTAAGAAAGTCAAGAATTATTTTAATTTAATATTTTATCAAAATTTCTGGTCAACACTGTTCTACCTCAATCTCTTAAGTAATTAACTTACAACAATATTTTGTTGACCTAATTGATGTACAAGTACGAGTAAAGTAAAATGTTTTTGCCTTTTCAAGAAAAATGTGTCCGAGCCATGAGGTTATAAAACTTTCCCTTAGTATTGTCTCAAATCAGAGGATTTTCAGTGGTCAATATATATTCTGTGCTGGTTTCAAACCAATCAAAAGTCTGAGATCAGAGTTTAAGCTTAAAAAAATATTTTCACCTTTGACCCAAATGTCATCCTCTCATTGACCTTGACCTTAATTTGAAAATAATGATTTGGCCCTACTTTTTCTGTAGGTTAGTAGTAAGTACATTTAAGAGTTACAAGTACACTATTTATCAGATAAAGTAAATTTGTATGTTGAATATCATAATCTCCATGACAACTGAGGAGGTCAAAAGTTTGTGACCTTGACATTGACTTGTGCCCTTGACACAGATTGTTATAATGTGAAAATGTCTGATGTTTTCTCATTGAAAAGAATGTTTTATAAAACATTAAAGATAATTTTATTTAAAGCCATTTGCTTTATTACAAGTACATTGTATTTACTAAGATTTTGAACTTTGTTTTGTTATTGATGTAATGTAAGTTAGTGAATATGAACATTCAATTTAGAATTGTTTTGTTCAGGTGTTTTTTATGATTATTGACTCAATGTGCTTTGTTTATAAAACATTTTAGTGCTGTCATTTAAACTGTCTTAAAGAATTTGTAAAATGTTAAACGACAGAAATTTGTTATCCTAAAAAAGCTGACACAGAACAAGTTTATGTGCTTGAATAGATGTTCAGTCTATTTTTAGGAACAATCTATTTATAGTAACTTGTTAAAATTAAATCTATTTATAGTAACTTATAGAAATCATGAAATCATGCAATTATACTTGAACAAGGCCAGTGTGGAGTAGATTTAGGTTTGATGAATGTTTTACTGGCAGGTAGACTGCTTGCACATCTCCTTCTAGTTTTAAATGGGTGTCTTTTTGTAAATGAAGATTTTGAAAATACCTTTGATTGATTGAATAGATTTGTCATTATTCCACGTGTTCATGAAAAATATCGAAGAAAACATAATTTGACCTATTTAAGTAAGTTTCTCAGTAAGCTATGTTAACATTTTTTTTATGGTAAAGGAGGGAAGACAAACAAGAAATAAAGAAAAGTAGACCCGTAGCCTAATAGGTGAAGATCTGTTACACAAATAAGTTTTCTGTTGTGTTTAGCCACGTTTTTGAAACTCGCAAAACCTGTTACATTTGTGAGAGAATGACATTGATGATATTACATTATTACATTGTTGAAAATATGGTAGGAATTTTACAGAAAATGTTATATTTGTAAAAAAAATCATACATTAAATCGTGTCTAAATTCTATATTCTTCTCATCTGTTACACATTACATTGTCATTTAAATAATAAATAATCTTTGAAAGTTTGCTGACAGTGTTGTTATAAAATTGAGATTTAATCTTGCATGTATTGAATACATCATCCAAAAACACTTTTAAAAACCTCAGACCCCTTCCATTATACCCCTGCACAACAAAGTTGTAAGGGGGGTATACTGGAATCAGCTTGTCCATCCGGCAGTCGGGCGTGGGTCGGTTTTTCCATGTTCGCCCAATAACAAGATTCCTTTGACCCACAGTCCTCATATTTGGCATGGAGGTTGGTCATGACCATTTGGTGACCCATGTTGATTTTGAGGTTAAAGGTCACAGAGGCTTTAAGTTTAAAAGCTTGTCTGCTCAATTGCTTAAGAATGCTTTGGTCAACAGTCTTCATATTTGGTATTGAGGTTGGTTATGACTAGTAGATGACCCCTTTTGATTTTTTAGGACATAGGTCATGGTCAGAAGGGCCTTGAATAAAAATATGTATCAGCCCAATAACTTAAGAATCCTTTGACCCACAGTCTTCATATTTGGCATGGACGTTGGTCATGATTAGTAGATGACCCCTATTGATTTTGAGGTCACCAGGTCAAGGTCACAGGGGCCTTGACTGAAAAAAGCTTGTCCGCCCAATAACCTAAGAATCCTTTGACCCACAGTCTTCATATTTGGTATGGAGGTTGGTCATAACCATTTATTTGGTGACCCCAATTGATTTTTAGGTGACTGACAAAGGTCAAGGTCACAGGGACTTTTACTACAATTAGCTTGTTTGCTCAAATGCTTAAGAATGCCTGTCCACAGTGTATTGATTTTCACATTTGAAGCATATAATTATTTGCTCATATATTCATCATAAAACATCCCCAGGCAAAGCTGCATGAATTGGGGGAGGGGGGAGGGTATTCAAGTCATGCAGTGGCATTTTCAGTTTTGAGGTCAGTAGGTCAAAGGTAAATGTCACTTTGATCTTTGCCACAAAAAACGTGTAGAATAAATAACTAAACAATGCACTGGCTTACTACCCTCAGATTTGGCTGGAAGGTTGTCCTTGAGCTCTAAATGACCACTGTTGATTCTGACAAAGTGGTATGCAGGGGTATTCACGCCATGACAGTGGCAGTTTTAGTTTAAAACTGACAAATATTTCTTAAGGGACAATATATTCATCAATTATATTGTGAAAATCATTACGTGCATTTAACAAAAGAATAGCGGGAACGGCGTCCACACCATTGTTTGTTCAGCTCTTCAAATATTGGAGGAAATAAAAGTATCTATCTATCTGTAATATTTCTGAAAGTTTAATGGGCATTTTTGTACAGCATCATATGTTATCAATCATTTGAATATCTGTTGTAACTGTACACATGTGGTTTTGATATCATTATTGATCACTAGTCCACAGTTTTAGATTTTGACTGATTTATGGCCGTTTTTGAACTTGAAATATTCTCCATAAAACCGTTGAAGGTAACACTAATCTTCAAAACTACTGAAAGTTTTTTCTTGAAAATTGATACATGACTTCTTGATTATAATTTGAGGTCACTTTCAACGCCCCAAACATTTGGCTTGAAATATTACTTAATTATTGAAACTATTGGTGGAAGTCACTTTAAACTTACTAGTAATTCATATCTATAAAATCGTAATGAAAGCCACTTCCCAAGACACATAATTCTGACATTGATTTAATTTTAGAATAAAATAAATCTTAGCCATTTTGTGAAAATGACTACATGGATTTAATTTTAGAATGAAATAAATCAAAGCCTTTTTGTGAACATGACTGGTAACTTTCTGTTTATTGGCCAAGCACTATAAATAGAGGTACGTGCTGTTCTGTCGTGCTGTTCTGCCGACAGCTCTTAATAAATGAATTTCGGAAAGTTCATGTATTTTTTTATCATTTTGACACAAAGTTTTCTTATTCTTTTAATAATGTTGAATTATTTCTCTCTTGTTTATCCACAATAGCATAAAATCCGATTGTCAATATTGACTTTTCATACTGCAGTAAATAGTTCAGCTACCCATATTATATGTGGGTGCG